TTACTAGTCAGCTAGGTTTGATAATACTAGTTGTGAGTTACATAGGCCTGTGTTCTTTGTGTTTACATTAGCAATATGTGCTTACTGTGCCAGTTAATGTTGTTACATTAAAGTGGAACAGTTAAATGGCTGAAGATAGTAGAAGAGAGTAGAACACTGCTGTCCAGCGTTGGGGGTTTACACACAACACAAAATGAACCACTGCCACAAATCTTTGCCTGTAAACTATTCATATATTATATATTTATATCTCTCTAATCAAATGTGAATTTAGTTTATGACAACTCTATCAACCTGAGCAAAATCCCCCCAAATTACCATAAAACCACAACAAGTTCATTAAAAGACATTGGATGCTGACATGACATTGTGATGTAATGCAGCAGCAGATCAGAACTTCCTTGTAGGCTCTAAGGTGATTTGACCATGACATACTGACTTACAACTACTTTGTGTTAGGAGTGTTTACATTTTCTTAATCCTTGAAAGGTGATTATCAGAAAACAGAGACCATATATCTCAGTGTCAATTTGATTAGGTTATGGTTGCTGTTTATTAGGCTTATATACAAGTCTATCATGTTAAAGGCCAATTAGCACCTAATTCATCCAACACTGTAGTCGGTACTATCTATCTACTTTGCGCTCTAATCGGCCAATTTGTACATAAGTGGACTGGTTTAAATGCTTGATGAAGTGTGCTGATGTCTATATATAAATGTTTTTGTTGTGTAGATATGAAAGTAACACTGAAATATGTGAGACCAAGAGGGAATCATGTAGAAGCAAAGGCTATTTTGGGAAGCAAATTTACTCCTGGACATCTGGTCCATGGATTCTGACATTAGTGTGTGTGTGTGTGTGTGTGTGTGTGTGTGTGTGGATTTAGTAAAGTTACAGGAGCTTAGAGCTTACCGTAAAGCTTTGTATCACAGGCAGATAAGACAGAGAGGGAGTGGGCGGAGACACAAACAGAAGCAGTCTAATGATAGCTTCCACATTAAGTGGATCTGAGCTGTTTGCCGTGTGCCGTCCATGCTTTTATGTACAGCGACCGAACACTTAATGTTATTTAATCCAGAGAAATATAATGCATTCACAAACATCAAATAAGAAACTCAAGTGGTCGTAGTAAGACACAGAAGTTGATGTATTTCTATAAATCTTTTCTCTGGTTGCAGGTACACATGCAGAAAATGTTTTTGGGGAGCTTTTTAATGAGGCCAACACCTTTTACGGGCGTGCCAACTCTCTCCAGGACCGCATTGACCGCTTGGCTGTCAAGGTCACCCAGCTGGACTCCAGCGTGGAGGAGGGTTAGTTCACTGCCAATCGCTTGTCTCTTGATTTGATATCGTATTTTCTACTCCCCTCATTCATTCTCACTCTGCTTTACATTAAAACCTCTCTCCTATTGTTTTGTAGTATCTCTTCAGGACATAAACATGAGGAAGGCATTCAGAAGCTCTACTGTCCAGGACCAGCAGGTTTTGTCCAAAGGCAGCATTCCAAACTCTGTGGCTGAGATGCACAACATGAGCGACAAGCCTCCTCCCCTCAGCACCCTCTCTGCCTACAGGTACTGCCTGCATTCAAACACATATGGACAGGTTGCATTTCCAATTAAAGTGTTGCATTTCATGTGGAATGGATTTTGTTTTTTTAATTACAGAGAGGATTCCACTGATGCAATGAAATTCTACTCAGACCCGTCGTACTTCTTTGACTTGTGGAAAGAGAAAATGCTTCAGGACACAGAAGACAAACGGAAAGAAAGACGAAAGCAAAGGGTGAGCGCACACTCTAATCACTGCTTTTTTAAAATGTATTTTATGTCTTATTTAGTGTGTTTTACTCCTTGTCTGTCCCTCCATCTACTTTCCACAGGAACAGAAGCGATGCGTGGATAGCAACACGCTTCAGCGCGAGGTGAAGAAGGTGAGGAAGGTTCGAAACCGCAGGCAAGAGTGGAACATGATGGCATTCGATAAAGAGCTTCGCCCGGATCACCGTCATCCGCAGACTCTGCGCAGAGGGGCGTCGTCCGAGGGCTCGCTCTCTCCAGACGGCAGGTTAGTGCTTATTTTTTGCCATAAAGTAGAGAAATGTGTGTTTTTAGATGGAATGGAATGAGTTTTATATTCACTGGCGTGTTCATGATGAAAAATATTAGGATAATATGTTAAAAATTGCATAATAAAATATAAAAATAAGGATTGTCTTGAGTGTGATGCCATAACATGTCCTGTTTGTCTCGGTCTACATGTTTCCTGTCACTCTTAAGTTGCAAATATATATTTTAAAAAAAGGCAACATTTATCTTGAAAACACACCGTTAAATAGATTATATAACTGAATTATATGCAGATGCAGTCAAAATGTAGATTTCTGGAAGTTTTATTGAAAATTAAAGACAAAGATTGCGAGAAATAATATCTAAACAGGAGTTCAGTAGGGGGTATTTTGATGAATAGGACCATGGGACTCAATTATCTCTGTTGTGTAAAGCTTTAGTTTTGATTTTATAACAACAAAATCCACCATCTGGATATGTGAAGGCATCTGAATGAAAAGCTCTTTCATTGTTTATCCAGGCCTGACCTCCTAGACTACCCCGTCCCTCCAGTGCCTACCCACGCTGCTTGTAATTATGCCAAGTCACATGATTACGTGCCTGGGAACGCACACCCCTCACCACCTGTGGAGCATGAATACCACAGCATTGATGTCAACTACAAGAGAGTAACGTATGCCACAGCAGAGCCTCACGCTGCAGACCGGATGAACGGTTCAATGCGTCCACCTGCAGATTACAAGTATGTTTGTTTGTTGTTTGCATAATCAGAGAAACAGTTAAATATAATATCACTTTTCCACTGCAACATAATCCTCTTTATATCATTGTCCACCAGCTCCGGCCCCCCACCTCCTGCCTCGGGCCCACCCATCCCATCAGCCCAGACAGCCTTTGGTTTTCCTCTGGGTGCACTACCACCAACACCACATAATGGGGTCGTGCATGTAGGCCCGGGCTACCCGCTCCCACCTGTACCTCCTCAAGGGCCACGCATGGTCCCTCCTCCCCCAGGTCCCCCACCTCCACCTCTCCCTCCTCCAGCTGCACCCTCGCACCTAGCAGGACACAGCGGAGGCAGCAGAGCTGAAACTAAACCCGCGGGGGGTGCAAGAAGTGACTTGCTGTCCGCTATCCGCATAGGTGAGTCGGGGTGGTTTATTCTGCATGGTTTTCTACTGGTCAGATAAAAGCAAACATGGTTGTATAAAACTACATCCTGTTCTGTATGTGACCCTGTGTACAATATGTGATCTTATTTTAATAAACTGGATGTGTGCCCTTTATAGGCATCCAGCTGAAGAAAGTCCAAGAGCAGCAGGAGCAGCAGAACAAGCGGGAGCCGGTGGGGAACGACGTGGCCACCATCCTGTCTCGACGCATTGCGGTGGAGTACAGTGACTCTGAAGATGACTCTGAGTTTGATGAAAATGAGTGGTCAGACTGACCAAACACAAAAGTGTAGCACCTGGCTGAAGTTCTGCTTCACTGGATCTTCAGCGCAAATAAAACAGAACTGTGAATCCCTCGCTTTGGCTCCCCCTAGTGGGCCTTACATATCAACCCACTGCTGCAGAGTACCTTTACTTCACCTTATATTATTAAAATCTGCAGCTACATGTTTTTTCTCATGAGGATAATTGTACAAGTGAGCAGTTTGCACCATTTTTCTGAAACAGGTGAATTCTCAGATATACTGTATACTGTCCACTGATTAATTGATAGAAAAATGTTTAGTTTTCTACCACTGATAAAATGTGAGCCATTAGTTTTGTGTTGATCTAAATCTAATCTACTAATAAAATGCCCTCTCCTAATAACAAACTGACACCTTGAACACACCATACCCATCACTCCATTGATGAAATGTGTACTGAGACCTTTTTCACACAAGACATTTTGACATGTCACAGTAGGAAAAGCACAGGTATAAATAATAAAAATGATTGGCTGAATTCTACATAACTGCTTCAGTTTCAGGGTCCTGGTATTTTCCTATAAGTCAACATGTCTGCTATGAAAAGAGCCTGTTATATGGCAATATAAAGTAAAACTTTGAAAGAGTTCAGTATTTATTTTTATCATTTTATTAAATCACACATTCCTGGTAATATTTTTGACTAAATGTACTCCGCCATATATTATGTGAGTGAATAATTCCATGAGACATTTTGTAATTGCTACCTCAATTTGTGATTATTTCACTGTCCCACAGTATGTGCAGTAGGGTATCATAGCCAGTCTGAATACAGTTTGTTCTGCCATAATTTTTTTTTTTTTTTTGTGAAAATGTTGACATATTATTAAATTATTTCAATATCAGCAAGAAAATCATGTTGTGATTGTCTCTCTTTTACTGTCTTTTTCTTCCTCTTCCGTATCCTTCTCAATAGTCCTTCAGTAGCTATATTTATCACCTAAATAGTAAATAATATTATAACTGTGTTCATATCATAGTGATAGTGTGCACATGACAGCAGCAAGGCATATTTAAGACAATGTCAGTCAGCCTCTGATATTATTGATTATTATTGATTGGCATATAATATGAGATAATAAGATTTAATAAAATTATCAATAAAGCACTTCCAGTTCATGATACTAGGTATTTATTATGAGGTAGTTATTGGTACAAAGATATCACATGTAGTTAGTACTATGTAGTCACATTATAAAGGTTATTACCAAGGTAAAGAGCCGTGGCCAACACGCTACAATACAATTAATAACATTTGTAAAAATTGGTTAATTTATTTAAAAACAGTTTGAAATAATTGTAGCTCGTTGAGTTGAATGTTTCATGTATATCCAGCAGAGGTCAGTAATGCGCCAGGTGGACGTGGTGGAGACCGGCGTCGACCAGGAAACTGTTGAGCGTCGGCCGCCATGTTGGCTCTACAGATAGCCCAGCAAGCCAGAACAGGGAAACCCGGTTGAGCCGCAATGGAGATGTTTTCTTCCCGTGATAGTCCGGTGCCTAGCAGGTGATTAGCACAGTGAAGCTCCTCCTCTGCCTGCTACGTTAGAGACAAACCTGGACAACTGCACATTAAGACAAGGTAAGATATTTATAGTGGCTTTTGGATTCATTACTTCTTTAGATTACCTTTAAATCTTGGACCAAATATTTCGTGAATAATCTTTAATTTACCTTGTGATGATGATGAAGATAGCTAGTGTTTGTTAGCTGGTTAACCTGCCTGACTTATACGTACAAATCAGCTTTGCTGATACGTTCCGTGTCTGTAGTAACAAACAATATGCTGCCATCTGGCTTACTAAACATATCCTCAGCGTATCTTCTTCACCGTATCTTCAACCCTGGGTGAAAGGTAAATCCATGTGTAGCCTCAGCTGAGTTAGCTAGTGACCTTACACTGCTGCCACTTCCTAATGTGTTATGGTGCTCATTTAAATGTCCATTTGATCGAGGTGTGTAAAGCCGTAGACTGACACGTTTTCATTGTTAACTTTATCATTAGCTAAGAGGATGTGCTACATATAATGTGCATGTGTTCAACTGTGTCAGAGGTTTGTGTGTTCAGTCTATGTCTTGTATCCATTCCTCAAGGGATTTTGCAGGACAGAAACTATCAAGATGGATACCTCAAAACTTCCTAAGATCCAGGATGAGGAGCGAGAAAGCCAGTTTGGATACGTACATGGAGTTTCTGGACCAGGTCTGGTTTATTGCCCTTCTCTTGAAATGGCTAGATTGCATTGTTTAGCATCTGATGGGTCAAAAGTCATTTCTTCCAGCTACTATAGGTTAGGCAAGGCTTAAATATTTGTGACAACCTTTCACACTATAGTAGCTCCCCATACAAGTGGGTAATTTGCATAAAATCCTGTATTACAGTCATTTTATATTGTGACATTGATATATAACGATATTTGGTGACATGACAATTCAAGAAACCTCATCACATTTATGCAGCAATCATATTAAAATCTAATATTGCCAGAATACAGCATATTCATTGTCCACCAGATTTGTTCATTACAACAATCTCTATATTTTTCTCTCTCTTTTCAAACCTATCCAATCAACAGTGGTGACAGCTACTGCGATGGCAGGAGCAGCCATGTACGAGCTGGTTCGTGTAGGTCACAGTGAGCTGGTGGGAGAAATCATCCGTTTAGAGGGCGACATGGCAACTATCCAAGTCTACGAGGAGACTTGTATCCTTTCTGCTGCCATGTTACTAGACACATTTTAGAGCTACTTTACTGATAGAAAACAGGAGTATGAATGTGATGTGCGTACAGTTTGTTTTGTTTTCCTTGACCTAATGTTGCAGCTGGTGTGTCAGTCGGTGATCCTGTCCTTCGGACAGGGAAACCCCTCTCTGTAGAGCTGGGACCAGGAATCATGGGCTCCATCTTCGACGGTATCCAGCGTCCACTAAAAGACATCAATGACCTCACTCAAAGCATATACATCCCAAGAGGAGTAAACATCAGTGCTCTTAACAGAGACATCAAATGGGAATTTACCCCCGGCCAGAGTCTTCGGGTAAACAGAAATTACAATTTGATTGAGGTGTGGACTTGGTTGTCTCTCTCTCTCTTATGTAACTTCTCTGGCTAATGTCATGTGATCTCCTATCCAGGTTGGCAGTCACGTGACAGGCGGTGACATCTACGGCAATGTGTTTGAAAACTCCTTAATCAAGCACAAGCTGATGCTTCCACCTCGCAACAGAGGCACTGTCACCTACCTGGCCCCGCCTGGAAACTATGACATTTCTGTGAGTGTTGGATTCAAAATGCTTCTCCGTTGGATCAAACTTTTCTGTGAACTGATTTTCTGATCTTGTTGCATTCAGGATGTGGTTCTGGAGCTCGAATTTGAAGGCGTAAAAGAGAAGTTCACCATGGTGCAGGTTTGGCCAGTAAGACAAATCCGCCCAGTCACAGAGAAGCTACCTGCTAATCATCCGCTGCTGACTGGTCAGAGAGTTCTGGACGCACTTTTCCCGTAAGTAGTCCCCTAAAGAGGACATTGTGCACTCATTTGCTTTCATAACCACAGATGTTAAACAATGGGTTGTGGATGCAGGAAATCTTTGTGTTTTTATAGAAGTGTTTTATTATATATATATATATATATATTTTTTTTTTTTTATATATATATATATATATATATATATGTGTGTATATATGTTTGCTTCTCTGTAGTTTGCTGACTGTTTCTAATGATTTGGTTTCAAGATTGTCACGACTTCAGCCTCCATTTTAACTTTAACCTTTTATTCTTTATAAACACTCATAGATAGTCTTCATAGTCTTCAACTGATTGCTGTTCACATGTGTGGAGCTGCTTATTTAATGCTATTTGATTTAAGATCTGTAAGCTGCATATGAACCCTCATTTGTGCTGTTACAGTTGTGTGCAGGGGGGCACCACAGCTATACCAGGTGCCTTTGGATGTGGAAAGACTGTGATCTCGCAGTCCTTGTCCAAGTACTCCAACAGCGACGTGATTATTTACGTGGGCTGCGGCGAGCGTGGAAATGAAATGTCTGAGGTGCTGCGGGATTTCCCCGAGGTTGGTGGAAGGATAAAAACGTATTTGTCATATTTGTGTTGCTGTGTACGTATTTCACTGGGTCACTTTCAGATCTGATATGTTTAAAAAGAATAAACGAATGATGAATGATTTCATTTTATATTTGTTTTAGAGCTAAAAAAACCCTTCAGTGTGTATACATTGTATATTTTTAACACTGCTCTCACCCAACAGCTTACTATGGAGGTTGATGGCAAGGTGGAAAGCATCATGAAGAGAACCGCGCTAGTTGCTAATACATCCAACATGCCTGTGGCTGCCAGAGAGGCCTCAATTTATACAGGTACCAACCATTCATATGAAACAGAACACTCATTGTTCGTTTTAAATGCTACTACATAATTTTCCTTTAGTTGAAGTTAAGTTTTGCTTCTTTATAAACAATGGGGAAACTTAAAAGGCCCTAAAATCCCATTCTAAAGGATGTTGGAGAACATATAGTAAACACCTTTTTGTTTCTTTTCTGTTTGTAATCGTTTGGAGAATCCATTAAAAGCATTTATAGATTAAATATAATTACCTCTGCAGGTATCACACTGTCCGAATACTTCAGAGATATGGGCTATCATGTGAGCATGATGGCCGACTCGACATCTCGATGGGCCGAAGCTCTGAGAGAAATCTCTGGAAGATTAGCCGAAATGCCTGCTGGTAAGTTCATGATGGATGTGATTGATAGTATTTGTTAAGACGCTGTGAGACAGTAGTTGTGACAGTAGAAGCGGTTACAGCTGTGTATGTCATTGTCTGTAGACAGTGGGTATCCTGCTTACCTGGGCGCCAGGCTCGCCTCCTTCTATGAACGCGCCGGACGTGTGAAGTGCCTGGGAAATCCAGAGAGAGAAGGCAGCGTTAGCATCGTAGGAGCGTAAGTTGACGTTTGTATAAGCAGGGAAAATAATGTCGTACTTTTTTCCAACATCTGTTGAAATTGAAAATGCGTTAATATTATATACTGTTGGTTTTGCTTGTTTTAGCCTATGAATTGCCAACAGTTACAAATACTGCTGTTACTGCTTACCTCCATGTTTCAGAAGCAGACTAAGCATTCAAAATGAATTTCCTGGATGGTTGGAAATCAAATGCACACAACATAACGTCTTGCAGCTGCACCACATGTCGTAGCTACCTTTAGTGGTGCAATAGCTATCGATAACTCTAAGTTATATATTGTTCTGTGGCATTTTTAGAGATTTATTGGGGTCCGAAAAAGGTCTTTGACAGCAAGAATATTAATATCATTTTTAAAGGAGTAAGAAAAGCAGGCAGCCTAACAAAGCAAATGAAGGCATGTAAGATACATCATCAGTTATTTGACTGACATTTCGCTGAATTACTCTGAATTTCTCTTAGTGTGTCCCCCCCTGGTGGAGATTTCTCAGACCCTGTCACTTCAGCCACACTGGGAATTGTTCAGGTAAGCCATCGGCAGTGTTCTCTTCAGCCCTTGATCCTAAGATTGGCTCAGTTCACCCTGTAGCCAACATTTTTTTTCTTCGTTGTGTGTCATTCTGAGCGCGTGTCAATGTTTTTTGTGTTTTATTTTTCGTAGGTGTTCTGGGGATTGGACAAGAAGCTGGCTCAGAGAAAGCACTTCCCTTCTGTAAACTGGCTGATTAGCTACAGCAAGTACACACGTGCTCTGGATGAATATTACGACAAACATTTCCCCGAGTTTGTTCCTCTCCGCACTAAAGCCAAGGAGATTCTGCAGGAGGAGGAGGACCTGGCTGAAATTGTACAGCTTGTAGGCAAGGTGAGGACAAGTATGGCCTCAAAAGTAACTAAAGAGTTCAGTTGGACGTACGCTCGATCAAAAAGTCTTGACTGAATCAACAAAGAATCCCACACACTTTTACCCACTTTATTAATGACGCTGGTTCTTAGGTCTTCATTAGGTGAATTCACATAGGCAGACATCACAATATATAGTTAGAAGAGCTCATTAACCTTTATTTGTATGGATGCCAGGGAGGTGCTGCTGTTGCCCTCCAATCGGTTGGTTTTCCCTGCTCTGTTTGTATGTATTTACAGTACCATCGACATTTATAAATTTAATAAAATGGAGGTCAGACGATCAAAATGTCTGTAAGTTAGAATAAGTGACTGACAAACTGGCTCAGAACATTTTTACAGCTAGTTAATCTGTGCATTTGATGTGTGAAGCCTGTGTTTTATAGAAGAGGCTTCTGACAGACCTATCAAGTCATTTAAATTCTTTGCATGCTAACCTGGTTAATCAACAACTCTGAAACAATGTTTTTTTTGTTCACAGGCTTCTCTTGCTGAGTCTGATAAAATCACTCTAGAGGTTGCAAAGCTCCTTAAGGATGACTTCCTGCAGCAGAACGGTTATACGCCCTACGACAGGTGAAGACGAAACAACTCACCAGCCACAAAATGCATGTCGTTTAGATTCAGAAGAAGCTCTCCACCTTTGTTTTATTTTTCAAATGACACCACAATGATGATATTGAATTTTGTAAACATAGAAGTAGCTAATCTCACATAGCAATTGAGGACCAAAACTTGAAAACATAAATATAGACATGAGCTACAGCAAAGTCATTATTTAAAGACACAAGTGATTTCTAATAATAGAAAAACTAATGTGGTCCATTAGTTTAACATTAAACAAGGTTACACTACTGATCATCAGTAGATATGTGGGGGGGGGGTCTGTAAATATTGTCTTTCAACTGAGTATTACTTCCTTACACACACAGGTTCTGCCCCTTCTACAAAACTGTTGGCATCCTCTCAAACATGATTTCTTTCTACGACATGGCCCGACACGCCGTGGAGTCCACAGCGCAGAGTGACAACAAAATCACTTGGGCCATGATCAAGGAGCACATGGGAGAGACCCTGTACAAAATGAGCTCCATGAAGTTCAAGGTACACGATTATTCTTCAGCTTACTTACATTTTCTATGATGTTTTATGTTATTTATCACTCAAGATAAATAACTTATTCTCGGTTGATTCCTGTTTATGCTCATCTGCTTCTTTAGGACCCTGTTAAGGATGGTGAAGCTAAGATCAAAGCAGAGTTCGCACAGCTGCTGGAGGACATGCAGAACTCCTTCCGGACCCTGGAGGAATGAGATTTCTTCCCCCCTCAGTTCCTCTCCCAAACATCCAAACCCCCCAGTGCAGTGCAACATAGTGCAGATTAAATGGCCCCTGTTCTGAATGTCTGCCTCAATCATTTGAACTCCTTTTAATTCCTCTGTTTACGTCCCCTTAAACATTCCATGAGCTGCACAAATGTCCATTTAGTTTTGTTGATTTTTGACTCGTCTGCTGCAAAAGAAACACAGTACTGGAATCCCATAAGACACCTGAAGATATGGTTTGCTCTGCGGATGTAGCAACACCTTCACTCAGCCCATTACGTAGCACTTATAGATCACTACACCCTCATGCTGTGGTTACAATCAGTGGGCCATATCAGGTGCTGTACTTGCACTTAACTAATAGCTGCAACAAAGAGTGGAACGCTTCTTTTCCCCCAGATGTGACAGTGATCAATGCCGATTATTAATGAAATGGGATCATGCACATGGGTAAAGGGACAGAAGCACTGTGTTATTGTATATCAGGGGGTTAAAGGCATTCTTCCATCTCTTACCTCTTCAGTGTGATGTTGTGGACTATATACTTGATATTATATGTAAAAATGTGAATGAATGAGTCGGTTAGTGTTGTGTTGTAACAGATGTCTCACTATTATATTCACGGTATGTTACGGTGTCCTGAAATAAATGTTCAAAAAAACAAACTTAAGTTTATTGTGTGAATGTCTGAAAGCCTGCTCCATAAAGGCAGAGCATACAAACGTGTGATAAACCTATATCTATACCTATAGGAAGGCCATATAAAGTCCATTTTATATTATATTCTTGTTACTGCTGCAGCTCCTGAGTGCATTGATATTCAGTGAAAGAGTCTCACCTCCAGGTGGCGCACACACACTGCTTGAATGCTGCAGGACTGTTGGGAAAAGGGTCTGACTCATGTATTGAAAACATTAACAACAAACTATATTTTCCCCATAAATGTGTTTTTGTAGCTTTGAAGAAGTTTGGAAAAACATTTTACTCATCACTACACCAAACGCTGTATGGATCTATAGTATAATGTCTATCAACACATTACTGAAGCTACAGTATATGATAGTGTGAGAATAATATGAGCCCAGAACACCAAAGTTTTCCTGCTTGTGCTGTCAAATGCAAATATTCTAAACATCATGTGTGTAATTTTATAGTAATTTCCCTACAAAACTCAGCCTGATAGATTTGGTATATTTGAATTCTCTAAACAACCATAATAATAACAATAACAATGATAATTTTCACATTTAACAAGCCTGATATTGAACATGCAATTAAATAATTAAAGCTTCTGGAAACATGGTTTCAAGTCTTAATAATTTTCTGAAAACATTTGATATTCTTTACAACAATAGAATTTAAAGTTTTGTAAAAAAAAAAAAAAAAAAAAGAAGAAAAAAGAAACATTCTTATTATTTATTAAGTGTTTAACACTTAAAATCTCAGCTTTGTATGCTTCATCAGGACTGTGTGGATGAGCAGCAATCCCTCAACTGACCTTCATTATTTTTTGATCCCGCTGTGTCTAAATTGTGATTGGTGCACAGAAGTACGTGACATCAACTTTTACCAGCGAGTCCCTCCCACTTGAAATCGATGGTAATCACACAGACAGAACAAAAAATATAAAAGTCCATCATGAAATAACCCAAACTGTTAAACGTTCATATAAAACCTGATTACTCGTAGTAAGACGCTACCTGAGAATACAGGTCAGGACCTTTAAACTAGGACCAACAACACCAGGGTACACCGGACACCATAATGTCTTTTTCTAAACTTAAAAGAGAGGTCGTCCTGGAGCGCAGACAGTGTTATGACAGGTAGACAGCTGATTAGATTAATGGACTGCTTCCTGTCTCCTCTGCAAGGAAAATGTTGCTGTTGCTGCTCAGGAATGTAGAGGGATATAACAAATACAGGGAAGAGGAGAGGAGAAGCCCAGTTTCATCAAACATGACCGCAAAAAATATCTTGGTTGCACAATTTACCCTTTACCCTTTGTTCGTTGAAAACACAGCATCTGTTGTTGTTTGCTGATGTGTGATCTTCAGCATGTATTGTTGGTTTAGCCCTTCGTCTACGACTCACACAGCATTAATTCCTCCAAAATAGATTAGAGCCGGTATCTCGGGTTCCGGCCTCCATCAAGACTAATGGAAGCACAACCCACAGGAGCAAGAGCAGCATCTTTTTCAATGCATTGATTCAATCCATCCAGACTCATCACACCAGTGCAGACATTAAGAGGTTTCAGTGGTATGAGACTATACCGGCCTATAGCTTATAATGCACCTGCCTCTCTTTCTCTCATTCTTTAATTTGCAATGACTGATGGGCAGTGTGTGTGTGTGTGTGTGTGTGTGTGTGTGTGTGTGTGTGTGTGTGTGTGTGTGTGTGTGTGTGCTTGTGTGTATATGTGAAAGAGGCAGATTCCGTCACATCCATAACATTTGTGCGGCCGTTGCTGAAGCTCACCAATCGTTCGTCCACTTCAAGGACAACAGAATAATAAAATACTCTTTTATGTAATTATTGACCAGCTTGTCTCTAATGTCAGAAAACAGATGACTCATGCAATTGCCTCACTTCTCTGACTACTTCATGAACTTCAGGGTATTTGCTACCTGCTCATCCTCCAGACACAAGTGTGTTTTCCAAGTTCTCTGAGCTGAGTCACTCCTGTTGGACCTTTTTTTTTTTTTTTAAAGCACCATTTTACAGCTGACATCAAATTTCAGAACATATTTCTTCCATATTTGATGGATTTCCTATCACATAACTGACTGTTGCAACCAAGTGTATTTTGTTTCTAAGTGACACCCACTGACATACAGAATGTAGCAGCAAGGGTGAAGGCTGGATTCAAGCTCCCATGTTGGCACACAAGGTCTCTGCTGAAGTGTTCATGAGCAAGAATTTTAATCCAAATTCTTAACACATGCTCGGGGAACTGCTTTGTGTTTGACCCTGTGCAGGGTCAGTGGGGGGGGGGGGTCAGGCTCCTGTATACAATATGCAGTGTTGTCAAAAATGAAAAACAAAAACAAAGGTATATTAACAGCAACACACACACATACAGCCTTCCAGAGTTTTCTCTCTGTGAGTGTGTGTGTGAGCAGCGAGGCCAGGTTGCTTGTGGGAAGAAATATGATCCCAGAGGGTGGGGCTGCCCCTTGGATCATCGCTCACTCTCTCATCTATGAGTGCCTGTCATGCTTCTCATAGACTCAGGTCCAGCTCAGTGTGTGGATTGTCAGGGCTGCTTTTGAACACCTCAACATGGCCTTGTCAGCTGTAGATAGAGGTATGAAAGACTCTCTGGCTCCCATTTGAGGTAGCGCCTATATTTACCAAGCATGCCAGTATTAAAACTTCAAATGGTAACTCATAGAATCTGTGAGGCAGGAGTGGGCTATGGGATAGGACAACTCGTGCACTATTTAATGACGTGAGAAGGATAGTCTCGGAGAAAAGTGAGCTGGCAGATGCAACACAATATCAAACCACTTGTCAGGAGGGATCCCAGTTGCCTTCTGTTGGGACACTTCCACCGAGGGAATCCAAGAAATGAAAACCATCTCACTGCACTGATATGGTGTCGGTGCAGCCCCGCCAGAGCAGAAACATGCCAATTTCCTTTTTCAACACAAATGACTGATGAGAAAGTAGGCTGCTGTTTTCTTTTTTCCCCCCCCTTCCTTCAGTCATACACAGAAGGAGCTTGGTGACAAGGGGTCATCTTCTTCATCATTTGCTGAAGATCGCAGAACTTTTACCTGGAAAGAGTCAATCTGACATTTCAGACCACATGTGCTGATGGTTTTGTATTTTTGTTGTGGAGACTAAAGGTAAGTTAAAAGAGAAAAGGTTTATCTTTCTTTTGTGGAGTTTTTCTTTTTTACACGACTAGAACATTTGGATAACGAGTCAAATACTGTTGGTGAATAACTGTGATCATTATTAGATAATGCAGTCTGATAGAAAATCTTATAAATTGGGAAACTGTGATAAGGCAAAGAGACTCAAAGCTGACTGAAATGTAAATTTTATCTTCTTATTTTTAATATTGTTCTGTTTATTATGTGTTATAGGCTGTATAACACAAGCCTGAACCTGGCTAAATTAATAACTCGCACTGACAATAACTCACATCTTTGAGTGTTGAGGACCTGGGTTTAATGGCCCAGATAGTTTATCCCTGTGGACACAGTGGCCTTGTTTCAACAAATTACGTGATAAGCTCTCGGGGGCTGAGAATCCTCTGAGTTTGGAAATGATTATTTTTTATAACTAACAGGTTGAGTCCAGTATAACTTGCTGTAACCTGTATATGACTGTATTGTTATTCTGTCTTTATACATTTCATGTCTTGTTTTAGAGGACTAGAGGTTTAATATCATCATAAGTAGTAAAAGTAATAATGGCTTTATTGCTGTCTTGTTTTTCTTCGCTCATACTTGTACATGTGTGTTTTTGCTGTGTGCATCATGTTAAGTCTCCTGTAATCATGATCATTGTGCCTTTGTGCTCTTTTACAAACTCAGACCTGGAGTCAGATTCACACCAGGTTCTGGATTTAATATTTGCCATCATTATCACTGATTCGCAGATATGGAGAAACAGTTAAGGGAGAAGCAGTAGAAGTATTTAGATCCTTTACTTGAGTAATAATAATAATACTTTATTACAAGTAAAATACAAGTAAAAGTATAATCAGCAAAATGTACTTAAAGTAAAAGTACTCAATGCAGAAAAGTGTACCCTGTGACACCTTCACACTCTTTTTTTTTTGTCCAACCAATAGTCCAAACCTCATTATTAAAAATTTATTAAATTATACTTTTTAATGCACACAAAATGACTTTTGTGTCAGTCAGCTGTACTTGGACAGCGTACTGTTGGACGGTTTAATTTATAAAAAAACATAATATTTTATAAGTTCTTCATCTGTTTTGTGTGAAAAAGTCTTAAAGTAAGCTGTCAGACAAATGCAGTGCCCTACTTTGTTCCGGTATTTGAGTAAATGAACTTAGTCAGAAGTCAGTCAGTTAGTTTCCGATCTTTATATACGTATGTGTGTGTGTGTGTGTGTGTGTGTGTGTGTGTGTGTGTGTGTGTGTGTGTGTGTGTGTGTGTTTGTGTGTGTGTGTGTGTGTGTATGTGTGTATGTGTGTGCGTGCTTGCCGTTTAGATACTAATTGCAGAATATTGCTCGCCCATGCAAGAAAATGTAAAAACCTCTACCTCTTTGTTCTGAGGATTGCTATTGTTTGTGTGAGTCACATATTTTAACATTGACACCAATGTGCTGTAACTGTTCATGGTTCATTGCTCAACAGTACAGAGTTTTTAAATGACGGCCTTTTGTTCTGAAATGACAGCTTGTAAACTTCAAAGTCATCTTTAGCAAGCCATTATGAAATGGGAGAAGTTAAAGCCTCCAGAGCCAGATGATCCTATGTGTTGCTGTGAGTGTGATATCTACCAGTACGGATGTTGCTGTGACTGTGAAGATCTGGATGAAGCCTTTAACAGGTATGAAGGGCTTGAGGAAAAGGGTCAGTACTGAGAACCGCTACAATATACTGAACAACAAAAAAATAAAAGAAGCCTAGTGTTGCTTGATTTTTATTCACATAGAAGTAGCACTTTTTTAAAACTTAAGTTCAGTATCTCATTGCTCTAATTTACAATATGTTTTATTATGTATGGTAACCAAGAGTGAGCCAGTGTGAATAAGGTCAAACTGTTCCAGGGCCCGGTTCATTATTTTCTCCCTGAAGAGTTAATCTGGCCCTTATTATAAGAAACCTTCCTCACAAAGTAAAAACAAATAAACCTAATATCTTTCTTAATATGCCATTACAGCATCAACTGTAAATCCTTTAAAAAGCGGAGTACAGAACTAAAAGTAAAATTTACTTATGTGAAAGTAGTATCACTGATTTTAGAGTGTACTGAAAAATGTATGCAGCTCAAACACATGAAAAACTACCTTTTTTCCACCAATGAACAAGCAACTGCATTAGCTACAATCATAATTACAAAGCTCTGTAATTATGACTTGATGACCACTGTTCTCTGTAGGTGGCTGAGAGACAAACCACCTAAAAGTGGATGTCAGTCCGCTGTACTTGGGGCCATGATTGACAACCTGGAGATCTCCATGATCCCGGCCCTGGTGCTTCTGCCTCTGCTGCTGCGTGTTGCAGCTCTGCACTACCTGCTGGGTATCATCATCCTGACGGCTCTGCCCGGCCTGGTGCTGTGGTACTACTACGCCACGCACCGAAAGAGGAGACGCACCCTCTTCTTCCTCACTCTTTCACTCTACTCCCTGTTCTACATGTATTACCTCTTCATCACAGAGATTTTACCACGTGGGGACATCAGCCAGCTGCAGTTGTGTACTGTGACCACTGGCATGATTCTCACTGTCGTCTTTCTTATTCTCACCAAGAGAGGCCCAGGAGTAGTGACCACTTCCGCACAAGAAGCACACAGTCCCAGTCAGGAGGCTAACAAGGACACCAGACACCTTAATGGATCTACCCAATCAGAAGCGTCCTCCTCAGGGACTCTAGCAGGGTTGCAGACAACAAAAGAGGCCCTGACAGCAAAATGGAGCAGGTGTCCTGTGTGCAAAATAATGCGACCCCCACGGGCTGGACACTGTCGAACCTGTGGATCCTGTGTGCAACGTCTGGACCACCACTGCATCTGGTGGGTTGGATTTAACATGCAAGTTTAGATATTTCTTGTGTGGCCTGTGAATCACTTCTAAGTAAGTGATGTTTTTCTGTATTGTGCATTCACAACAGATCATGAAAATGAATATAGAGTTATGATGGATTTGGTAACTGCCATACAGTCATATCTTCACATCTACTTCCGGTTTTCTTCCACAGTAGAGAAAGATTTAAATGAACCATTAATCACTGTTTAATAATAGATATGAGTCAGCCATTAAATTGTAATTAATTCATAAAATATTTTTCCCACTTACACATATAGTTGTATCTGTTGTATGTTTGGGTTTATTTTTTGAGAAGTGAAGTGTCTGAGATTTCTGCTGCCACCTTGAAACAGTGGAGGTGAATGGAAATGAAATTGGTAAATTGTGCTGAAGCATAGAAAACTGACATTTCGAAAACTCCAAAGCATCAACGTTTTTCCATAATCGACAGATCTTACTGTGAACAGTTTTGACATTTTAGAAACTATCCTCCAAAGGTGAAGAAAAGTGTTGAATTGTCTCCTAGATTAGGTAATGCTCTCCGCAATACACTTATAACCTAAAGATAAAATTTATTTATTATTCACTGTAGATGGAAACCTCTGATATTACCAGGAATGATACAAAAGTCACTTGAATGTGAACTTAAAAAACAACATACAACGTCAGGTTTAAACTCTATGGAGCCACACCCTGCAGGCAGGAGGTGTGTTGCTGCCTCAATCTGGTCTGACTGGTACATTGTGTTGTGTGTCTTCTGTGTTATGCGTGTATGTGTTGAGACGTTGTAGGATAAATAGCTGTGTTGGACAAGCAAACCATCGCTGTTTCCTGCTCACCCTCTTTGTGTTCGTGTTGACCTCTCTGTATGGGATCAGTCTGGTGCTTCGCAGCCTCTGTCCTCGGCAGTATCTGATGACGGCTCTCCTCTATTGCCCCACAGTCTACAGTCAGTCTAGGTACACAACTCTTTTTTATTCTGTCTCCACCACAGGACGCAGGTGTCTATAAAACTAGATGTAAGAGTAGATGAGAAGTCAACATTGTAAATGTTCTTGAAAGTAATATCAAAATAGGAATTCTGAACTGAACTTTCCTGGCTGAGATTAGATAATCTCAGATATGTATAATCAATAAACATTTTATAATGAATTTCAGTGAAATGTATTATTAGTATCAGTATACCTATCCGTGCTTGTTATATTATGTTATATTTTGAAATTATAGACTGACAACTGTTTATAGAGAATTAAAAATTACGTGAAAACTCAAAACCCACCTTTTCAGCTTGTGTCATAGTTAAATTGCTGTAATACCTTTATTTATGTTTCCATTATTGTCTGTTGTTTATTTTAGGAAAGCATTAACATCACATAAATTTTTGGTAAATAGAGAAAAAACATTGTAATTTACCCTCTTTTTTGCCTTGGACTGTGTCTATTTATTATAAATGAAGAGTGGTTAATACTGATAGTCAGATCAGCTTAAACAATAGTTATGTGGCATTAGAAACACAGATGATGTGATAAAGTAATTTTTTCGAGAGACTAGAGGGCCACAAGTACCAGTTATGTTTTTGTTTTTCTCCATCATGAAGTCAAATTTTAAGATGGAATAGCCTAGTATTGTTAAAAAAAAACATTTAAAGGTTTTAAAAGGTTGTACTAAATGCATTTCAAACATGTATATTGCTTTAATGTGATATTCACGCTTTCTTTATGTTTCAGCACAGCGCTTTGCTTCACCTGTGCGTGGTACAGCAGCATCATCACAGGTGGACTGCTTTACCTCTTGGTGGCACAAGTTCTGAATATCAGCTTCAATGTGACGGAGCGGGAGTCTCAGCTGGCTGTGAGGAACAAAACAGGCCAGAGCCGTCTGTGGGGACTCGTTATCGACACAGGAGAGTATTCACGTGGCTTCTGTCAGAACTGGGTTGAGTTCCTCACCATGGCAGATGCCTCGGTTTCTCCTCGCTCCAGCCTCACTGACTTGGTCTAGTTTCACTTCAGACTCTCAAGTAACATCAAGATAACAGACTGATAATACAGCATGTATTTCTTAGGATATATCAGCTGATGACTTCCAATGCTTAGTGCATTATAGCCTCTCAATATAATGTATTAAAAACTCAAAAATAAAGTTGCAGGGGGAATACCACGGTGCTAATGACTGCTTAATAGACTGCACATCGATAACTGTTTTGCTGTTGGAATTTGTTGCACAATTGTCAATCAAAGGAAATAATCTACAGGCATAAGGCTGCAGGCACTGCCATGTTACTGTATATATTTTCTCTACCTGCAGAAAGTCGTGTATGCTGTCTGACTGAATTCAAAATATTTTTGACTGCATGTCAATAAAAGAATTGAATAAAAATCTTAACCTTGTAGTAAATGAGGGGTGGGGTTCATGTAAAAGAAGAACAAGAGCCACACTTTCAGCTCTGTGCGCTCTGCTGATGGTCATTATACAACTAGAAAACATAAAAAATGTATCTTGGCCTTAGGGTGGGGCCATATTATATCCCACATTGTGACAGCAATTTAAGGCGTTTCTCCAATGTGCAGTGGCCACAGGATATACCAGACTCAACTTATCAGGCTTAAGTTGTTGTGATGTACTTTACTCAGCTCTGACTAACTAAATGCACATTAGCAACATGCCATCAGTTAGCACATTTGCATATTTAAATGTTAACATGTTTATATGCTTCGCTAATATGTAATGTTTAGCATATTAGCTTGTCATTCAGACTCTGATTGGAATATTGAGTCTGATGAATGAAACGAAACGAAAGGATGGAGCCAGCTGAGGTCATCAAACTGTGAGAAATCACAGGGACATGCTGGGGAGATTAGATATCCCATCCCAGCACTTCTATAAAACCTAATTTTAGACTGTTAAGTCAGCATTAGATATAACCAAACAGGCATGAAAACCTGGCACAGACGAATAGAGCTCTGCATCTGACCCCTGTGAGTCAGTGGTCAGTGTACAGCCATAACTTCCTGCAGCAGCTTGCATTCATCTTTACTGTTATGACTGATACAATCAGGCTTTTCCTGTATTTATTTGATATTACTCCTCTGCAGTGTGCTGCTGTGTTATTGATTTTTTAATCTAATGGTTTTTGTCCATTGCTGTCTCATAGTGCCTGTGGTGCTCTTTTTACACTGTCCAGACCCACACATTTTACGATATGCAGCGATTGTTTCTGGAAAGAGTCAATTACTGATATTATTTATTTATATTTATTCAAGTCCACAATCCTGTCCACCATCATAATGTATAACATTTAATGTGTTTAAGTACATCTATTCACTCATACGTAGCTTAATAAACAGAAAACTAAACAGTGTATGTGGCCTCAAGTAATGTCTAGACTCCAGTGTTTCTGTCCATACACTTCCCATTATTTCCCATTATCAGTTCTTATAATGCACATCTTGAATGGAGGAATCGATCAAGCTGTTTAAATCAATACACTTCCTCCATTTAAATCACTCAGTCTATTAACTGATAGGTTTATTCTCTCCATGCCCCCTATATCTCCATGTCAATAGCTCTGGAGTCAGTTTGTAAGAATGGTCTTTCCTCTGTTGCCACCCTCAGGCCAGTCAGTGTATTACAGCCGTGTGGCCAATAGACCCCCACTGACTGGCTCAAGAAGACTTTAATACTCAGTAATCAGATTTATATTTTTCATATGAACATTTCTAACTGAGTATTATTTTGAGTTGTTTAGCTGCTGAGTTGTAATATCGTACTGCCCTAAGGCCTGCTCATACACAGTCCACAAAGATACAGTCCACACTGACTGCCAGGTCAATAGGTATTCTGTGTATTTATATAAATATATTTCTGTTTTTAGTGCAAGTGCTCACAAGTTGAAGAATGGGTGTTATGCTGGAGTTCATTCAGTTCTGCAGGTGTTTAATATTTGATATTTGCATCTACTTTGTATGTGTGTGTTGTATTCAATCCCCACAGAGTTTGGTTCTCTCAGTGGTACCAATGCATACATCTGTAAGTCTGAGCTCTCTTTATAAAGAGATTTTTCTTAACAATTCCCTAAGGGGGGCATAACCGCCCCTGCTTCAAAATATATTCATTTCTCCTCTTAATTTGCCATGTGAATGGCCTACAGCCAATTGTCATCACAATGTCTTCAGCGTGTTTGATCAACTTTGTCTCGTGGCAGTGTCTAAAGATGACTATTGCTGTGCTATGCTTTGGTTCAATACATTACAATACAATTACTGATTCCGATTGAGGTGAGCGGTATTGAGGTATACGGGTAGGTGTCAGTCCCCAGAGGATGAGTCCTAATGGACCTGTGATGGTTCTTTCAGCCTCAAGGGCCAACTCTTTTCATGGTTGCTTGGTCACTCCATAATCTTTACTCTAGCGCCATCCTCAGGCCAATATGTAAACTTTATCCACAAGAACTCTCATGATCAAAAATGTAGATTCAGCACATTTAACTCCTGTGACCTCTCTTGACTCTAATGAACCCTTCCTCTAGTGCCACCCTGAGGCCAAACTGCTTTTGTAGCTTGAAAAATGAATGTAATATTGTTCATTCTATCTACCACTTAGGGTTGTGACGATCCTTCCCAGCTTTACAGGTACTTGGGTTGGCTGGTAGCTGGAGCTGGGAGGGTCACCTGCCTTACCTGCTAATGTGGGTGTGGCTCTCAGAAAGTTATAGAAGACTGCCCTTCTGGGAGTCTCTTTCTCTTTCAGCCTGGCATACAACACATTACACCACATTTCACTCAACCACACACCTCTAACGTTGCTGATATGACTGATATCTTTACACATCTCACCATTTAGTTGACATGTTTGGATTTTGAGTTAAACAAATTACCTTTTTCGACTGGTAATGACCAAATTGTATATTATTATTAACATTTTGTTCCTGATTCATTTAAATTAAAGAATATATAATTTATTCTTATGCTCTGATTCCAGTCTTCTTCCGTGCTATCATTGCGTGTGTGTGTGTGTGTGTGTGTGTGTATGTATGCGTGTGTGTGTGTGTATCCGTGTATGCGTGCCTGCCTTGAAGCTTCTTGGCACACAGGACAGATGTTTCAGCAGAGAACGGCTTTGGGCAATGAGCTGTTAAGAAAATATTCAGTCATATTTTTTCTGTGGTTAGTTACCTTCTGTATATTATATTATTATCACAGCCAGCCGGCCAACCCCAGCTTAGTTTAGGCTAATTTACAGTTAGTTAACTGTCACTGTCTTGATTTGCTCTTGGCTAGAAGAAAGCAATCATTTGCTGTGTACCGTTATCATAATATATTGTTGGCCAAAATCAACATTGTGTGTCATAATACATAAGTTAGTGTCATGGATCACATTAGCTGGCAAAGTTATTTTGCCAGCTAATGTTAGTCAGCTAAAACATCCACTCAGATAGTATGTTAATAGTGATAACGTTAGCAAGCCAGCTGCAACCCAAGCAGAATAATGTAGAATAATGTTGTCGAAAATCCAACCTGCATCCCAACATAGAAACACATATAAATCAGTCCACAGGCAGCCGAAAAAGGCGGGAAAGGTCTCTTTTCTTTAAGTTATACCACAATAAAAAGTGATTAATACATTAAAATAATATGGAAAATGCCTCAGAATATTACGTATGGAACCTTTAACTCTCATTCAATCAATTTAGTTCATTGAGAAGGGGCTACATTATTTGTCAGTATCTGGTTTCACTTATTAAACTGAATGTAGGCTTCTAATCTGATGGATGAACAGATTGGAACAACTGGAAGATGACTCTTTTTTCTCATTTTGCCAACATAGAATGAACTCATTTGACCCCACAAGAACTTTTAGCTTTCTGAGAACCGCTGCAGTTAATTTAACCTGTTGTTAATGACTCAAGAAAAGAACATATCTGCACTAGTTTGACATGTCGCAAGTTATTAGTGAATGTGCACTATGTAGCTTAAGGCTTTTTAAAGTGTGAGAATATAAAACACTTTTCTGACACATTACCTTGAATATTTGTTTTCTCCGAGCAAAAGGCATGCTTGTTTAAACTGGCAAGGTATGCAGGTTGGAGGAATCTTTTACCTGTAGCATGTATCTGCCTGCACTAGTCGGTTTGCAATTCATTATACTAATTCATCCCCTCATCTCCTCATCATGCATATCTGTGCAGACGTAATATCCTGTCAATAAAATCAAATTAACAGACAAAACTAATTGTAATGGAAATGTTTTCAACTGTACTTTCTACAGAAGAAGTACTCTGATCTTTTACTTAACTTTCAGTGTGGAAATTCTAAATATATGAAAGCATTAGTGTCAAAATATACTTAAAGTACCAAATGTAAAAATCCTCATTATGGAGAATGACCCCATTTCAGAGTAATATATATTATACTTTTTCACTGAATTTATTATTCGATTCTTGATGCACTAATGCACATGTCGCTTAAAAGTTGGTAGAGATGGGGCTAATTGCAACTATAGTTTAATCCTGATTTATTTGTTAAAGTACAATACTAAAGAAAATAATTAGCTATAATTAAATAAATAGCTGGTAGAGAGCTATATTTATACCTGTTGAATTGTGCAGTACTGGTGGTAATGTAACTACATGCTACACACAACCTCTGCACCTATTGGCCACATACTCCTTGAAACAAATCATATATGTTAAGATATACTGTATTTACCTACTAGTTAATATATAATGTATCCATATTGGTATTCACACCCTAGTATGAGTATGTTGTTTCCCAGTATACTTCAGTCATGGTGGTTTATTTCACAGTGTGGTAGAAATAGTGTATTGGTCTGTGGCTCATGGATAACATCATCCATAGCCAGTCTGCTGTTGTTTATGTTACAATTCATCAGTGCTGATTCTGGTCCAGGACAGCCAGCATGTTTGTAAAACCTGATAAATTAGGCTAGAGCTGACTCTAACTTCCCTACCTATTTTATATAAAGCCAGCTCTTTCTGGGCAGAAGGGAAAGGAGTGAATGGAGCCCATATCTGGTGTATAGAAATGGTCACAACCAACAGTAGCTGCTCTGGTGCTTTCCTTCATATCACATAATCTTTATCAGCAGATGAAGTATATTTGAGGTATACTTAATTTATACTCCATCTGTTGATGAAGATCTTGCGATATATGATCATAAACTCCAGATGAGCTACTTGAGGTAAGCTTGTGAGATTGCTGAACTTGGAAAAAGCAGTTATCTTTTTTACTGTGAGTGAGCTATGAGCTGTGTAAGGAAAAAAATATTCTTATTGTTCATCTATCTAGTATCTTGTGCAATTTTAAGAAGCATTCACAAACTTTGGGGTGCCTGGAAAACTCATCTGGTAGAGCTTGCAGCCCAATGTACCAAAGCTGAGTCCTTGCTGCAGCGGCCATGGGTTCGAATCAGACCTGTGGCCCCTTGCTGTGTATCATCCCCTCTCTCTCTACCCCCTTTCCTGTCTATCTTCAGCTGTGCTATCTATTAAAGGGAAAAGGCCATCAAGCATTCACATATTTTAAACCAATAAAAGAGACACTACAGTTTCCCAGGAAAGCATTTCAATTCACTACATGGTGATGCATGCATTAGGAATCCAATCTGCAAGGGCATTTGTGTTGTCTCTGTGTTGTACTATCGCAACTGCTGACGGATGCGTTTGATTCTGTGGTTTCTGCCACAGAAAGCACTGGAGGGCATCCACTGGTTTGTTTACCGCTCTCGGTTACTGTGTTTTTACAGCTTACTCTCACGAATGGGAGGCTCCAACATGAAACTTCATTATGAAATACAGCACTTTCCAGCTCTGTGTGACAGACAGGATTATAATCTCTGCCCATTTGTTATTCAGATGATGTTTCTCCTGCCTGCTGTTTACTGCCATGCATTCACCTCTCACATGGTTGATTGAATTATGCCCTGGCAGGGCTAAAAGCTTACCTTGTCGCTGTGAAACTGTACGTTTGACTGACGTGTTTGAACCCATCCCAGCTCCAGGGTTTGTGCGTGTGTGTGTGTGTGTGTGTGTGTGTGTGCTGGCCGGGAGGGAAAAGGTATCCTCACTCTCGACTATATAAAGGGTTGTCAGGCAGAACTTCAACAACAGACCTCCAGATCTTCATCCACGCTCTTCTCCATCGTTGTTTCTGTGACTGATCAGTAGCTATGACTTTACTGCTGACAGTGCTGGGAGCCATGCTCTGCTCCTTGATGGCTTCTTCTGAAGTCGCACCCCAGGCAGACATCAATTTACAGGCGGTAAGACACACAACTGGGTACTGGATGAACTATCAGAAATGTTTATTTTGGCCACAGTGTTGATTGATGGTGCTTGTATGCATTTTGTTTAATTCCACCTCACAACAGCTGCAGCCTGAGCATTTGGCATTATGTTTTATGTTTTAGGATGTTTGATGTGATAGTACGCATACGATGAGCTAAAATAAGAAATACAAGAAGTATTTGACTTTGACTGATGTTGTAAACTTGTATACTTCCTGCCTATTTTGTACTTGAATTAATTGAATGGTGACATTCAGGGGAAAAGAATTGTGAGGAATCAGCTTTCCTAAACCTACTATCACACTCTTTTACAGACAATTCTATGTAAAAATTGTACACATTGTACAGGAATATGAAGATTGAGTTAACTTTTCCCACTATTTTAAGTCAGACTGACAACAAATCAAATGCTCTGAGCACAGCTAAGGTCTTCAATAGTGAATGCTGATTATCATTTAAAACACTCTCTATTTAAATGTAGGCTAGAGTGAGTGTTATACTATTAATGTGGGGTTTTATTCTTCTATGTTTGCCTTGTGCGTGTCCACAGATGGCAGGGAAGTGGTACCTGATCGGATTTGCCACTAATGCTCAGTGGTTTATCAACCGTAAGGCCAGCATGAAGATGGGCACAGCCACCTTCACCCCAAATGCAGATGGGGACCTGGAACTTTCATACGCCAGTCTCAAGTAAGAGTGAGAGGACAGACAGGGACACAGGAGATTTTTTTTTTTTTTAAATGGTCACACTATTTATCATGTTTCAATGCTTTCCTTACAGCACCGATGGCTCCTGCTGGAGAATGAACAACCTGGCCAAGAAGACCAGTGTGCCTGGAAAGTTCACATACACAAGTGAGCGTGAGTACATACACACACAGGCACATACACATACATGCACATAAAGGAATGAGTTTCTTCGGTCACATGGTCTGTTCTGCACACCTCCCTCTCTGCCAGGCTGGGGGAATGAGAACGACATGCGCATGGTTGACGTGAAGTATGATGAGTACGCCCTGATTCACACCATTAAGTCCAAGGCAGGCGTCCTCACCGCTGTCAACAAACTATATGGTAAAGTCATCATTAGCAATGACGCTGCAGTCTGTTGTGTGAATCTAAATGTGTTCAGTGGAGTCACGAGGGCTGTAGCAGATGAATCTCATGTGGTTTAACAGGTCGTGGCAAGGACCTCAGTGCTGAACTGCAGGAGAAGTTCAGGCAGCTCTCCTTGGAAACTGGCATCCTGGCTGAAAACATTGTTTTCCTTCCCAAAAATGGTACTTTTTCAAATATCAATAGAGGTTTTAAGTAAAAAATATAATAACCTGTGAATAAGAGTGATTTTATGCACTAACTGCCTTTTTATTTTTCCTTCTTCAGCGGAGTGCCCGGCTGCCTAGTTTTCCGGCCATCTTATATGTCAATGATGCTGTCTGAAGAACTTAACATTTGTTGGGCATATTCAACATTTATCAAGACAATGAGACAATGATTAGTTTTTTCTGTTTATTTACTCTGCTGTTTCAGATGATGCATTAGGATTAGCTTCAAATGCCATTAAACATGGTGTAAAGCCTGGTTTCAATATACAATACTTGCTTTTATTTACTTGCAGTAGTACTTTACAGATCTCCTTCAGACATGTTTTGAGACATAAAATGCTCTTTCAATAATAATGTGTCGGATTTGGTTTTTCCACAAAAAGGTTCCATAACCTGGTTTAAAGGTCTTAGAAACTTTCTATTCCTTCTCTTGAAAAACCCAGAATCATTGTTCTTTTCAAATGTTTAAGTGCTGGACACAAGATATCTCCTCGTTCACTAGGAAGTCCATTCTCAGTGCGTGCACTAGAGGCTTCAAGTTTCCACATCACACTGCTGTAAGTTGCATAACAGGACCACGATTGGCTTCCAAAGTTGCGAAAACAAAATCCTGCTTGTACATGCTCATCTTCAAGGTTCCCTGCGGAGTTTCAGACCTCTAGTAGCACTACGGAGCATTTTTTTTTTTTTTTATGAGTCCCTGTTTTGTTCCTCTTGTACTTGTGCACGAGCGACGCGGTACACATTCCTGCCAATTGTTTCACACTATTCACTGATCTACTGACGGTGGTAATGCACAAAAAAAGGCAGCCGTACACCAACAACGGCAGAGAACAAGACTGCAAGTAAGTAAAATGGATGTAAACAACTTTCAATTATCAGCTTCGCAAATGTTTTATGAAGAAGAAATGGATTTAACACATTTGTCCAACCCTTAAAGGACTCTGAGTGTTTTGATGAGTGACACTGAATGTAAACATAACTTCTGTTTGCTTGCAAGAGAACTCCACTGGACAAAACAACTCAAATAAAAGTAGCAAAACACATTTTCCAGGAGAGGTCAACTTTAACAATATGAGCAAAAAAAAAGACAAACGTCTAAAATACTTTGCTTTTATTACCTTTTTTAACAAATACGCTGAAGTACATCCATAACAACACAGTTCAGATTTCCTTTTTATCAAGTGTTTACATCTACACGCTTTGTACAGATTTGTATACAAAACAATAATTTACGTCCCATAGAAGTCTAGTTACACTTAACTATACAACAACTTGTAAATGAAATAAATATAAAAACAGAAATAATCACAGGTGATAACAAAAATGTAAAAAGCCATAGTACAAGTACACCACCAGCACCTGTCTTCTGAAGTTGCATCTAAAAAGATATACATTTCCCTTTCTACTGGTAAAAGTACATCTGTGTGTGGGTGAAAACAAAGAGTTCAGTCCATAGTTTCATAACAGCAGCACCACATATATACTGTAGGATTCCTGTTCAGACCAAACAGTTATATTAGGACACTGATGTGAACTTTTTTTTAAACCCAGCCTAATATCAGTATCACACCAATACTTTTAAATGATACTTTTTCTATGATTTAACAAATATTGTGTCAATTAATATGAAAAACAAGTTAGTTCATAGAAAAAGAAACCATGTGTCAAACAGCTCAACATCAGTAATCATGTTTGACAACGTACATTTTCCTCGTCACAATAATCAGCTTTTTTTCTTTCTTTCAAATTGATGGGATTTCACTCCCCAGGTAGCGTTACTAGATTAAAAATACTGTCAGTCGGGGTTTCATCTCTACTGCTTTGGGCACTAGTTCTGAGCAACTTACAGTACACTTACTGACTTAAAACTGAAATATTGGACAGGTGTATAATCAAGCGATGGGGTAATGACCGCATGGTGATATAGGTGCATATGTGAACTTTTATTCACTACCATGACAAATCCACTATTTCACTGTGTATTTTGTGTTCATTCCATGATCGTAGACCCCTGTGTACAAAGCTAAGAATGATTGTTTCTTTTCTACGGGTGCTGTACACAGCCAGCCTTGTGTTTTTGTTAACACAACAAAAAGCACTATGTTACAGAGTGGTGGAGTCAGAGCACCAGGAAGCACAACAGATGTGTCTGTCTCTCTTTCTCTCTCGCTCACATACAAACACACAAGCATACACACGTACGACTTGATTACTGCATTCATCATGATCTTTACCAAGATGGCAAGTGCTACTGGGAACAGGTTGTTAATCCATACTGCTGTGTTTAGTACATTTTAACAAAATGACGCAAACGTTTTGCAAATTACACTTTGAGACTGTTTTTTTGAGTTTTGAGACAAATAATTAGGACCATCGTGACTGACAACTGACTGTTGCCTGCAAAATTAAAAAAATGTATATCTACAAAGAGACATCTGCACAATCTGCCATGCACACTGTCACCAGCAAGGGACATGCAGTTAAAAGTGCAAGTCTACGGAGAGGTTCTGTTGCTAACTCTGACGGAGCATTAACGTTATGTACACGTGTATACATTTCTGAACAAACATTAGGCTGAGGATCAAAAAAGAGCAAAACAACAGAACAGACTAAGTGCAGCACACGCACACACACCACATTATTTCAATGTGAATGGTGCCGTGCTGAGGGTGCAGTGATTGGGGTGTGATGGTTGCTTCAACATTGTTCTTTGTTGTGGCACAGTATTTGGCTCGGTCAGAGTCACTCTGCCTGCACCACGTCCTTGTGGTGGCGCATGATATGCTGGTTCTTCTCCGAGGGTCGTCGAAAGCCTTTTGAACAGATCTCGCAGCGGTGCGGGTAGTCTTTTGTGTGAATGGAAATCACGTGTCGCTTGAACCCCGAAGCGTCCCCGGTGCTGTAGTCACAGTACTGGCACTGGTAAATTCTCCTTTCTTTTTGCCCCTTGCCAATAACTACAGTCACACTGCTGGCTAAGCTGGCTGCACTGACTCTGCCAGGTGGGCCAGAGCTGCTGGACCCGCTAGGTGCAGACTTTTTAGGTGTGGCAACAGGAGTGTGCGTCTCTGTCCTCTTAGCCTCACTCTTTTCAGGAGAGGCCTGTTGCTCCTTTGTGTGGACAGACAAGATATGACGACTGAGAACAAAAGGGTCTGCAATTTTAAAGTTGCAGTGGCGGCACTGATGGAGTTTCTTGGTGGTGCGGTGGGATAACGAGTGCTTCTTCAGTTCAGACGGCCGGTGGAAGCCTTTACCACAGATGGCACATTTGTGTGGGTAGTCCTTGGTGTGAACAGATATTATATGGCGTTTCAGGTCACTGGAGTTGGAACTTTTGTGATCACAGTGGGCACAATGGTGGGTCTTATTCTCTTCGTGTGTTAGTCCGTGCTGCATTAACTCCTCCTCCTCCGCAAAGGTCTGGAAACAGCGCTCACATTTGTATGGCATCTCTTTGCTATGCTTAGTCTTGATGTGCGTCTTGAGGTTAGACGAATCGGCCGACTTGTAGTCGCAGTACAGGCAGGAGTAAGGCTTCTCGCCCGTGTGCGTGCGCATGTGTTTCTTCAACTCTGAAGGATGTCGGAAGCCTTTTCCACATTCCACGCAGATGTGGGGGAAGCTTTTGCTGTGAACGGCCAACAAGTGCCGATTGAGCAGTCCTTGCTCAGCAGTTTCATAGTCACAGAACTTGCATTTATGCATCTTGGTGGGCGGTGGAGGCGGCTGGTTCTTGGGCTCTCGGTGGTGGTGCTGCAGTCTGTGAGAGAACAGCGCCGCCTGCTGGTGGAACTCCTTGCCACACATTTCACACTCGAAAGGGGCCTTGCTGCTCAGAGCGTGCACCTCCATGTGGTTGTGGAGACTGGCTTTCTTGTTGGTGGTGAAGTCACAGTCTGTACATTGGTACTTTTTCCTGGTCAGAACATCCTGGTGATGATTCTTGGTGTGGCGCTTCAGGAAACCTCGTGACTTGAACTTTTTACCACAAAGCATGCAGGGGTAAACGGTGAGAGGCTGACCATATGGACCGATGATGATGGCTGGAAAAGAAAAATGACAAGAGGGATACAAAAATGACAACATGGCCATAATCTTGTTTGTCAAGGTAACATTTCTTTGCTGTACGAAATGGTTTCAGTGGACTTGATAACATGAACATTGCACACACTTACATAGGGCTGGGTTTCAAACCTCAATACTTTTTTGATAGTGTTTGGACTATGATGCAAAAGTCACAAACTGACACAAATAATGCAGTTGTTATGCTTTCTGCTATAGCTGAGCATTTACCATTTACATTCAATATCTATGAAGGAAACATCCATATTTATTCCCTCTGTGTTGCTCTTACCTGTCTGTACCTGGCGAGGCTCTGACCGTCTCTTCTTGTTGCGTTGTCTATTGATATCATCAACCCCGTCAGATTCATCGATGTGCAGCAGTGCGCTGGCTGCACCGTTTCGGTTTTCACAACTCTCGCTATCCTCTGCACCTGTGAGGCCAAAAGAATGCCTTTAACGCAAAAATAAACAAAACCAGCTTCTGTAAAGCTTAAGCCAAGACACTCAGAGACGTGGGTGATGCACAGGCTTCCAGTGTTGTTTTAAAAGCAATTTAATAGACAGGGGTGCTGACCATAAGCAGCTGCCCAGGCCACAGGCATGAAGTCCTTGCTTAGAGACACGCTGTCATACGAGCGGTCGTGAGTTACTGGCTCTTCGCCTCCTACCACCACCTCCATATAAACCTCATCAGTCACCTTGGACCCACCTGTAGATGAGCCCAAGATGTACAAAACCAAAAAACTAGTGACGTTTACTTTCATGACAGTCATCCCCGCTCATTAGATCTTAGGACTCACCGTGGTTCCCCTGATTGTGATGAGAATCCCCGACGGACATGTACACCATCTTCTCTCGGAGCGTTTGGCCTGACGACTCCGTTAACGCCACGCTCTCTGTGTCTCCATCGCTGATGTCAACAGATTCTCCTGCAGAATAAAAACATCTTTTAAAGCCCTCAACCCCTTTCCAGGGTCTTCGCAGGGTTCACTAAGTTACATTTAAGACTTTTAAAAGACCTCTGTATCACCACACAGAATGCAATTTAATTACAATCATAACAAGTATGACAAGTGAGAAAGTATAATGGAAAACCAGACCAAGTATAAAACGTTGTGAGTGTTCAGTAGACCAGAAAAGGGCTATATATGTATGTATATACACACACAAGCCCATTTGTTATACGACATTGTTTTCAGTACTTTCCAGCAGTACATAATAATTCCTAATGATATGACTAATGAAATAAATGGATGCAGGGATTAACCAATTAAACATCATTAATTCAAGTTTATTTAAGCTCTCCATTATGAGCCAATGAGCTTCCAAGTACTGTAGCTAAGAGTAGTGAGAGTGCTTGCTACAAGTCTGATAGTGCCGACTTCTCTCGACAGCCTGCAATCTGATAAAAAACATTTTATAACTAACATTACTGCCCATCACTTTTGAATATGAAATTAAAGACTTTAAAAAGTACCTTTGGAAACATTTAATTTAAAGTCATTTCAAGAACTGAGTGTACCGGGTTTTCAGGTCAGAAAACTTTACATTTGGCCAATAATAAGAGGAGGTTCTTCTAATCAACAATAGGAAGAGAGGTTTTTGCAAAACAAAGAAATATTCTAGCAAATTCAGAAATAATGAAGGGTCAAGTTATAGCCAAACAGAAGTTTAAGCTCAACCACCACTCACCCATGTCATCCTCCCCAGAATCAGCCTTGAAGATGTACACCTTTATCACCTCCTGTCCATCCTCATCCTTCTCCACTTCCTGGTCCTCCACAGCTCCCTCGACCGTTACCTCTGTTCCATCCTCGGACACCATTTTTCCAGCTTCGTCCACTAGGGAGAGGGCCAACACATCACATTTCATTTCATTAGAGACTAGCAATGACAGTCTGCTTCATACTTACGTTCAGACTGTGAAACAAGTACCACTTTGGGGTTGTTTGACAAGGAAAATATACAGTGTGGTAGTCAGGGCTGCGTAATTGCTGCAATTATAGAATGAAAGCAAAGTGGCTTCTTGTGCCAATTACAGGGCTGCGCGATATGGTAAAAACATAATATTGCGATTATCTTGACAGATATTGCAATTGCGATATGATTCGCAATTAGCCTGGGAAAGATCATTTTTGCATCTCAAATTTATTTTTTACTGAAAATAATATTAAAATCATGATGATGTAACATTCGTTTGGGGGGGGGGTCTGTGGCAAACAAACATGTTTTCTTAAATCTGGAGAACAAGATTTGTAGGCCCAGGGCAACTCTTCAGAACTACAGTACTTCATTATAGTGCTGTTTTGTCACACATTTTATGTTTATCAAAAAATTGCAGCTTCCTGTGATTTGGATATTGAACTTGGTCATACTGCAATTTCCATAATATTGTTAATTGTTAATTGTGCAGCCCCAGCCAATAATGTTGCTATGTACCAGAGATGTTTACAATTTCACATCTGTCTAAAATAGTTCACTTGTTAATGCTGCTCGAACGCTTCCTGGATGTCTTTACACTTGAGATCAGATAGCTATCCAAGTATGCTTTCCAGAGGAGGCACATTTGAATCCAGTCCAAGCACAGCAGAGCAGTAAACTTACAGGATATCATTAGATAATCTCCACAGCCATCTTGGTCGTCCTCCTGCTGCTCTGGGTCCAGCCCATCTTCAGGGATGTCTCCCATGGCAACACCCTCCTCCTCGCCCTCCAGAGCCATCACACAGGTTTCTACAGCGACATCTTCATCTTCATCGCAGTGCACATACTCAGAAACCACATCCTCAACAGCATCCTGGATGACTAGCTCATCTGGGGCAAACCTGTGAACTGCCATGCCTTCCCCCTCGCCTTCTGACACCAACACAGTCTCTTGAAGCTCCACAACAAACTCCTGCCCACCGGCACCACCCTCATCTGGAAGAAGCAGGATTAACCAGTTAACCAGATAGCAGTCGAGAGCAACAGTCTGTGTGTGGATGTTTTAAATGGCACATTAAATGTTGTTACTGGTTTCTTACTGACGACATGCAGCCAACACTTTACTTACAGTATGTCATTCAAACATTTCCAGTTATCTGGCTAACCAAAGAATCCTGCTTCTTTAGAAAATACCCCAACACTACCATGTTTATGAGACCTCACATAACCACAAACATACTTTATATCAATACAAATACACATTAATATAAGGATGGCTAATTACCCGATCCGTGTAATATTATTTTAGGCTCCTCAGAATGTATGGCAAGCCTGGTGACATCCTCATCCATTGTCCTCGCACTGCATTTGTTACTGAAGAGCTGAAAAGAGATGAGAGGAAGCTTAGATCTTTAGTAGCCAAAACTGTTGAAAACAAAGCTAAACAGAAGAACCATGCTAACTCCAGCAATCTCAACAGATAGCTTATTCATATTATTTATCATGCTATTACTCACCACCCTAACTTAAATCAGTCTGTCACTAAGTCCTCACACATTATTTCATACATCTACAGTCTTCTGTTTCAGTATGATGCTTTTTATAATGTTCTCACACAAAGTATTATTTGCATAATATATAAATGATATATATGTTGTTTGTGGTCATTAATGCGAATTTAAACTATTTGAATTATATAACAGAAAACCAGATGATGCATTAAACATGACCCAAACATTGTATGTTAACCAAACATACTTAAGTCATTTCTTTTCCAGATGCACACAGGGGAAGCCACAATAAGCTTACCTCCCTCTGCGTGTTGAACACAAACATGGTGTGTGTGTTGTTAATTTGACATTTTAATGTGATTCACATGATCCAGTCCACTGGCCTGGTGTTGCAAAACTACTGCAGCCCGAGCATCGTCCTAACAGCTATTATGTCCTTTAAAAGACTTGTCTTTGTCATTTTAGCTGCAAGTACTGTACGAAATGGTTTCAGTGGACTTAATAAGGTGATCATTGCACAGACTTACATAGGGCTGGGTTTCGAACCTCAATACTTTTTTGGTAGTGACCAAAATGTGTAACTAATGTGTAACTGGCATCAAAGGAAAAAAATGTTAATTCATAGTTCACAGTCCTTATTCATTGAATCGCCATTAGTATAAAAAGAAATACATTACTCTTAAAAAATTAAAAAATAACTGCACTGTTTTATATCCCAGTTTTTTTCTGTGTAAAGCTTCATTCATTTTGACATTTTCTTCACATATTTAGACACAAACAATTAAGATGCACTGGAAGTAAGTCTGACCTCACTGGCAAATTGAGTGAATAGTCAAAAAATCCTAAATAATGGATTAAATTACCATTAAGAAGATAGGTTTCAGCAGTGCTAGATTGTGTCTGCGACAAATGACAGCAAGTGAAATGACCAGTGGCATAATTGACTGCATCACTGCTTCAGCCACCGAAATTAAACCAATATTTCAGCCCAACTGGCTCTACCTTCATCATGGACTTTACAGGTGAGACAATATGCGACAGAAACCTCTCCCTGTCTCTCTCCCTGTCTCTCTCTCTCTCTCACTCACTCACACACACACACACACACACACTGGGGGATGCAGAGATGTAAACAGTGGTGTGGACGATGCAGCCAGGGTGCCATTTAATTTCCACTGAATGTACCATCCCCCACCTCCAGGTGGGAAAATGATGACAACGGTGTGTGTGTGTGTGTGTGTGTGTGTGTGGAGATGTGGCGCAAAACACAGAAACATCCGTGTGTTTTAAAAAAAAAAAAAAAAAGATGCCGCCAACACGTAAAATAACCCCGACCACGGTGACCACACTACCTCAGCTACTCATTCATGCAGCACCAAACAGAGTAAACCCCCCGATGAGGTGATTAACGGCAGTGTCGTCCACTGACCACTGGAGTAAACGTTAGCACTGATTAACTCAATATTACCGCAAAGTCCGGTTGTCACAGACAAAACACACACACACACATACACACACACACACACACACACATATATATATATATATATATATATAGAAACAGCTGGGTGCACCGACACACACATAATGCAGTGTTATTACGAGCACATAATAAATAAAGCGAGGTTACGTTAGGTGTAAAGTGGCGCGACTCTGTAGTAGCCAGCTAGCAGGAGGAGGCTAAAACAAACACACACACACACACACACACACACACACACACACACACACACACACAAACACACACACATTTTCTACAACCGATTTTCATCACACTAGCGTCCGCCATTTTGTTAGCTTGCCGTCTGAGCGAGTGATAATTTAAACGCTCATTGTAAAAGCTCCTCCGCGGTGAGGAAATGTTAATTGCGTTTCTGTTGAAAGCCACAATGTACATTAACTGTTATTACCGATTACAAACGACGGTAGCCAACGACGACCGGCGATTACAGTAGAAAGCCCCCGCTCCTTTCAGCGGGCTGACTAGCTAACAGGATAGGCCGCAGTTACCAATTACGGCCTCTGTAGAGGCCTGGGCCCTGAGAAGAAAAGGCCCAACCCTTTGCGGCCTCTCGGCGAGGATAAAGAAATAAATTAAAATACCACATGCATGCAAAAACAAAGAGACACACAGAAATGCAAACACAGCTCTGCAAACAGGCGCACCGGGAGCAAAAATGACCCGCGTACCAGATGTATGCTGCAGGGATGGCCTCCGTCCGCTCCTCGGCTTCCCAGGCCGCCTGGTTCCCCCAGACTCGGGCAGGATTCAGTCGGGAATTTTGTGTTATTTGGGCGGGCCGGTGAGGAGCAGAGAAGGAGGGGTTAGGGGTTGTTTCTGGAGCTCTGCTGAAAGCAAAGCAGGACGTCTGGAGCCAGATCTTGTCATGCTACAGCCCCCCGCTCCTCCAGCTCCGAGGCCGCCGTCAGCACGACACGTCACAGCCCGAGAGCAGCAGGAAAATGCGGAAGGGTTGTGGTGGAAATCACACCGGCAGGCACCAAACAGGCCATAATCTGAGCACCGCGGTTCAGACGGGTGGTGTTCATACGTGCACCGCACTGTTCATTTCTAATTAGCTTGTGCCCCCAGGGTTGGTGTAGCTGGTGATGGGACTGCTTTCAACCCACCACCACCCTAACAGCAGACTGTGTGCGGCTGCAGAAGGTGGACAATAAGAGGTATTAAACTATGACCTCCAGACATCCCACATTTAAACAAACCGCTGTCTCTAAAGAAACTGCACAGTGTCAGTGGAGTTAACACACTCTTTACAGCGAAATTAGTTTAAGTTCTCGGCATTTCTTGAGGTTTAGAAATATAAGAAGTAGCTTTTTAATTTAAATAAAAAATTTAATAATAAAAAAATAAAAAAAAGTTAATTTTTGGGAGCAAAACAAATGGGCATATAAAGGTATTAGTGTTTACAGTAAAAACCCGTCTTTTTGATGCAGGCAGATTTAGAAAGTAAGAAAATATCACACATTTACAAATCAAATGTATTTGTAAGTACAATTTTAAACAGTGGTAGAATTTACTCAAGCACTGTACTTATGTAAAAAAATTATTTGTACTTGAGTATAAAAGAAACACTGTACATTTTACATTTGCTTGACATTTAAATTACAAAATAATACAAGAAATCTGAATTAAAGGTACTTTGCTCTTATATAAATCACAGTAAAGTCACTTCAGTGTGCGTTGGTTGATTCAGATTTCTTACTACATGGTCCTGAGACCTACCAGCACCTGACCATTGTTGGCAGTGCATGGGGAGTTTACAAAATAATATACTACACACAAACTGATAATCAGCCTATAACCCACAATACATTTGTATATAAAGTAAGACAGCAATCAGACAACAGCTGAGTTCTGACAAAGGCAGCATATGACTCCATTTGTCAGACTACATTGACTACCAGTTCCTCACTAAATAAACTTAAAGATTCTGCTGCTCGTCCATTAGTGTATTAATGGTTTAGGTCCAACATACTTATCAGATCTCCTGACCCAGTGGGAACCGTGCAGACCTCTGAGGCCGGCTGGTTCTGATCACTGGCTGCTCCCAGAGTTAAAACTAAGCGTGGAGAATCTGCCTTTAGTTTCTGTGCTGCTCGAATGTGGAACAAAGTGCCAGAAGACTTGAAACTCTGCGGACGACTTTCAAATCCAAGCTAAATACCTATATGTTTACCATTGCTTTTAATCAATGTAATATTTTTAATTAAATTCATTTATTAGTGTGTTTTATTGTTTTTCTGCCTGATTTTATTGTTTTTATCCTACTTGCTTTTGCTTACTTTTGTTTTAATAATTTATTTTTTTTTATCAGGTTCTTGTGAACTCCGTAAAGCACTTCGAGTTGACTTGGGTATGAAATGTGCTATATAAATAATTTTGCTTTGCCTTCTTACATGTTAATGCATCAGTAATAATAATCCAATATTATAACATAATAATTTAACACGCACAGGGACCATTCTACTATATAAAGAGTCCTTTATTTGTGATACTTACAGTACATAATTGTGATCAATACGAGTAGCTGATCATTTGTTTTTAACTTAAAGAACATTTTCAATACAGGACTTTTACTTATACACAGATTGTGTTTAGTTTTTGTGACTTTTTCTCAAATCATTGACAGGTTTTACCTTTACAGGCCTTCAAAAACAGTCTGCCAGCGGTATGGTTAGCATAGTTATCCTAATATTTCTTCATTCACTTACCAACAAAGGTCTTTATACAATTTCTGATTAACTGAAAGTTACAGAAATAATTCATTATTAAAGTTTACAGTTGATTTTTAAATGTATTTATTAGGTCTGTGTCACTGATCAAACAAAACAGGATTATTAGTTTCATGTCAAGTCATAAAAGTACAAGTCATTTCACTGTAAACTCTATTTGGTAGTCATTTTCAGCAGTTCCTCCTTCTCAATCTCAAAAAGACGCCAGCCCTCCTCGGAGGAGAGGTCAGCTGCTCCTCTTCGCTTGTAGAACTCAATGGACTTTGTGTTGTTTTCCGCCACGATGAAGTGCATGCCACTACAGCGAGTCTTCACTGCCGTCTAGGGGAAGAAAAACATAAAACATAAGGAAGTGAAGTCTTGAATGCAGCTGAAATTAAGTTGAATCTATTAAGCTTTAATTGTACATGCGACCTTACCTCACTCAGAACCTTCAGGATTTGTGAACCAATGCCAAAACCTGGTGAAACATTAAGTGTACAGAGAGCAGTTAAAACAGTTAGTACACGAGTGTGTGTGTGTGTGTGTGTGTGTGTGTAAAATGCATTGTCTCTGTAACTTATTAACCTTTATTATCATCTATATATATATATATATATATATATATATATATATATATATATATATATAACAGCACCTTACCACGAAACTCCTGCATGACATAGAAGTCTTCCAAGTAGAGAAGCTTCCCGATCCAAGGGTCATACGTGAAGTAGTACATGGCAAACGCAATCACAGTGTATCCTTGAAGAAAACGGCAAAGGTTAGGGGTTGAATGTAATGGGTACACCTTTAACTTCTTAACAACTATGACTCACTCACTTACCTTCAGAGCTCTGCTCCTTTGGGACTTCAGCAACCAGACAGTGGTAGAAAGGATGTTCCCCAAAGCCATCTTCAAGTAGATCTACAAGTGGGACATTGCTTTTATAAGAATGTGTGAAGATTTTTGAACATCCAGGTAAATAATATGTATTAAATGTATGTTTATAACAACGTAAACTAAAACACCTTTCTCGCTCAGCATGACCTTCTCCTCCATCTCTTCAAATTTAGCAAGTTCCTAAAGGGCAAAAAGACAGAAACAAGAAGGCCAGTGAATTATGCTTTTACTACAATCAAGTGACAGAGATGATAGAGTTGCTGTCAAATAGCACCAAATGTCCTATTGGTTGTTTCAGTATTAGGCTTTAACATTTGGCTTACCTTTATGAGTCGCAGGATATCGGACACGTCGTTGGGTTCAGCTTTCCGTAATATAAAACTGGCCATTTTCTCTTTTTACTCTTTTTCCCTTTGCTTACTAATCCTCTGAATGTGAATAAAAGCAAAATTTGTTTCTTCATTCGCTCCTCAGGAGTTCATCCCCCGGCAGTGAACTGAGAAAACCAGTAAATAGCGATTTGCATTGGATGTGTCGCACAGAGTGGTGCAGCACCTTGAGTAACTTCACTTTTATGTATCCCAGGAAGAGGTAAACCTGGTTAATAATCAACATATGGTCACACAGCACTTAACATCCTGTTTTTTTCTTATTCTGTCCTTATCTTTGTGTGCATCACTGTACTTCATTTGAATGTTGTTTAAAAGGTAATGATTAACCAGACCTGAAAAAACACAGTGCACATAATGTCTGTAGAGCTGAGCAAGGAATGATGAAATAAATAAATAAACAACTTGCATACGGCTCCAATGTCCACTTATTTATTACACCTAGGTGACGTAATAATGATTTGCTCATTTTCAGCTCAGCACCTGCCATGTTTTAGTTAGGGTGTATGTGCATACTCTTATCTGAGTAAAGGATAAGCCCAATGGGAAACAAACGTATGCAACATTTAACAATAAACCAGTTGTTCTTCAGTAGGTCACTCCTACTCTGCAAACACACAGTCAAACAGTCATTTGCACTGCTGAGATCAGAAAAACAAAATCTTTATTGATCTAAATTGATGGTCCCATTTATGTAATATGTAGTTAATGGGTTGTACGTTCAATAAAAATGAGGAGGGACATTTTAGGTTATTGATAACCAGGGACAGGCAGCTGATGTGGAAGCTTAGAGGCGGTGATGTGACATCTTTTGGTGTGATTATTAGCCAAGAAAGAAAAGCATCTTTTAGTCAAATCTATTGAGACTTTAACACTCCAAATGGCCGGAGATGATCCTGTCATAGAGACTGGATAGAGTTAGTGTATAGTGTTCAGTATCTGTCCTTTAAACAGGCTTTATGCTGTTGCATTCGGCTGACTTGCAGAGCAAGAGCAATTTTTCTCCTGCCACAAACAAACCACAAACATGACATACATGCTTCTGCATGCATTTTAGTTGCAGTTGCAAGGCCTAATAAGGCAATCGTGTTATTTTCAAAAAGTTTGGTCATTTGTTATGCAAGTGTGCCACAAGTCAGTCATGCATTCCTGTTTGCCCCGTTTTTAAATCAGTGCACATGTACTCCGCATGCAGGATTTACACACTCTACAACTTTTCTTTAACTTTGCATCAGTTCAGTTGAAGAAAATACAGAATATGGTTTTCTCCACAAGCTCTCACACTGATTACGCTTTCAGTTAACGTTCCCACATGCAAAACATCCCTTAGCACATTAGTAGTAGTGTAGGTATTATTTCTGTTGCTTTATTATTTAAGACAACGGGATGTCATGTTGACCTCAGTTTCTTCTAGTGATAACAATTTTCATACTTTTTCTTTTTTATACATATTTGTATGAGCATTGTCGGAGTGTGCCAATTACTGTTTCACTGCTGAATGAAGAAATTAAACACTTGCAACACTTGCCTTCATCTTTTGAGTAAATGGTTAATGAAAGGTGTCTTAACTGACTGCAGAGCTTGGGGCTAGTTTCCAAGGCAAGATGTGTAAAACACCATAATGTCTGATAAAACATAAATACTTTGTTTCTTGACTCTTTGTAATCTTGTTGTTGCTAGTTAGCATCTGGCACCCACTGGGTGAATTCACATCAATGACAGCAGCTGCTTCCCACTATGATGCAGACTTTGACACTGTCTGCACTAAATAAGACAAAAGCATATTATGTTGTTGTCACTCAAGTCAGATGAATCTAAAAGACCAGACAGACAGAAATTTTAGGAAAACACATTTTATTTGTACTTTCAGTAAGTGGTGGATTTCACAGACTGGGATGATCAAGATCAGTTCAGTTTATCAAAATACTTCAGCTTGCCTGAAGGGTCGGGAATGATCTGTGGGAGAGAATTCATTAAATTAGTGCACAATAAGTATCACTAGACAATAGAAATATACTAGAATATGACATAAACCTATCTGTGACTAATGTTGATCCCTGACAACAAACTAGTCAACTAGTATTCCAATTATTGCTTAGTTTTCACAATTAACTTATTTTAAAAGCAGAATTTTTTCCCCAAAATACTAAGACGTGTAATTCCTCAATGAACATCCTTGATCTCAAGCTTGGACCATGTTGCACATAATGCATCAGAAGTAGCTGCCAGCAATGGCAACTGCTGCAGATGTGCAGAATGTGTGTTTTAAAATGAAAACATCGTAGTGTGGATGCAGCCTCAGACCTCCTGATTGTGAAACTAAATGCTTTTCTTTTTTATCAGAGACAGCTTGTCATTTACACAGACAGTGACAATATTTGTTATTATGCTAGCTGGACACAGACAGACTGGTTTGTAAGTGCAGTGATACTCACTGTGTCGCTGCCTGGCTTCCATCCTGCTGGACACACTGTAAAGGACATAATTCCAGTCAGCACAAGAAAAACAACTATCAGTGTCCAGGTACAGCTGCACTGTAGCCATGAAAACAATGAATGCATTTCAGCTCTTAATATAGGTGAACTCCAGATGAAGATCGTGTAATTTTTACATGTTGATTTGTTTTAAATGAGCTTCTCGTACCCTCTCCGTGTTTGTCTGTGTATTGGAAGGCCTGCACCAGCCGTATGGTCTCGTCCACAGATCTTCCCACTGGAAGATCGTTCATGGTGATCTGCCTCAGGATGCCTTTGTCGTCAATGATGAAGAGTCCTCTGAGAGAGATTGAAGCACGACTCACTGTTAGTTGGTTACTGTTAACCTCTATATGGTTGCATATTTGTTATGTAGAAACATCTAATGTGATTCATATGATAAGTGTTGGAGGAAGACACATTGATGCCACACAACCTACAGTTTCTTCCATGGCTGCTTTTACAACTTATCGCCTTTTGTTCACTCCTAAAGCACCTCAGAGTGGCGTAACAGTGTTACATAACAGGACTGGTTTCATTAAATTGATCACCTATAAACCTTTGACAATGGTCATAAATGTAAATGTGAAACTGCACCTCAGTGTGTGTCCCTGGTCCTCCAGGTAGACCCCGTAGTCTTTTGAAATCTGGTGAGTGAGGTCTGACAACAGAGGGATCTTCATTGGTCCAAGTCCACCCTGCTTCCTCGGCGTATTGATCCTGGTATCAACAACAAATGTGAGAGAAAAGCAAAGATTTTAGAATAGAGCTCTTAAGCACGACATAATCAACCAAAAATAAACAATCAAAACATAAAAAAGCACCTAAACCCCTAAAATGAATTTGTTGAAATGTCAGTACTAGCATCTACTATTGGATATCTGCTATTATTAGGTTTTTACTTTGAGTCTCATAGCATTTTGTGGGTGCAGTGGGGAACGCAGTCTTACCAGGCAAGGTGGGTGAACTGGGAGTCAACAGAGCAGGCTACCACCTCTGTATTGATGGCACGAAACTCATGCACACGGTCGCTGAATGCAATGATCTCAGTGGGGCAGACAAATGTGCTGCAAATGACAGAACCAACACATTTACATAAGAATATCCTCTGCGGTGCAGCGATCCCAGCAGCACAAATGAAGTGATTATGCAATGTGTGCTTTAGATGTTACTCACAAATCCAGAGGATAGAAGAAAAAGACAATATATTTCCCTCTGTAGTCTGACAGCTTCAGCTCCTTGAATTCACCGTTAATGACGGCTGTTCCCTCCCAGTGTGGTGCAGGCTTGGAAACTGAAGTAGGAATAAAAATAAATGGATTGATAAAACCATTAAATGTGTTTTGTGGCTGCAAATGTCAGATATGTGTCTGCAATGTGCAGGGATTAAAAGTGAAATTACAGTAGTGCTTCAGCATTTTAAGAGAGACATAATCTTAAGTACATATAACACCAATATATGTTTTGAGGCCATAAGGTTTTTAAATGTTTATATCTAAATTGAACTGTACAGTATTATTATCAGAGGAACTTTAAATTACTTTTAATTTTACTTCCATATCTAATATTTGTTTTCTATACAATGTTTACAACTTTTACATTTTAATCTACATTATGTCTCATAATACCACAAGTTTGATTGATGCATCTGTTTCTGTTATTTTGTCCAACCCTCTAGGGTCATTATGAGCAGTGTTGGTGCCGGGCCAGATAACGTCACGTGTCAAAGGGGGGGGGGGAAACTCATAGAATGACGTGTCCTTCAAAAAAACCCTCTGATTAAAACTTTACTGACCTCTTAAACTTTCAATTGAGAATCAAACCACAAGGCAATCAAATATAAACACAAGACTGCAGACAGACACTGTCAGTTTGTTTCTATTGTCCTGGCAGCAGGAGCACTGCACTGAAGCTGCTGCAGCAGCTGTTTGTCAGCCAGGGGAAGGAAAGCAAACTGCTGCACTTGCATTGCACAAATACTAAACTTGTCACCTGTGGATGAAATCATGAGAGAAACTTGTTCTTGGCTTTGCTGAAAGAGACAGGCTGTGAAACTGGAGTAGGAAGAATTTCTACATCCATGATGGGTTTGGTTGCTGCAAATGACTAAATGTCACATACGTACTTCAGCAAACATGTGCAAGGATTGAAATAAATATTTAAGTAGTGATTTAACTTTTAAATGGCACACTGAGACTTTTAGAGGTGCTGATTTAACGTCCATATATGTTTTGAGTCCATGTTGTTGTTAAGTGTGTATCTAAAGTTTAGATACAAATTCTAAACAATGCTACTCTCACAGGTAGTTTAAATGTTTCACCTTACTTCCAGCTCAGATATCTGGAATCTTTATAATGTGCATTTTTACATTTTGTTCTATATTTCATGTCCCATATTCAGGTTTTAATGACTTGCTTGTATTCTACTATTTAGTACTTTGTTCACACTTTTACTCTGTTTTCATTTTCTTATACATACATTTTCTTGTTGAAATCTCTTTGTTTATATATTTTTCTTTAATACACATGCCCCATATGCACAGTCTATGGGGATGGTAAAGCATTTTAACTGCACACTGCGTTATTGTGATTGCGATAAATACATCTTTAAATCTTTATTGCCAGTGCAGTTTTCCTAGAACAAACAAACAATGTCATCATTATATCTATGACTTTTCTTCCCCTGCTGTATGCATGACATCATTTTGAAATGTTGGATGTCAACTGCCCATGCTGGTGCAGAAGTAGGTACTGTGGCATGTGGGTTAAAGTCTCAGAACTCATGACGACTCACAGAAAACAGAGAAAAACTGCATTAGTGAAGATGAACAGAGGCCTTAAGCAGAATGACTAACTCCAACATATGTTCACTGGACGCCTCTGATAGTTTTTCCTTAGTGTTTCTGTTATTTTGTCCAACCTTTGTTATCATGTGCACTGTCTGTGCTCGGCCATAACCAAGTCATGTGTCGGAGGGGGAGGGCCGGGGGGGTGGTTGCAGGAACAGCAATGAGTTTTATAGAGTGACGTGTCCTCCCAAAACCTGATTAAAAAGTTTACTGACCTGTTAAACTTTCAACTGAGAATTAACCCACAAGACAAACAGGAGGACAGGACCGCAGACAGTCGCTGTTTGTGTTTGTTCCCATTGTCCTGACAGACAGACGCACCACCGCTGCAGCAGCTGTTTGCAACCTATGCACAACAGCACGCACGCACACACACACACACACACACACACACACACACACACACACACCCGATCACCTGCGGATGAAATCATGAGACAGACTCACTCTTGGCTTTGCTGAGGTGCAGGGAATGGTCGGACACGGGCACCCGGAAAGCCTCTCCAGGATAGACGTGTCCTCCCGCGTAGTTGTGACACTGGGAGTTTTTCGCATGAGCGCCTTCCTCTGCAGATGTGACTGTGGTGAGGAAGAGGAGGGAGAGCGCGGCACAAAGCGCCCACAAAAGCTCCTTCTTTGGATTCATGTGGAAGAGAAACTCCATTGTGCCGTTGCTTTGGGAGCACGTAGCCACTGACTGGCAATGCGTCTTTAGGCAGGATTTGAAGAGACCTTCTTCCTTCTCTTCTTCTTCATCCAGGGTTGCGCAGCAGCTGGCGTCCTTATTGTTGCATTACTGCCATCTCCTGGAGTTAATTAGCCCATGGCGCTCGCATCTTTCTCCACATGCGTCCCTCTTTAACCCCTGCTCTCTTAGTCAATACATAAAAATCAAATACATAAATAAATACCACTACCTTGTCATAGGTTTTTTTCCCCTTCTTCTATAGCTCCATGTCTCCCTGTCACATATTTCCTGCACACTATCAGTAGCTACATATTAGTATGCAGTTTTCAATTGTTTTACCATTATTATCATGTTTTCATTTACTTTCTCTCTCTAGTCTAATCTGAAATATATTTTTTAGATTGCTTGTTCATTCTCTTCACTGAATGCTTATATCAGTGGTGGACTCTTAAATAAAATACTAAAACTCTAAAATACCACCATGAATCATAGCTTTTACTTTACTGTAACAACCACTGAATGCAACTTACTCTTCCTGTTTGATAATCATTTCATGTTGCATTCACGGTGAATGAAATGGATGCAAACTGACAATGCAATGCAACAATCAATTCATTAATTATAATAACATGAAAAAGATAACAAAAGGATTAAATCAGTTGAATAAAATAACACATTTGTTTTTAACACTTTTTAATGTTTCCACTCAGCTACTGTCATCGGGTAACTTATTCTAACGCTGCAACAAAACTCACAGCTGTGAGCTAAATGCTAACCACATCTGTGATGGTAACACACACAATGACAATAGTAAGACGTGTGCTAATTAGCATTAAACACAAAGTGCAGCTGAGGCTGATGGTAATGTCATCAGTTTTAAAGGGATTTGGTCTTAAATCAAACTGTTCCATTTCAGAAACCATCCTCATGGTGATGATAGAGGAATATTAACCAGAGGCATTATGGAGCACAGTGTCTTGGAACCAGGAAAGTCAGAAATGTACAACCTTTAGTTTCAATCCATACAGTAAATCTGTAGATATTCACTATTCAATAAGTGATGATCTTGACCTGCTGGTGTTCCTCAAGGACCAAAGTCAGTAGGATTCATCCTGTGGGGACCAAACTTCACATCGATCCATCCAATAGTTGTTGAGATATTTCAGTCTAGACTTCAGTGGTGGAACTTGCTGACCTAAAAACTTCCCCTCCCACTGACTGTCCTCAGGGACCTTAGCTTCATAGTGTATTTCAATGTCCTGTCATCTCTGTGTATTTGTCTCTATTTCAAATGACATCCAACATGAATCAGCACAATAATAATCGATATTATGTAACAATATTTATTAACATAAATACAACATACGTTTTTAATCTTAGTGAGGCCTAGTCCTGGTTAAATAAAGTTGTATGTATATATCAGAGTAAATATCCATTGTTCAAATGTAGTCAGCACATCTACATGTTGACATCACCACTGCAGCTCCCTGCAAGAGAAATAAAAGGCCTTTTAAGCTTAAGGAAGCATCGCGTAAGTTCAATCAGGAAGACTTTCTCTATGCTTTTCATTCAGTCACAAGTCTCTCTCTCTCTCTCACACACACACACACTTTCATTGTATTTAGCTGACTATGGGCGTTTAATCTTTCAGTTAACCAACCAGATTTTGCCACAATCTCTGTGAGCTAAGAATCTGAAATCTGTCCTCCTCTCTGCTGCTGTCAGCTGACATTAAAGTGCAAATCGTTGAAGCCCTCCTCCGCCTCCATTCACCTCCAGTTTCATGACTTCCACCCGACATCTGAGCTCACCATAAGCTGGCTCCTCCTCAGATCCACCCAGATCTTCTTCAGCCATTACCCCCCCCCATCAGGACCACCAGCATGGTCTAGACTCTACTGGGGGCCAGGTATCCTATACTTCCCCCCTTTAAAATATGATGACGTCACAATGGGGTCTAAGACTATTTACATTTCTCCTCTTTATTATGCAAATGAAACTTAAATATGAGTTCACTCCTAATGAAGTCTCCTGATTGAAATATTCATAAAGCTCTACTGTTAAAGCTTGCAAACCACTACATCTCTTCTCTCCTTTCAATCTAGTAACTACTGAACTCGTTCCAGTAAAATAACCTTAGACATTCCTCATGTGTGTAATGTTGGTGGAACTGGTTTCAGGTACGATGAACCTTTTAATTTTAAATGGACTGAACTGGAAACTCAAACTTGACGTCAAGTCAAATACTCTACTCGACTATTATCTGATGTTTTTTTATTAATTCCTTGTGGTTGTGGTGTTTCTGTTTGGGGATTGTGATATTGTAAATGTTTGTTGGTCTCTCTTGGAGAAGAGATTTTGATCTCAATGAGACTGCCTAATTAAATAAAGATTAAAAAATCCTAGTTACAGCCACAGTAATAATTCTTTATAGTCTAATTTCATGTTACTTTCTATGTTGTATGTTGTTGTACTGTCTTATATCTATATATATGAAACAGAAAATTAGACAAAAACATGTTAGGAAATTTCAGTTTCTCTTCAGCGACTGATGCTGCTTATGGTACATTATAGTTGTCATTCTTCACAGCGAGGTTGTCTTTCTGGTCTGATCACTTCCAGTAGATAAACATAGGTTGATAACCTGCATGCAACAGCACACACAGCTTCGACAAAGCATATATATGGAAACCCTTCTTATTATTTCATTGTTTTGTTTCAGGACATTGACTGATTGCAATTCTCACCTTTGAAAAAAACTACTTTGATAAACGTGTGCATACAAGACTTGCTAATGTAGTGTAAGATTAATGACATATAAGGCAGTTCATCGGCTCTTTCTTTGTTTTACGTCACATTAATGGGAATGAAGCAAACACAGTGCGGTTCAGTCTTTTTATTACAGTTCACACATTAAACCAGAGTTTCCATGGAGCGTTTCTTTGCATCATCAGCCACCCTGAATGTAACAGTTTACTACAACAAATACTCATTGTAGGCAATTTCAGTTGTATTAAGACAGGTACTGACATTTTAAAGTTTAGTCTGTCTTACTATTTGACTCACATTACAGAGGAAACCCCTTTCCCTTCTGTTTCCCTGTTAAAGGATTACAAGCACTGCTGCAATGTTTATGAATATTATTAACTGAAAATTAACATAGCAGCTTGATGCTAGCAGTACATGTTGATATGAAGGCTGTTTTCATTTTATTACCAGAGGTCCAAAGTTTTTAACAATGTGTCCAAGTACTTGACAAGAAAGAAAACAGACTGAAATTCAAAATGTCCACATACTGTCTCTGTACATTTGAGCAAATAATGCACCACTGCTGGCGTGTTGAAATATCACAAACACCTTTTGAGCAAAACATACACCTGGCACCTGAACTGCTGATGCTCTCCCAACTGAATCACATTTAACCCAACATCTTTCTTTGATTGGAGAAAGTTAATGTGAATAACAAAGCTTAGCCGATGAATGCGCTCCGACTAAAAGTCATTAAGTTCATTTTCACCGTAGATCGTTCAGCTTGTGGTAGTTTTCATTGTGAATATTTAGGATAATAAATATTCACACATGTACAGCAGAAATTTAATGAGCTTCTCCAAATATATCAAATGAACAATGTATGTTTGTGAAACTGAAAAAAGGCACCCAAGCACCTGAGTATCTGCAAAATAACCCTATGAATGTAAAGACACTCAGTGAACATGTCTTCAAACATCTGACTTTAAGATGCATATAATCACCTGCTCAGCTTACACACACACAGACACACACACACACACACAGACACACAGACACACACTCTCTAAACAACACAAGATCTGCCAGGCACATGTTTGGTTTGGCAGGATAAATTAAAACATTTCAAACCTTTCCCTTGGTAATCTTTAATCTGTCCTACATATTAAAGGAAAAACATATGGAGAAATATTGAGAATGTTGTTGGTAACGTTACCCTGCTACCTCTAGTGGTATCTTTGTAACAAGGGGGTTAAATAAAAAAAAAAGACAAGAACTAGTTAACTCAAACTGAAGGGTTTTATCATGTGCACTTCAGTATAAAGAGTACAAAGTCTTTTTTTTTTGTTTTTACAGGTCAGACAGTCTTTTTATGAGATCAACAGAGACGAATGGACATTTGCTTAATCACACCTCAAAAGTGACCACAGACAATCATCAAACAAGCAAATTTAGAATATATAAATATATTCACTTGGGACCAGATTTACAAAAGTGTGTAATATTAAGAGAAACAAATACTTTAAATATATCTCACTAAAATAAAAAATAAAAACACAAGTATCAATCTACATCTTTTGGTATATTCTTTACGAAAAATATAAATAAATATGGGGCAGAATTTCAGGAGAATATGGCAACTCTGAGTGCACTTATAGGAACTTATGTAGGAAGCCGCTTTTCCAAATGTACAAACTGATGGCAGTAAATGCCTCTTCTTAAGGTAGAACAATGAGCTGTGTCCATATGCAGACAACAATACGAGTAATGTAAAGAAGAGAGACTATAGGGGAGGCAATTAGCAAAATCATTCTAATAAATTAATTCTCTATTAGTGTTTCTGTCATTCTTTGTTTGTTTTATTCTCAGAACATCTTTGTAAACATGGTCCCTGCTGTTAAAATGTACAGCACATTAATGCTTGTTGACGGTTCTGAGCCTGAGGCACTACTTTATGGTACATTATCTGATGTGTGCGTATATGTTAGGGGCATGGGAGTTAATATATAATTATGTGTGGTGGGGCTGGGTGAAAAAAACCTTAGCTAACAGACTTCAGCTTGGTCCACGGGTTCGTGCCGCGAACCTCCAGCGGTGGATCGTTGTAAAAGATGTGGTTGCACAGTTCTTCCAGTGGGGGTTCAGGATCTGTGGTAGCAAACTGAGCCGCATCTTCAATCTCCTTCCTCACCTCCACGTCGATCTCCTACAGACAACACAGGTAAGACATAGAATTATAGTCATTTGCTGTGTGACATTTACAGAACACCTGCACAACTAAGGAAATGTGTATGTGTTCATAGATCTTGTATTTTTGCTATTTTCTTATTCAACTGGAAACTAAAAAAACTTCCAAACTGCGTGAGTTCAGCTAAGCAACCAAGGGATAATGCTAAAACCAGTGAAACTAGCTCTCTCGTGTTTAAACAATGTACTGCAGTTCAACAATATCGCTGACAGCAGCAGAAATTCTACTTTTTTCAGCTTCATATTGTCAATTTTTACAAGTTCTATGACAAACTTGTTATATTCCTCGTAGATCCAAACAGCTGAGGGCACTTAGTGATTAGTTATCTCAAGATTTCTTTTATAATTTTTTATAATTAGTTTAGTATTTTGGGGCTTCAATCCCATTACTCCAAATACTTCATTAAGGGAGTCATCAACACTATAAAATATTCTTCCTGTTTGTCTCAATGCATTTTTGTGGAATTATGCAACTCAACAATCTTGTCAAAAACCCACTGAGGGACCCTTGAATTAATAAGGGTTAAAATATATATATTTAAAAAAGTATGATAAAGATGTGTGACTTTTTCAACGAGATAAGAACAGAAAGAAGCATGATTTTTTTCCATTTTACAAACTGAATATATTTGCTACCTTGAGCTCCTCCACGCTGGCCATGTTGTTGCTAAGCATGCGGTCCTTCAGCAAGGAGATGGGGTCACTCTTCCCACGGACCTCCTGGATCTCTTCACGTGTGCGGTAGCTGAGAGGGGAGAGATTTGTGCAGGGATGTTGTAGGGACGCACTAATACAATCATTTTGTTTTTTGAGCTGACACCGAATCCAACTTAAGTATTAGAAAACCAATCAAAAACCAGCAATAAATTACTTTCACTAACTACTATTAATTATTAATGAAGATAATTAATTTGGGCTCATTGTGCAAAACCAATCAACAGAACAAAATAAAGTAACTTTTTATATGATTTGTGGTGTGTTTACATTTCTCATTAGCACTTCACAAAAATTCCTCCTGGATTAGATAAACCAGGCATTCATCTGCTAAAGCCAGCAGCCATATTAGTATCCGTGTTCAGTCCATCCCTAGGCTGTGGTCAGGGCGTTGCAAGGCTACTACAGCAGGAAGGAGAGCATGTGAACACTACTGTGGGACAGTGGCAGAAGCAAGGGGCAGCAGCACAGTGAGGATAGATATTATTATTAATACACATAAATAAAATTGTTGTTAATAAATCAATCATTAAAATAAAAGTGCTTATAAGATGACCAGGACAGAGTTATAGTAGTTACAGCAAATATTTAAACCGTAACAAATAAAAATATACCGTATATAAAGTTCAGGAACTGTGATCGTTTACCTGACACCAGGATCGCTCATACTGTGTCCATGATAACGGTACGTCTGAAGCTCCATGAGAATGGGACCCTGATGAAAGGTTGGACAAAAATTATTTAGCTGAGAAAATGACAACCACATTTCCTGTTTTAATATAATTCAATGTTTTTAACTCACCTTCCCAGATCGGCAGTGATCAGCTGCAAACCTGGTTGCTTCCCGAACACACAGAACATCCATCCCATCCACCTGGACACAAAAACATCAAATTGACTAAAATAAAACATAGCTGTGTAAAATACAGAGAAATAATATATGTAAGTTATATTTAAAAAATGTAAAGAATAGTACCCGAAGACCAGGGATGTAGTCTCCTCTCTTGTAGTAGTCTGTGCTGGCTGAAGCTCGCTCCACTGATGTGCCCATGCCATACCTGTTGTTCTCACAGACAAAGATGGCGGGCAGCTTCCAAAGTGCTGCCATATTGTAGGTTTCAAAAATCTGACCCTGTGAAATACACAGAGGATTTCTTTTTTTAACATGGCACAAAGATATGATTGCTCTTTTTTATTGTTGTCCTGGTTAGCTTACATTATACAGCAAAGAGAAACAGACAATTAAATGTAACCAATAATACCTGGATGGTCTAACTTCAGTTAAATTTAAAGTACTTATTAAGCATATAACACATACACATTGTTATAGTAATATAGCAGCAATGTGGTGCTATTGATTCCATCCAGTAATTACAAAGTTAGATTAAAACCAGAGATTTGTGTGTCATACCTGGTTGGCAGCGCCGTCACCATAGAGGCTGACGCACACCTCGTTGTTGCCAAAGTACTTGCAGGCCAGAGCCACACCCGCACCCAGGGGAACCTGAGGAGAATTCAGAGGTCTGGGGTTACATTATATACATTTTAATGAATAAAGCACTCACTTAAACATCTTTTTATGCTGATATAGACATCACACATTTTTCAGTGGGTTCAACAGCCCGAAGGTTGTAATTCTTCGAAGTTAAAACATGAAATTCATCAAAACAAAAGACAATGTTCATTTTGACAACGACAAAAGCATCATATAGAATAATCTGTTTGTTTTATATATTTTATAATATTGTTTTAAGCCAGTATCATCTTTTATGTGTGTTGCTTTTATGTGGTAATCTGACACTAATTACTCCCCCTGAGTTGTGACTTCATATAACAGGTTGATGCCAAGCAATGAAATTAAGTTTTGGCTCCCTTTTCTCTTTTTGTAAATGAATTATTAATTGATCTATTTCTAGGACGCCCTGCAAGGTTCGTCCATCCAAGTTTGCTAACTTACTGTGGCAAATAATTGTTTCCCCCTCCTCTCCTGTTTATGACCAATGTCACCTTCCTTCAGTTCAGCTATATTCCCACAATATCAGTCAACACTATCAAACCAGACGCACTGCGTTTAGCGTCTTATCACAATTTCATCACATTGGCAGCATACTGGTAGGGCATGTTTACATGTTAACACTAAACCCAGAACATGTGAATTGGTTTGTTCCAATCTCTTTATTGCTCCTTTCAAAAACAGTTGAACAAGATGACTGAATACCAAGTTCAGAGATCGTGTGGAACAAGACTTCGGTGATATACCTGAGCTCCGACAATTCCATTTCCTCCATAGAAGTTTTTACAGTACATGTGCATAGAGCCTCCTTTGCCCTTTGCAATACCTCCTCTTCTGCCTGTAAATTACAAACAAAAACATGCAGGAGTTAGAAAACTGAAAAATAACAATTTGCAACTCAAAATCCATCATGACTGGAGTTTAAAATGATTTAGAGACTTAAAATGTCACAGCGTTTGCAGACTCACCGGTGAGCTCGGCCATGATCTCCTTCACAGTCCCTCCTCTGGTGTAAGTGTAACCGTGGGCACGGTACGCAGTGATCAGGTGGTCCGACAAAGTAATTCCTCCTTCAATACCAACTGCACAGGCCTCCTACATGGAGAAAACAAAAAGCTTTACATGATTTCTGTGTGAGAGCTTACATGTGTGGAGATGTGCTCTAAAAAAACTGTAAAATCTACTTACTATTACTATCTTACTATATTTTTAAATAATACTAATCACTGATCAGTTTTAAATTCTGGTTGTATTTCAAAGACTTTAATGCCATTTAATATTCTTCCCAGAGGAGCAAACATAAATCATTACTCCAACATTAAAATGAAACCCCAGAAAAGAATTATAGTGCACTCAACCTGGCCGTCATACAAGTGGCAGAATCCTCTGATGATCTTCTGCTTATACAGCTGATCTGCCTTCAGCTCCATACGCCTCATGGTCTGCATGGTGCGGTAGTACTGCAGACCCTCATCACGAGTCATAACCACCTGAGTGGCAGGGGCCTCGTCCAGCTTGTGGACGTCACATTTCTAGGGGGAAGAAAATACCCATAATGACTCACAAACTGCCACGTGCATTGATCAGTTTAGCAGAAAAATATAACTTTGTGTTTTAAGCTTACCTTTATTTCAAAGGTAGCCTGGGTTGTGAAATCAGCATAGGAGCGCACTGACATGACCACAGCAGCTCCCTGAAAGACAGAGGAATAAACTGGTTATTCAATACTAGAAAAACCAAAACAATACTTCCTTTCTTATTTAACAATATATATATAAACATGTTTTTTTTTTATTTAACAATGAGTATTTTGATAATGAAGTTAGTTGATACCACAGAGTGCTTTTGCTACCCAGACTTAAAATCTTCTACACTACTCTGCAGCAGAGCAGAAATAAATGCTGTCTGTCAGAACACATGCAAATACACTGGTAAAATATAAAAGTCACATAAAATATAACAAGTATGCCCATTCACCTCCTGTTCATGTTACTTTGAACCAACATACTTTATAACATAGTATCTATCTAACAGAATAACAAATTAAACAAACTACCTTCTCAAGTTTGTACTTTTTAAGTGCAGCTCAACAGACAAACACCAAGAAATCAGCCTCAGTTAGGAAAAATCTAAAGTATAATTTGTAATAGTTTGTTAGGGCAACTCAGGAAATCCTCCACGACCTCCCAGCTAGTGCTCTGATAGTTTGAGCAGCCAATTAAACACAAGATGTGATTTAAACTGACATTAATGGTTATAGTTTCATATCTTACACAGGATAACTACAACTACCATCATACACTGGGAATAGAAAAGTCTGAAAGGAAAGGTATCTGTGGTATACAGGACAACACCTAGTTGTAAAGTGGCTAATGCTCGCTGTCAACTTTCCTTAAAAACAACACCCACACAGCCCTGACCGACTCCACAATGAGGACTGAAGACTGAAACCTACACTTCACAAGCTTGTGTCATTACTGCCCGCCACACTGAAGCAACCCAACGAGTCCAGGGCTCACACTTTAGCTGTGTTAGCCAAACAAGCTATCAATCGGCCTTACAAGGTCAGGACAGCGACGGCAGCGTTGTTTACAGTAAACATCAGATGTTTACCGGAGAGGTTGTGACGCAGTGTTTGACTAAGAGAGGGGCCATAGTTTAAAACGTGTGTACTTACATTTCTCTGAGCACCAGCTCTGAGCACACTGGAGATATTGGACAGCATCTTTCCCGAGCTAGCTCACTTCAATCCCTGCACGGCTCCGTCCTTCTGTCTGCTCTGTCCTTCCGGCTCCGCTCACTCTTCTTCTTCTTCTATGGCTTCAATAACGGCAGCAAGAACTCACTGCTGCCGCCGCCACCCCTCTGGTCGGCAGGCGACAACACTGGAAGGAATATCTCTTTTTTAAATTAATTAATAGGTAAATGGATATAGGTTTGTCAAACAGTATATTAACATTATCCTACTTGGTGACCTTAATTATATTTGGGTTCAGTTAGAGCCAGCACAGGCCTAACTCCCCCATTACAGACTGTTACAGACTGTTATGATACTCCAATAACATTAATCCTAATAGACTTGTTTGGGATTTGAAGGGGCAGTGCTGCATGAAACTAAAAACTAGTGTCAACACCAATCACAGTATTTTGAGCTGTATCAGGGTCTCCAGGACTCCAACCTGAATGTTTATGTGCTGCCAGAACAGGTAACATGAACAGAAATATGTTTGTAAACTATTTTTAAACCATATTCTATCACCCATCTGATTATATGAGCTGATTAATTTCAGAAATGATAAGGGCCTTGAGGTCATTATTATTTATGATTTATTATTAGTATTTCCTAATTTTAAGAAACCTTTAAAAGTGTTCTCTGTCAAATTTAGTTTTAAAGCTGTACCTCAGTTTATTGGTGCATATTCTTGAATACATTTACTATCTGACCCACAGTACACCACGGATAGGAAGTATTTCAACACAGGAGAACACGTTTTTGGGACTGCAGGCAAACTATAACTGAGTCTGCAGTGTGCACTTTAGTAGATGGGCACTTAAAGTCGATGTTACATTCACTCAGTGCACAGAGAGTTAGAGGAAGGGGGAGTATATTGGGGCCCACGGGTCATTTTTTGCCCCAGAGCAGCCAGCCAGTACCACTACAGTGTTTTTTTTTTTACTATGGTCAGATATTATATTAAATTATATAAAATATGTGATCCTATCCAAATGCTAGGGTCAAACATGTTGATAGCCAGCCATAGTCACTGAAAAACGGTTAGTTCAACTCATTAGTGTTGTTTTTTTATCATCATGGCTCTCCATGATTTATCTTTTAAAATGTGACAATAGAAGATATCAAATAGCAGCTTTATTGTAGCACAGTGTTCAGCAAATCGATGGGAGATGAATGATGTCAGCCTCTGATCATGATATATGATACAGGGTTTGTAAGCCTATGGTGAACCTCTTGTGAAATCAAGTTAGGAAACACTTATTTGTTGCATTGGGGTGCAAACGGACCGGCCTGAGCGCGCACTAGACCTGCATGTTGTCCTTCTGTCTGTCATTCATTGCATCCAACCCGGCATTCAAGTCAGCAAAAAAAAAAAAAAAATGTGGTTTGGACCTTGGCAGCTTTGTGTGTGCAGAGAGGAAATCTCCTGCATCCACCGGTAACGCGTTAATAGCCCGTGTATGGGCGGGCTTACGCTGCGACGCACGGTGCTCGATCGATAGTAAACCGGACTGTGTGCGCATCACCAGCTCCAGTCCCAGCATCTCTCTGCTCCATCCAACACCCTCCTGCTCCTGCCCATCATCTCCAGCCTTTATAATGACCTTCAGGCTGTGTCTTAGTTGAATGGTCGCTGTTTATCCGCCGTGGCTGCGCTCCTCATTGTTGCTGCTGTGGAGGGAATCGGATACCTGCCCTGCCGCCGCCGCTGCTGCTGCTGCTGCGTCGGCATCACTGCAGAGTGTTTTGGGGGGTGACAGCGCGTCATAGCCTACATTTGGGTGTATTCTGCCTGTGACAGTGACCATGGCGAAAACAGTCTCACCGTCCAGTGCAATAACAGGTAAGCCTGGTGCGATGGTTGTATGGTCACGCTGTGCGGCTGTGTTGTTGTGTTTGCGCCGCGGTTTAAAGCAGACTCATGAATGACGCAATTGACATTTGCACCGCTTTATGTGCATGACGCTGGTCTGTGCGCGGATCAACCGGCTTCACTGTTGTGTTTGTTCGCCAAGGCTTTACAGCTTCACATGATGCAGGCCTGCTGTATGTAAGGTTCGTGGTTTAAGAAATAGACTAGATAATAATGGAAAATAGATTTTTATTCCCTTGAAAATAAACCAGAAACAGCAGGCCTAATGGTTTATATCACGCGTGTGCCTCCTCTTTGTGTTTTTTGTCATTTTCCGATTTACATTTTCTCATGAGGGGATATCAGCATTATAGATGATGATGATGAAGGTCCTGTAACCTTTTATTTTTTTGGGTGATGACGCGACTCCATCGGATCGAAGAAAGGGTTCAAATGAGTGGAGAGAGGACAGACTGGACAGACCCATGGATTACTGTATAATTTGTATGAGCTTCAAAACCATTGTGTGGTGACTTTGTAGGTTGAAAGCTGTGTGATTGTCTGGAGCAGGATGGAGACGAACCTTTCACATTGTATTTACCCTCCACGCCCCGGAGGGAGCTCCCTGCAGGTCAATAATCACATCTGATAGGACTGTAGGAGAAAAGACTTGTCACACTAGTTCACTGCTTCATTGAGACTGTACTGGTAAAGTGCAAGATGAATACTGGAGATCTCAGCTATGTTGGAATTTTTAGACCTATTATTTTAAAAGCTCTGACATGAAACAAAAAAGATAAAAATGCTTTCTATGTTCAAGAATAATAAGATCTAGAAATAACATAGAGCAATATTCCTGTCAAAGCCATAAAAGCCATAATAAATACACCCAGGTCATTGGAGGTAGGCTACCAGTGTGGCATGAAGAAATCAATAAAATGTTATCATGGAAAATGATAAATGCTACAAGTTGAGCATGTTGAATGTGTGCAGTGATGTGTTTGTCGGTTGAGGCGTAAGCTCTCCTGTCTGACATCAGCCAAGCCACATTTAAGAGGTCTGCCAAGTTTCAGTAGGCTACACAGTAAAAAGCCCTGACTGAAAAGAGAGTAATTCACTTGATCAAGTGATGCGACTGAGTGTGTTGGCAGTTCAGCCTACAATGCACATATTGATTGAGTGAATTTGTGGGATTAAATGGGGTTTTTTTTTTAGAGGCGCATTCTCAGATAAGAACCCACCCACTGTGATTAGATTTAGATGTAGTTACTGTTAACTCTCCATATTACACAATAGATTTGTCTCAGTTATTATTAATTATATTACTATTATTACAACTATAATAAGACATTTGTTGAACTAATATTTACTCCAATTTAGGCGTCTACTTGCCTCCTAACCTATTACAGTATATGAGTTGATGTGTCTCATCTGTGAGCTGTGATAATTTATACACACACACACACACACACACACACACACACACACACACACACATAGACACACACACAGTGACTATAGTTTCTTGGCCGTATACCAGTAAAATTCTGCATTCACACCATTTACAACCATTGTGAAATAGGATGTGGTAGTATGAGCTTACTGTTTAGATACAATACTTTTTAAAAATTATTTTATTTGTCTTGTGCTTTAGGTGAAAAGATGGCCCCACCATCCATCACTCTACTTCCCGACAAGAGATCTCCGACAAACGGTCACAGCTCTCCAGTCCGAACTGGAAAAACTAGTGAGTAATCCCCTCCGGCTTCTGTCACGTAATTCACTCTTTCCTTCCAAGTGGTTTCATCTGGATGAAAACCACTTGCACACAATGATGTGGATTATTGCATAATTACTAGAGAAACATTACAGAATGCACAGTATGACTCTGTAGGCCTCTGCATATGAGGAAAATGTGTTTCAGGCTGCTCTGTTATCAGTTAATGGAGGAGTAGATTACAGCCGCAACACAAGCTCAGCAACAATAACCAAAAGAGACATTCAGCATGTGTAGAGTGACTATCACATCAAGGACAGTTTCCTCCCTTCTCCTGCATATTGCTGCAGTTTGCCCTTGGCATTGGGGCTGCTTGGCATTTTGCAACACAGTGCATTTAACACTGAGCAGCCCCACACAGAGCTGACGAAATGCATCCCTCTGCTGGTAACAGAACAGCACTGCAGGTCAGTACTGGGGCGCTGATGTCATTCCTCTCTAGACAAAGCTGTGTGTGCTCTCTCTCTCTCTCTCTCCTTCTGTCATGATGATCCCAGCTCCATCAAACACAGAGAAGAAGCCACACATGAATGGACACGCGTCCCCTTCTCACTTAGCGGCTAACATCAACAACAACCATGCAGGTAAACAAAGTAAGTCTCGGTGTTTCTCTGGGCTTTCATTTGACTGCATTACCACTACCTTTGTTTTTGTTCTCTGACTCTTTCATTCATCTCTCAGTCGTGGAAGGTTATATGAAGACGGACGACAGGATGCGATTAGCCAAAGAGAGACGTGAGGAGAGGGAGAGAAGCCTGGGTAGGTGATGTCCTTTCAGTTAATTTTTCTGACTCTGTCAGGTTCGGATTTTGTGAACTGAGAAGCTCTGGGATGCCTGTAGGTTCCTTCTTCAGTGCATTTTTTTTGGCATGACATTTTTTTTTCTCTACAGTTTAATTGGTCATTGAAGGGCTTTGCTAGCCAGTAGAAGAGATATTCTGAGTTCACTGGGTTTTTGATGTGATGAGCTAAGTCACTTCAGGGGATGTGACAGTGACATAGAATAATCCACAAAAGTAGGTCTCACACTCACAGTTAATCATGCAGCTCTTGCAGTGGCCTCATGATGACAAGGATTTCTATCTTCATGACAATCAAATTCGCTGTAACAAATACAAGTTCACATAATGTCAGATTTGGTGAGTGTGTTTTGAAAGAAAAAACTACCAAATATTACAAAGAAGAACAAAATACAATATTCTTAAAAAAGTATTTTAATGAGAGAATAAAACGTACTAATAAAATTGTTGCAAAATGTTTGCAAAATTGAGACAATTTCAATTTCGTCTGCAGTAACTCTGAATGCTGAACAGCAACATTGCTCCATTAACTGTATTTTCTGGAACCTGTAACAGAATTCGTCTTGTCTCTTTCAGCGGCCAGGGAGCAGCTGATCAGGGAGAAAGAGCGCAGGGCTCGGCTGCAGTACGAACGCACAGTGGAGGAGCGCTGGAGGCGGCTGGAGGAGCATAGGCAGAAAGAGGAGCTCCGCAGAGCTGCAGTGGAGGAGAAGAGGAGGCAGCAGCTCGAGGAGGAGAGGGTGAGCTGAGTTAACAAAAAATCTTAATCAAAAATACACTATGGCCTATATAACGTGTGGTTGTGTGTGTGTGCAAGATGTACATACAAATGTAATATTACATACAATAAGTGAGGCGACAGAGTTGAAATAATGGTCGGCTTTGCTGTGCTGCGTTCAGGAGCGGCTGGAGGCCCTGATGAAACGCTCCCTTGAACGAAGCCTTCAGCTGGAGCAGAGAACCAAACGCTGGAGCAGAGCCTGCCCCACTGGAGCAGGCAAGAACTGAGCTTACAAATAGTTTTGGATACAAGAGGCATGAGTGGCAGAAAGGTGACATGTGAATGATCTGAAACTGAAAAGCAGGATATGGAAGAAAAAAATGGCTTTCTTTCCAGAAGGATTGCATTTTGCTGTATTTCTGTGAGACACCATGACACAGAATGCGTGTGCATGTATGCTGTGGGTCCTGTTTGTGTGTGTGTGCGTGTGTGCGTTTGAGAGTGAGTGAGTGAGAGTGGGTGAATGTGTGTGTGTGTGTGTGTGTGTTAAAGAAAACCTTTCTCCTGGCCTGATCAATGCTGACAGCCTGGCTGCTGAAGTACGCATGAGCAGAAATGTGTTCCTGGTTTCCCACAGAGAAAAGGATGGAGTTACACATCTACACAGGTGTCTATGTAACACTAAACTACACTTTTTGAACTTGATTTAAATAGCGGAAGTGTGAAAATAACACATAAATCATCTCAGTTCTGTCTGCCACACAGAATTTTTTGATATCACCACTGGGAAGGACAGCTGGAAATATTCAAAACCTATACATAATAGTTTTAAATCAGACTGAAAAAGTGACAGTTTAGGTTACATTACATCATGACACCCCTGCTGATATGTTAGCTCCCATCCAGGACTCTACAGGTGGATGAGGAATTGCTCAGATAAACTGTTCATAACGCTCTGCTCTGCTCTGCTCCGCCCGCTGCCTATAGGTGACAGTGAGAATGCCCCACTCCCTTTCTCTGCTGCCTCCGCCTTTTCCCATGGCATTGCCTCCCCCCTTCCTGCTGTCAGCGAATCTGGTAAAGTTAAGCCCCCCTTGCCCTCCCAACTATATCTTCCCCTCCTGTTCATCCAACAGTTACCATGTCTGTGTTTGTTTGCCTTTGGGCGGTCTGAAACTTCAACGTAAACCAAAGGCAAATGTCTTCTTCCTGTGATGCGTGCATGTTAGGCTGCGCCGTTGCTGAACTTTTAATGGTGCCCTTGCTGTGCAAATGAGATAATGCACTTCTGCAAAGTAATCTATATGTTTGCTGTGTTTGTGCTCTGCTGCAGTGGCTTTTATCTTTGAGTTACTGTCACCAAAAGCAGTGTGGAGTCACAACACTGTGGAGACAGGCTTCGAGGATCACGCAAATTAACAGGCAGATGTTATCAGAACAGGAGCTTATACTGATATATATCCAAACATTTATCTAGAAGTGCTGGTTTTATCATGAGCTAACCTAATTTTCAGGCAGAATCATGCTGAAACAGTTCCATCCTCCTTATCTCCTGAGGGCGGACTTTCATTCTCTTCTCTCTTGCAAAGGAAAACTCCATTGTGCAGGAAAAAGAGGACAATAAGAAAATGCACCACCATCAGCTATTTCATAGACTGAATCTTGTCGGCGGAAACATGTTTTCCTCCATTAATTCATCACCTTTAGCCCGGTATTCCTCTGTGACGTGTGTTTTAGTAAACACATCATTTCAGTATGTATAACTCTCTTTAAGATTTCCCTAGAAGTCAACCTCCGGATTAGTTGCCCCAGATTAGTAACCTCACATTAATTACAAACCGGCTAAAGGGCGCTGATCACATCGACTTGAAAATCTCTCTTTTTTTTAACAGTTTGTAGATTTATTTGTTTCCTTTTTGTGTTGATAACCTGGGATGCTGACACCGGGTCCCCCCGAGCAGACGTTTTTGGAGATTAATCGCACATGACCTAGAATAAAAATATGTGTCCTAAAATAGACACAGATACAGGCCTCCCACTGGGAGGGCTGCACTCTTTAGAGATTACTCTTTACAGATGATGGCAGATGGATGAGAAGTTACAAGAGATGGCAAGAAGACTGCTTCTAGTGTTGTTGTTGTTGTTGTTGTTGTTCCATGTTTAGGTCCTTTGCTTTTGTGATTGTGAGTCTGCAGAAGGCCTGTGTGTGTGTTTTCATTTGCTGTCATTGTTTTGGGTATGGCAAGGACAGAAGTGTTGGGAACTGGGTTTGGGATTATGGTTCGCAGCCACCATGCTGGTGTGTGTGCTTGTATCACACTGCGTAGCAGCAGCATAAAAAATTACTAACAGGGATGTTAACACACCCCATTATGTCTGACTGTTGGCTGAACCAGTCATATTGGCAGTTGAAAGACATGCGTGTTCAGTATCTCTCAGTCAGGACTAATCTAATACTGGTAAAATCAATGGCCTCTTTTTGGCAGAAATGTGTCCTTCCATATTTCCATATTCAATTTTATAAAGTCCAGTAAGGACAGAAGAGCTTGATTTTAGCTGTAAGTTTGCAGGTTTTCTACCAAAACCAAAAGCTTATTACCACAGCTTCAACCAGAGAAGAGAAACGTATCACATGGATGTCTAAAATTTAAGATTGTGGCATATAATTAGTTTTGCATCATCTAACTGACCTGGAAAAGTGAGTCTGTATGCTTAGTTGGGTGCAGCACACACTGTCCAGTCAATCCCTCCCTCTGGCTACTGTATTATTATCCCTCTGTCACTTGTTATTTGCCATCATCGGATTTGATAAGCATTGTGTTTGTCATCATGCAGCGCCCTGCAGCCCTCACAGGTCACCTTTCTGCAGCTCGCTGAACCCTGCAGATCACAACAGAGCTGGACTTCAGGGTGGCTCTCGGTCCACTCCCAATACCCCCAAGGTCAGACCTCACACATACTCATACCTCGATATACTTGCATAGAATCTGTAATAATCAATAATTAATGGATACAAATTGCAAGATCTTACATCACTGTAACTTACAGAAAGAGCGTCTGCGCAGAGACAGAAGAACTGCATCCCCAGGTTGTGGATCCCCTGCGAGAAGATCTGAATCCCCTGCTAGTGTCACCAAGCACTTGGCTTCCCCTACTACCTCCAAGTAAGATTATTTGTTTGGTGTTGAACTGAAAGGTCAGCTGGGACCATTACCTTGTTTAACACAATTTTAAAATGTCTTTTCTGTCATCAAACATAGAATTTTTAAGCCAAACAAATCTTCTGTGTGCAGGCTGGCATCAAAGATGCGTGCCCAGTCTCCTAGCAATGCACATCAGTACCATTACTCTCCTACAAGACATCGTCCAAACCTGTCAAGTGATGATTGGAAAGCAGAAGAGAAGAAGGTGGAAAGGCACAGTGAATCCAAAGATGAAACTGCAGTGAAAAATAATACCGACAACAACAGCATGAAGACAACCCTACAAGCGGAGAAGAATGCAGTCAACGTTGAAACCACTCAACCCAAATCACCTAAAGGGGAAACTTTTGATAAGCAGCTCAAAGGTGACACATGTGAAAAAAATCAGTCCCCTGACAGAAAAGACCACATGTCTCCCAAAGTGGAATCCTCAGAGAAGAAGACGCAGAGCAATGCTCAGGATACACACAAGAAAAAAGGTGGACTTTATACCAACAAGTATTTATAACCTTACACTGAATTACAATGCTCTTACAACCGTCTTTCTGTGTGTTTGACAGAATCAGCACCATGTGCGTCCACAGTGAAGGTGGCAGCTGGCACAACAAATGCAGAGGAGGCTACCAGGTTGCTGGCAGAGCGTAGGCGTCAGGCTCGAGCTCAGAAAGAACTAGAAGATAAAAAACGTGAACTAGGGGAACAAGAAAGGTAAGTTCATTCAATGAATCATGAATTTAAGACAGCATTAAAGGTCTAGTGTTTAACATTTAGGAGGATCTATTGGCAGATATGGAATATAATATTCATTGGTATGTTTTCATTAGTCTATAATCAACTGAAAATAAGAATTGTTGTGTTTTTGTTACCTTGGAATGAGCTGCTTTTATTCACTGTTACCTTTAATGGAGGTCGCCATGATGAACCACCATGTTTCTACGGACAAACCAATCACTGGCTCTAGATTTTATACATGTTTTGCAGCCACTGTAGTTTCTCTTTTGCGCTTGGAAGGGGAGGGTGAAGCGAGTGAGTTGCAATCTGCAACAATATCACTAGATGCCATTAAATCGTACACACTGCTCCTTTAAATAGTCTGTTGGGTTTAAGTCTGTACTTGAGCTTAGTAAGTGTATTCACCTGCCCAACAGACTAAGAGAAGAACAGTTGAGGAAGCAACTCGCTCAAGAGCAGCGGCAACAGGAGGCAAAGACTCAACAAGTGAAGGAAAAGGCGAAAAATGAGGAAGACCCTCAAAGGATGAAAAAAGAAGACATACAAGAGAAGGAGGAGGAAGAGAAGGAGCAACAGATGGACAATGAGGTAAGAGATCATTATTACGTGCTATAAGGCAGTTGTTTTTGCCCTAATGCTGCATGATTTAAATGTAAAAATGTTTAATTTCTTGTGAATCTTTGATATATAAGGTAAATGATTTTCTGTCTTAGAGTTTCTGGTTATAAATGTTTTTCCTCTTGATCTTAACAGAGAGACAAAGCCAAAGCCCAGGCACAAGAGGATGCTGAGCGTCAGCGGCAAGACAGAGAAATGCTGACACAACAAGAAGAGGAGGAGAGGCAACTAAGAAAAAAGGTTATTTCTAACTGAAAAAACCCTCAGAAAAGAGGATCACAGCACATATTACATGTTGTACTTAAAATATTTCAAAATCTGAATTCTGATAATTAAATATGAATGTATTTTTGCAGAGAATTGAGGAGATCATGAAGAGAACTAGGAAGGGTGAAGCCGACCTGAAGGTACTGTGAGAGACACCCTCTGTTCTCGTACAGTAGTCCTGCTGCCTTTAAGTACCTGCTGATTGTGTGATCAACATTTTTTCCCCTCAACTTTATTTTGTTAAAAACTCTCTGTTGTTGTTTATTATCTTTATTAAATTCTATTGTTGGTTCTACTTTGGTTTTGTGTCCTGATTACCCCAAACGTTGACTTGATCGTCTGTTCTGCATTGACTCAGAAGGAGGAAGAGGTGGAGACAAAGCCCGTCTTACCACCAGGTTAGTATGTTATTCAGTCACTCTGCAAATCCTTAGTTTGCTTGCTGTCCCTGCTTACTCAACCCCTCCCTGTATGCCTTGCAGCTGTAAAAATGCAAACAGGGCATGTGTGTTGTATGATGCGATTCATTTATTAGCTTATTTTGAGCATGCGCAGCAGTAATTTACATTTTTATGACTTGGCTTGTGTGACATCTCAGTAGGGGGCAGATGCCAATATTTTTCCAGCATTCTTGCAGTTGTCTTGTTATGTAATACATTTTTTGGGCTTTGGCTATTCAGAAGCCTGAACAGCTAGGATGCTTGTCTGCACCAGCTTAAGTCAACCATGCAAAATTGTTCATTGGTATATTGCTTGTGCTTTGGACCACACACTCAAAAGCATTTGGTTTGGGGTTATATAATATTTTCTGGAATATGGAGCAGCAGCCAAGGACTTTCCTTTCTGTGCTGATAGGGCGCCTTTTATTGTAGAGCAGTGCTTTGGGAGCTGACTTTAAAATTAGCTGCTCTTGAAAATGCCCTTGGAAGATGTATTCAGGGACTGCTCTGCACAGTGTGAGCTAACACTTTATTTGGACTGTCTACCATTCATTCTCAAATAATTTGGCTTTTACAGTTGAGCCGATGTCAATATTCAGTATCAACTTGTTCAGTAATAGTGGTAATATGTGACAGCCACTGTTACTGTTGGCAGGAATAGACTCAAGTCGACTCAGATGAAATTCAATTGATTAGTTGACTGGTTAACTGGACCGTCCAAATAAAGTGAAGCCCACTGTGATGTTTTTTTATCTTCCACAGGTGAAGTAAAGCCTGTTCAGACTAATGCTCAGGTGAACGAGCAAGCAATCAAAAAGGTTGAGCTTCAGGTTAAAGAGCAGGTCACAGTCCAGGTCAACAGTGCCCTGGTGAAGAAAGAAGCAGCAGCAGCAGCAGCAACAGCACAGATGGACAGTCAGAAGAGTCTCCAAGTTAAAAACCACACTCATCAAGTGACACCAACACACAGTGTTCCTGACAAGAGACCGGAAGCCAAAAAAGGCAGTGAAGAGCACGGCGGCCAGACTCACAAAGAGGGCAATTCCGGTGTCTTAAAGCAGCAGGGAAGAGAGGTGGAAATGAATGTAAACAAGCAGCACAAAGCAAATGTTAAAGCCACAGACCAAATAAATAAACAGCAGACAAAGCAGGCAGCAGATGCCAAAGTCAACCAAAAGGAGGGCGGTATGATGAATGGAGCAGTGAAGGGTGAGAAAACAGCCTTGAAGAGTAGTCATCTAACTGCCGAGGCAAGCAAACAACAAAGCCTGCGTGTATCAACAGCTGAGGGCAAAGCTAAAGGAGGGTCCCAGGTGCAGGTTATTAGACCCTCTCTGACAACCCTGCCAGTTGCACACCTATCACCGCCAGTCATCAAGCTGGAGCCGCTAGATGTGAAGCGTTCGGGGTCTTGTGACGAGGTGCAGTCCATGGAGGTCAGGTGAGTCATCAGGTAACCCTGTACCACATTACATGCTTGGTCTACCAATAATTATGGACACCAATATTATTGTGTTTTTATGATTATATTTCAGCCCGGCTTCAAAGGAGGAACTTATCTCAATCCCAGAGTTCTCACCAGTCAACGAAATCCAGCCCAGCAGTGTGAGCAACACCCGAGCTCTTGAAGATCTAATGGACCTGACGGGCAGTGTCACCTACCCCAAACTGTCCTCTGATGGCAACATAGGTGACTGCAACAAGAACCTCATTGAGGGAGTTGTTAGTCCCATGTCAGACTCAAAGCTCACTGGGGTGTCAACCCCGTCCTCAAATAAACTTAGCATTAAGTAGTCCATTAATCTCTCTCGCTTGCCTTCTCTCTCTCTCTCTTCCCTCTTTCTGTCACACACTCATTGGGAGTCACTACATTTATGGGAATAGAGCCATAGAGATTGACAAAAAAACAAAAAAAAACAAATAACATAGATTCCTCACTGGGTGCCAGTTCAGTCCCAGTAATAAAACCCTGCTCAGAGCACCGATGACTGCATTTGTACCTCTGCCTTTCCACATGCCCTCTTAAGCCTTTAAATCTAATTCAGTGTGTTGCTGGGAAAGGCATGACCTAATTTTTAATACGTGTCCTTTCTAGGTAATGTTATTCATGCATGTATTGGTGACTGATTTGGCTGGAACGTAATGGATTTATCTGGCAAACTAAAATCCAGCAAGACTCTCAGGACCACTGCAGTCCTTCACCCTTTCTAACCCAGCAAGGTCTCATAATGGGATTGTTCACATTTTTAATTTCATGGCAATGAGATATGATTCCCTTTATTCTATTTTTTTTAAATCTTTAACTGGGACTTTCTAACTGCACGTGAGTGAGGAAAATGATCCCAAAGCTGTCAACTTGAATGTTATTGCACATTGAAAAAGAAAACACGACATCAACACAAATGATGGTACATACTTCATGTTTGTTGCAGACTAATCGCTAACTTGGACTCTCTTGCAAATATCCAGTTATTGTATTTATAAAAGCTTATTTCAATAGCAAGGCATCCATTTTTCAATGTTTCCAGTGATGGAAATACTGACAGCTGAGCAACCTTCAACTTCTGTAGGTGTGCCTTGCTATGTAAAGGGTTTCCCAGGCACAGCACTAATGGATGCATTAATCTATAGACATCCAGTAACATACACACATTCTAATCAATAGATTTTTGGCTATTGATGTGAAACTGAAGTGCACTGGGGCAGGAATGTTTGCTTAACAATCAACTCGTAAGTGTGCCCTTTAGCTATAAATATGCTGTTTGCTGTTACAGTTTTTCTCCCTCCATCATGTTATACGTGTGTGGTCCTGTAGGAATTATCCAGTGGGCTCCTTACACTTCTTGAGCAATTCATAAACTGACTAATAATTGCAATTTTTCATTTTCTGTGTCATGTCTAAATATAATTTCAATAGAGATGCCTTAAGAGGGACTGATTTAATGGATTTTAGTGTCAGTCTTCTGGCTGTGTATGTTTATCCTTTCTGTTCGGCCACTGGGATCATTGTGTGTGACCTGTAATACTTGAACCTCGGTTTAACACACATTCTCTCCGCCAACAATCTGCAAACGATTATACCAACAGCTTGTACACATTAGTGGGTCTCTTATTAAGTGACATTTAGAGTTTGTGTTCCTCAGACAATACATAGCAAGGTGTTTTTAATTGTCTTAAGTGAAGTAGCCATATATGTATGTTACATACAGGTTTTGAAATTTAGGGTTTGCTGTATATTTTGCATATTCAAACACTGCTGTTCCACAATGACTAAAAGGCTGCTTTTTGCAAAAGGGACTGATTTTAAATCTAGGAGAAATTATATACAGTATACAACCACTTCAAAAAGTATTCAAGTCTGCTCATAGCCATATGTCAAAACAGTCAATCACTGTCAGCTTAACTCCTTAAGTTATGTAATTAATGTAGACATTGTGCATGGTTAGCATGGTCATAACAATGTTATCTGAAACAATAAAATGTAAAACTCTGAATGTGTTGTGTTGATGTGTTATTGAGCTCTTAACTTGGGGATAAGTTGATTATATTTGGAAGACAAACATAAAGTGAGATGAAGAAAGAGGCAGAAGACTTTTGAGATAGGGCATGAGCTGAGGAAATCACACAGACATGGATTATTGCTTACTGCCATTAAAACATATATTTATTCTCCATTTATAGGTACAACTAGCTAAAACCAATGCAGTCTGATACAACAGCCCGACAATGAATTCTACAGTACCTCCATGAAGTTTATAATGTTCACTTTCTTACACGTTGAAATGTGTTTCTAGAATTCAGTCTACCCTGATTACTAGAAATAGGATGTATAAAATATCATAATAACCTCTTGCACCTCCTCAGTTTCTAGAGAAAATGAACATTAGGGTTTTTTGTTTTAGACTATATGCATGAAATGAAAGAAAACACAACACATTCAGTCTACACCGACCCTGCAGCAGACTGCGGAGACGTGTAGTTCCCACTCCCCGCCAGCAGATGGTGCTTCAGGTTGGATGTCAAACAGTTGAAGGGCGAGGGCGGCGCGGCGACACCACAGAAGAAGAGCAGCTCGACTGTGTCGCACGTAGCAGTCGTCTAATCGACGGTTGGTCTCGGTAAGTAAGTTAGATTATAACATTGCACATATTTGTAGTTAAAGTTGAATTCTCGTAGTTTATGCTGTCATTTTGTCGGTGTATTTGTTGTGTTTGGTGAATGTCACTCGCGGAGAGCTGCGTCCTGCGGACCAGGCGAGCTAACTGGCCTTAGCAAACTTAGCAACACGGTAGGGTTGTTAGCGATAGCTCGACTTGCGTTTTCACGTTTGTGTTACTAAATTTATATTTAGATCCGAAACATTGATGTAACTTAACTACTTAAATAACGTCAGTGTGATACTCACCGAGCTCAGTGTAGGCTTTGGTCCCCCCCCCGCAGAAAGAATAAAATGACTGAGCCGTGTTATTTTCTCTCCCTGTCGCTAATACCAAAAATGGAAGCAGATCCTTCGTCGGGATTTAAGGGATTGAAACTGAACCGACTGTACCGTAGAAACCTGTCCCACCTAAACAACCGGCTCCCTTTTTATAATCGTATTCTCTTTGTACATGTGTACGTGTTTTTAAATGTTTTTAAATGTTTATTTGACGTTAGTTGTTTGTGTGGTGGGTGTTGGGTGAACTCTTGTGACTTCCACGCCGTCGGTCGGGCCAACCAACGTGTTACGTCGTAGTGAGTAATATCTGGTTTCTATGGTGATATAAAAATGAATTGCCCCATATCGAGGGCGGAGACACTCCCTGTTTGTGTGCGTGTTGCTATAACAATAGCAGGAGATTATTTTTTTATTTTTTTATTTAAAAAGGTTTATCAAACCACGCATGGAAGTCTACACACTTTATTTTAACAGCAATTTAGTTGATATTTAGTTTTCATTATTAATCTGTCAATCATTTTCTTGATTGATCAGTTAATTTGTTTGCGCCTTGAAATGTCAGAGAATCATCAGTTTCCCATGATAACATTTTCAAATGTCTTGTTTTGTCCACAACTCAAAGATTTTCGGTTTACTGTCCTAGAGGACTAAAGAAACCAGAACATATTCACGTTTATGTGGAGAAAATCAGAGAATTTGGACATTTGACGATCCATTGATCATCAAATTAACGTTGGTTGGTGATTTAACGGACAACTAATCAATGTGACTTATTGTTGCAGCTCTGTTAATTGCTATTAGAGTCAAACATGTGGCTTTTTAGATGTTTTGTTAAAACATTTGAAAGAAGGCTACTGGAATACAGTGTACTTTGTCATTTTTATCTATGACAGTACTGATTAGATTAAGAGTGACTGAGCTCTTATCTGTGGTGATGAATTGATTACATATTTCTGCGGGTTGGCTTCAGGAATGTTAAAAGAAATATGGACTTTGTATTTTGCCTTTTCAATTTGAATGCAGCTTTTACTGGTATTAATTTAAAATCTACACACTAAGGGAAGCCCAGCAGTCATGAGTTTGACTCCCACCTGTGGCCCTTTGTACATTATGTTGTTTAGTATTTACTAAACAATTGAATTTTGTTCAGTAAATTTAGTTTTTTTTTACAGCAGTTAAACATTACGCGTTTAAAATCAGTAGTACTTTTAAAATGGTAATTTAAATCTATTTTAGGTCACATGTACTTTGTGTAAATATTGACCAAGAAATTAGATTGCTGCTTAGTCTATTAATGTTTAAGCAACTTTTATCTAACTGACTACCCAGGAAGCATGTCTAAAATGTGAGATAAAGAGAACATGAAATGGAGGGTGAAACTGAAACTTACCTTTTACTTGGTTCTTGTTTTATTAGAGTTGCTTATAAAAGCACGAAACGAAAGCTCAACCAAACCAAACTGACTCTGCTTCAGACTTTAAAGTGCTTGTATCAACTATGGGGTCAGGGCAGGCCTAAGATTGTGTTTAGTTGTAGGAAGCAGTCACTATATCTGCTTAGGCTTGTCCAAACTCAACACGTTTCTTTTTTTTCCATAGATCTTACACTCGCTTACCAAGATGGTCCGACCACATTTTGGACCGCCACGCTTAAAGCCAAGGTAATGTCTTGTGATTATGTGCAGTTGGACCCAGATATTGTGTTATTTCTGTGATTGTTAAATCTCTTATTATGCGTAATAATAATGCAACAATGATCTAAGCTAGTTGCTGGCTGTCATTTTTTGCAAACTGATGGATTTAAAAAAAAAAATAGCATTATGCGTTGTAATCAATTCTTACACCAATTCTGTGTTTCTTGTGTCCTATCAGACCTTATGGAGATGGTCATGGCATTGGACCGAATGAAGGGAATTACAACCCCAACTCCAAAAGTCGAAGAGACGTCCAGGGCTACCAAGTAAAGGCCCCTTTTAACTGGAAAGACTCCAGAGGTAGAGGACGGCCCCCGGTTGTCAGAAGAGTGCCCCTGATGGGAGAACAAAGGGAACCACGATTCAATAACTGGAGGTCCCCAAATCAGGATTCCTTTCATTCATACCCTCCCAAAATGGAACCACACCATAGCCAGAGGAGGCCTTCTCCTTCTAGGCCAAACCGTTCCCCCCATGTCCAGCATCAGTCATCTTCTCGTAGTCCTGCACATGGATCCCCTAATCAGAGGGGCCCGCCTTTCCATGGCCACCCCTCAGGTCACAGGTCACCCTCCCCGAGACATTTTCGCAGCCACCCAGCTGACAGGAGGCAAGGCTTCACACCAGCCAACCAGGGGTCTTTCAGGGGCCCCAGAAGGCAGTCAGGTTTTTCGCATCAGGAGCAGCGGAATCGAGACCCCCGTGGGAATTACAGTCCCAGAGAAAGGCCCTTTGAGCACTCAGGTCATGGCATGAAGCGCTGGAACGAGCCTGGAGCATTCTCTCATCAACACAATGGAGAACACGGGCCCTCTGGGTCACAGAGGAGCCCCAGAGAGATGCATGGGAGAGGCCCAATGCCAGAGAGGTACAGGAGTGAAGCAACAACCCCAGCTGGGTAAAATTGTTAAAGAGGAGGCCTGAAGTTGGCCCAGTCCTCTACTCTGCCCCAGCTCATAGTTATTAGGGGGGATTAATGGGGGTCTGATGTAAATGTGGTTTCACCTGCCAGTGAGAGGAGTGTTGCATCTGTAATTGCTCTTTGAAAATTTACTTCTCCTACCTGTTTCATTCTGTCATGGCATTATGAAGGGGCTGCATTAAGATAAAAGTTAAAAGTTCCACCTCCCACTTAACATGGCAATGGATCTATCATTGTAATGATTTCTCTATTGTTTGATGGATATGCAGGTGGTCATCTGAGCAAGACTCCAGGCGGCAGCGTGGCCCGGTGGAGAGGCAGGGCAGCAGATCCCACAGTAGAGAGAGGGTTCAAGATGGCCCTCACCCGCCCCCTTTCAGATCCCCCACATGGAAAGGAGGTCCATCACCATCATCCTCCTACCACAGAAACCCTCAGGAGAGGCAACTGGCAGGACCCCGCAAGAGGAGGATATCAGACATCAGCATGCCCTCTTCAGACCCTGCACTGGAGCATGGCAATCCAAAACACCCCAGGAGAGAGAGACCCCAGCTGCTCAATATTCCCAGGCCATTTGGCGGTAAACCTTTGTCTCTTAGGGATAAAAGTTACCTGGTTAAGAACAGACAAATCAGAGCTGAGTCTCTCATGAGGCTTAGAATACCTCCATCTGTGAAACCCAGGCTTCACCTGGGCGACTCTGCCTCACAGGGAAATGTCAGCTCTGTTCTTGCTATCAGGAAGAGACGTTTCCAGTCAAATGCAGTTCCCCTGAAAAAGATGGAACCAAGGAGGCCAAAACCGCAACAGTCACCCTCAAGAGAAGATAGCAAGTCTGCAAGAGACTCTGATACTGGCAAAGAACAGGTGGAGTCTCGCCGGTCCTTGAACACACACAGGTACGGTATTATCCTTCTAGCACTGTTCGCAGGGGCTTGATGATGATTAGGAGGTCAAGAAAGAATGTCTCTATATGAAGGGGGTGCCAGCTGTGGAAAATGGAGATGTCGTGATGAGCTAAATGTGCAACACTGATTCAAATGATGAAAAGCTGCAAACGTTTTCAAATGCCTCCCTGTCTGCGTGCTGCCTATGTTTCAAAATATCTTCCTATCAAGTGGGCTGAAGAGAGTGCAAAGTTACGTGGCATATCAATAAAGCCAACCTGTTATAAGACCTGACAAAATATATTTAATGCCCTTGATGAGGAGTGTGGAAACATTAGTTGATCTGTGTGCAGTTGAAGGATTCTTCAGTTTGTGAGCATTGAGTGTCGTAAGCTTGAAAGAAGTGCTCTTCAGCATGTTGAAGACCCCTTCATCATCAATAGAGAACAAAAGAATTGAAGCTGAAGTAACATGTAGTATAAAAGTTTAACAGTGTATCTGTATGCAAAACGAAGACATGAAGAGGACGACACTTAACATGACCTAAACTGAAACTAAGTGCCCTGCTGCCCCTTTCAACATGTCAGCCGTACATGGACCTTGGGAAAGAGATGCATCAATGTCAAACATTGAATGGCGACCATTCACGGCACTAACAAAAACACCACACAGCAAACCAAGTGGCATATTTGATCATGGAATTTACAAAAAACAAAGCTAGTCTGCCATGACACTTAAATAAAACCATGTCAATATGGATGACGGAGGCTATTGCTGAATACCAGAGAAGACAAAACCAATGAAGAGGAATTTCTGTTGAAGGACATTACTAACCACCATCAGAACTAAATGATGAAGTGCACCTGCTTTTATTTAGATCAATTATTAATATTTCTGACTCCATTGTTTATGCACATGGAATTACCAATAATGTCTTTTATTAAGCTCCAAAGTGGTTAACGTTAGACTTTAAACACAAAAAGTTAAAATCCAAGACAAAGAATGAGTTTTGACCAGTAGAGCCCGGCAATCACCATGTGAAGGAATTTTAATCTTCACGCTTTCATGAGATGCATACCTACATGTACACATGCATTATAAAGCCGGAGAAATGCCCCATTTGTGTGTTACACCAAAGTCAAATTTGGAAGCGGATATCATTTTCATGCAGTGTGCAAAATTTATGCCAGAAGGATCATCAGAATCTGCACCACCTGAAGTGTGAAACCTTGAGGATGTTGGCGCTAAGTCTTATTCAGAATTGACGGAAGGAAGAGGAGCCACAATACTTCTACTCATATAGTGCATCTAGTACTGGAGTTTCCTTTTTTCCTGCAGTCAAGAAAACTTCAAGGACACATTCACTAACCCTGTCAACTATTTTGATGAAATGAGCCGAACCTGCGACTATAGAGCTACTTTATGACCACCTCCGTTTTAATCATATCAGCAATGCCTGCAGTGAAACAGACCTTGATGTGTAATTTTTATACGGCTGGAAAAAGATCAGAAGAAGTGCCAGAGAACCCAAAGGAAGATGCTACATCAAAGGAGACTCAAACTTAAAATAATGGATTTAAAATAGACCAGAACAAGGTGAAACGAGAGATTGCAAGTGCTCAGAATTCCAACTTGATACTATGTGGGGACCTAAGCGAGATCAGTTTGGTCTTTACAGTCTGAACCATGCCACCAGGTTATATTATCAGTGTGAATGCATTTGGGCTGCACCGACAGGTCAGCGTGTGCTGTGGTCAGTTGTCTGTCTAATCTGACGTGTGACCTAAATGTATAAATGTGTGTCATCAGCCTGAATCAGCATATTCAGTAGCCACTTTATAAGGCTAATGGAACCAAAGCCAAATAGTCTCTAACCCAAACCTGCACGTCAACCAGTGAAGACTTCAGATGGGATCACAAAAGATGTTCTTGGCTGTAACTTAAAACTACGACACGAAGAGGAAACGAGCTGCTCTTTATAAAAATCATGCCCAGCACACACAAGTCGATGAAGAATAGGAAATCTAAAGGAAAAGTCTCCCTTGTGGGTACTGCTAATCTTTTTAGTAAGTTACCTTGGACTTGTTTGTGGACAGACGAACACCGGATCATCTCTTAAAACCACTGCACAGCTCTGGAGAAGAAGCTGTCAAGCTGACATGATCACCAGCCTGGACGTGTTCAGCGATTTGCTTCAGAACGGCAGATGTCTCCAGCACTCACATCTCCCGCTGCTTTATGATGTACATCTGGTGAAACCATTGGGATGGTGAAAATGAAAGAGTGACCAGGAATGACCTGATGACAAAACCTTCTGAAGTTCAGTCTGACTGTGAAAACAAGGCATTGTCCTCCTGTGGTTCTGAGAGAGGGATGATAGAAGATTTGATGTGACCTAGACCGATATCTAAAAGTTGTCTCCAAGATTTGCCACTCTAACAATCACCGAGTAAATGAAGAGAGCTCAGATTGATTCAGGGTACAAAAATAGGAGTAAAGAAGCATGGACATTCCATGGTTTTTTGTAAGTACCTATATGTGATGTGTGCCTTTATGATCATGTGTCTGCCTGCAAAACAGTGCTGTTCATTACTGGTTTAAATTGCATTACTCCTAAGAGTTGACAGGGTGATTTTTATATCTTTCCTTTTAAACACTGTGATAACTTGTATGACTTGATGTTAATGTATCCAGGCCACATTTAAGATGTTCATACACTGACATAAGCCTCATATGATGCTGGGATAGGAGAGCCGATGTCATTAACACGGTCTCCACTAATATCTCCCCAGATCTTCTCCCATAGAGAAACGTGACCTTGTTGTTTTGTCCCATTGGCCGCCTGGGCCGAGCACCTCCTCCAAGGGCGGCTCACCTCCGAAAACTCGCAGCCCAAAACCAAAGAGTGGTAAGTCTATTCTTTTAGTGATCTCATGTACTGTAAGGCCAATATCTATTGTACACATGTTTTGTTTGGACATTTCATATCACTTTACCTGCCTTTTATTTTATTGTTTTATACATTTCTAAACTTCCAGGCTTTCATACGTCTTCTCTAAATTTTGTAGAACATGATTCAGACGGAGATACCACACCGAACAGCCGACTCTCAAAGACGAATGATTCCAGATCATCACCTGAAGACAGAAAACGGGCATATATGGATAAGAAGTTCAGGTACACATCATAGAATTATTTTGTACTGTCTGGAACAAGGTTCTGTTCATTTAGAAGTGCAGATTGTAGATTGTTCTGTTTCTGATTGTTTTGCAGGCCTTTTAATATGATGCAGGACAACCACAGACCTGGGAGGCCCTTCAGGAGACCTGGACCCGGACCCGGATGCGGACCGGGGCCCGGACCTGGACCCATGCAGGTGAGTGAAACATGTTTATGCGTATGAAGACTGTGCAGAGCTTGTGGATCTGTATATGTGGTAATTACAGCAGTTAATGAACAGTGGTAAAGAATGTGTGTTGGCCTCAAACATTGTAGCCGTATAATTACAGTTGAACTCTTTATTGTGAAGAACAACTTGAGTCAGCTGGCTGTATGTACTCAGCCTTCACTGTTGTGTTTTACAGAGACCAAGGTTTATTGGTGGTCCAAGAAAGATGGGTCCTGAACTCTCTGGAAATGTTAGAAGACCACTCATGGTACGCATAACCTCTTCCTATCCCATCTCTTGGTTCCCCTGGGAAATATTAATCGCTCATTACTAATATTTGAATTTCTTGTGTTTTTTAAGGAGAGCTTGGTGCCACGTCCCTTCCCAAATCAGAGGCCAGTGTTCAGAAAAAGTTACAGTATCACGTCCAAATACCGCACCATGAGAGTGATGCGTCAGCGTCCACCGTACAACCGAGGACCCAATCAGCAGCGCTGGTGATACGTTTCGGTAAGTTCCATGAGTCATTTTTTCTTCAAATGGTTCAATGTTTAGGTATATTTGGTCTTCAGTATGTGCTTGTTCTGAATTTGTCATGTAGTCAGATTTCTTTTACTTACCAAGATCTTTAAGAAATGTTGTATTCAGTGGAGTTTTTGTTTCTTGATCCCAGCACAGGTCCCACATTCTGCAGACAACAAACTGGACATAGTAGAAAAATCACTACTGGGTAGACTGCACCAAACCCTTCTCTGACTACAATCCCAACCTGCCTGTGTATTATGGAAGTGTTGTTGATTACCTTTGTTCTCTTGTACATGTGTTTATACACATCTTTGAAGTACTGCTGTACTTTTGTTTTAGAATATTTGTAACATATGCCATTGCTATATACTGACCTGCTTTTTTTTTTCTGTGTATAATTATTTGGGATTTGCTGCTCCTGGTGTTAGCAGTCTTCATTTTACAGGAATAGTTTTAGCTTTTTTTTGTTGACCAGCATCAATTGTTTTTGTAAAGTCTAAAATATGTTTACTTTAATATGACAGCTTTTTATTTGTAAAGACTTATCACATGAGATATTTGATTAATCATGGGTGTTTTTGATTAGAAAACGCTGCTTGTCGAAAGACACTTAGCTACTACTTGTAAAACTTGTATAATCACATGTTAAGTTTGTTGTTTGAGACTTGAAATAAAAACAAATTTAACAAGCTCTTTTGCCTTTTGTCCAAATCTACAATCAAAGCAAAGGACACTTCATTAATAATGCTGTTTTTAAGAATCAAACCTATGATGCAGGGTTTCATAGGGCTTTATCTTGCCTGCTAACCAGTGTCTGTGTCCCCAAATTTTGTCTTAATACAGTTACTGAGTCTTTCTTGATTTACTGTATTAATTACTGTTACATAGTTAAATGAGAGGTGAAGTCAGGTTGTTGCATTAGTGTTGTACTCCTGTAATCCATTAAGTTGGGGGACTCGAGACAGATTTTGAAAATTAATGGTCTTTATTAAAGCAGCAGTCTCCAAAAACACTGGGTCCTACATTTCCCATAATGCAATTTAGTAGCATATTTAATTAAACCCACCCAGTTTCCTAAATACCAATTTCTTCAAAGCCCTCACCCCCATTGTTTTGAAACCCCCCAGAGCCACAGAAGACATTATACAGCTGACTTCACAGACTCCTCATGACTAATAAAAATCAATGGAGTAAAAGAAAAGAGTGCTTGAGGTGAAATGAAAATCTTTCTTCTGCCCAGTTTAAACATCAGTTCTTGTATAACTGCACTCCAGTTTGTCCCTTTAAATGCAGCTCTCGCCCTTCAGCCTGTGACGCCCTTCCCTCTGCCCCGGTGATATTTGTGAGCATGGTGGAGCTCCAATCGGTCCTGTGCTAAACTTAGACCCTGACAGTACCACTCCTCATCACAACATACTCTGCAGACCACACTGGGTTACAATGGATGGTGTCGTGTTACCGCAGATGCTGCTGTATCTCACCAGTGCCGCCGGCCAAACAAGGTGAGTGTGAACTCCAGATCCTCGACAGTTACTGGCAATTATCTGGTAATTGGTTTACTGTGTTTACTAATGACTTCATAATCTGTCTCTGTCATCCTGTCTGTGCATTGGTTCCAGCATGTGTTGCACATTTGTTCACTGCTGTGGCATGAGAGACACAGCTGCCTCTACTGTAGCACTTGAGTTTAGCTTCCCCCACTTTGACAAAGAACTATCTCAGCTTAATGTACAAACTGAAGTTGCTGTTATATTACGACAAACAGAGGTAATAGTTGATGTGATGTGGTGTGAGACTGCACTGAGCTGACTGGTTTCTGTTAATTTCTGCTCCACTGACTTGCTCCAATCTGTCATTTGTAGATGTAGACTTAAAGACTGCAGGTTTTTCTGTCTTTCACTCTCTACACTTGTATCCCTCTCTGTCGTGATGGGCAGCTATAGCTCAGCCCTCGTTCCTGGTAAGCCTCGCCAACTATTGTTGTTACATCTGCTGCAACATCATTTGAAATACTACCATGGTTGAATGCTGCATGTTCAAAAGGCTGAATGTTAATGCAGGCTTTGGAATCAGAAATATGTAGGGTTATTACTGTGAAAATGTCCCACAATCTCTACAGTGATGGGGTTGAAGTGGTTCTGGGTTTTAACATTTATTCTGTTTCTCTTAAAGAGACTGAAGAGTTTGATTCAATTGTGTCAATCGCGGAGAAGCTGAATGAGCAGGTAGCTCATGTTGCAGATGAGAGGTTACAGTCAGAGCTTCAGAATCTGGGAAGTATACACGTTTAATAATTGTTATCAAGAATAAAAAATAGCACTCACTGTTTGAACAAGAGTGTGTGTGGTCTGGTCTGCTTGTGTCCCATTTGTCCTTGGGATAAATTTAACTTTCCTAAGCTGTCTCATACACACACAGCCACGCACAGCAGTGAAAGATATCTCCTTTAACGCCTTACTTTAAAGGTTAAAAGGTTCTTGCCCTGTAATAAATATGAGCTATATTTTCTGAATTGTATTCACGTATAAGGCCATATTTAAGATTTTCTCTGGGGACACCAAAAAACGTATTGAATGTATTTTACTTATCAGATGTCTCAAACTAGACTTAACTTACAGGTAACACTCATGATGGAGGAGGAAAGAAAAGAAAACCACAAGGAAGAGCTGGATTCTTCAACACTTCAAGAAAACTCTCAGGAAGCAAGTCAAGCGCCCAAAAGTCTGCCCACGCAGTCCTTCTCCTCTCTGTTACCGAAGGCCCTCTCTGCCGTGCTACAGCCGGCGCTAAAGCAAGGTCCAAACTCCGATCCCGGGCCAAGCAGAGAATCAGTGAAACGCGCTCCACCGAACCTGGAACAACTGCAGACAGAGCTGAGAGACCTGAGGGACCAGTTTGATCAGATGAAGAGTCAGCACAAGTATGGGCTTTGTTAATGTAATCTCTGTTTATATATTGTGTTCCTGGCTGACATTCTCACACTCTGCCTCTGTTGTAGTTTCAGTCAGGAGTTATTTTGCCGCACTGATCTGACAATGTATTGTGTTCCAGCAAAGAAATTAAACTGCTGATGAATGAGCTCGATGAGGAGAAAAGGATTCGCCTGACTTTACAGGTGCGGCATGAAGAAAAATAAAAAAATGAAATGTAGCTGCTAGAACATACCAAAGAATGTTATTTTGTTCTTTTGTTCTTACAAAAAAATAGTACAATACATACAATAATAATTATTATTATTTTTAAACTGGGCAGAATTCCTTTAAGGTGGGAATATTAGACTCAATATCTTACAACTGCACTACATAATTAGATTTTTTTGTTTTGTTTAAGATGGAGATTCAACGTATGAAGAAGCACATGTCTAAATGAGAGGACTTCATCATCTTCAAAGACGACATATCCTGATTTGACAAGTTGTAAAGGTCCTGTTGTACACTTACCAGATAAATGATATTTTTCTAAGTTTTAAAGAAAAACATCACTGCTTCTTTTTGATGAAAAGTTATTCTATTTACTTTGTTGTTGGACTGCCGACTGCGTCTGAGTTTACTGAGTCATTGCTGACGCTGTAAAGGTGAAGCACAGTGGGAGCAGACATGTAAAGACACTGTTATACATCCAGTTTTGTTTTATTTATTTCTGTAGATGGACTCTGACATCTTTAGCATCCTTTGGTGGTGGAAATGTTTTATACAGTGTGTTGAGATTTCCATGAAGAGGAAAAATTGTTTTCTGTTTCCTGTGGGAACCCAGATTTATAAAGAATGTTAGAGAGTTCATTGTTGTTTCATTGGATTTTAATAATTGCTCCATTATCCAGTGGATCCATCTGACATATATACACACACATATATATAATAATGTGCTGTAGAGGCTCAAACATAAAGCTCCTATCATATTGTATATACATATGGTTTAGAAATGTAGGTTTGCCTTTTGATGACAAAAACCTGTCAGACTAAGCTGTGAGTGAATTCATCAGTTGCTGATGTATAGAAGCTTTGTGAACTCATTAAAGATGTCATCCATTATTGACTTGAAATTTTATTCATAATAAGGATGAATTCAAATACACAAATAAATATAGTTATTAGTAATGTTATATACATATATATATATAAAAAAATCCATGTTTAATTGAGAAAGTGTCAAGAGAGTGCAGTACTTTATATGGAAAGAAAACCAGGGATCAAAACCCTGATTATCCAAAATAATAATTTTGTGCTGGAATATATTTATATCATTAATGTTTCTCTCTCAGTCTTACTAAATCGAGACTAACAGAGTAGACAAGGAAAAAATGTCCACTATTCTTTTAAAACCAGCCTCAGTTTTGTTGTTGCAGTCAGTTCGTTACTGAGATAACTTGTCCTCATAAATCATTTGAGATTAATTCAAATGCATGAAATAATATGCATCTCCCTACCAGTGAAATGCATTTAGATTCCCTTTACAGGCAAAAGTTTTCATAAAAAACACACATATATTTTCTCTTAAAGATCCAGTGTGTAACATTTAGGAGGATCTATTTGTAGAAATGGAATATAATATTCATAGCTATGTTCTGCATATGTGTATAATCACCTAAAAATACGAATAGTAGTTTTTTTTTACCTTAGAATGAGACTCCTACACCCTTAGAAGGGGAGGGTGAGGCGAGTTGGTTGCAATCTGCAGTTATACCGCTAGATGCCAATAAATCCTACACACTGGTCCTATAAACACACACACATAATAATATATCACATTAGATTTTCAGATCACAAATGATCTCATCGTTGCCAGGCTTATATCTTTGATACGCTATTGTCCTCATTGTTTTCCTGTTCACTCCTGGAACTGGACTGAAGAGTCAGCGGAATCTTTTCCAGCACGAGCAGTGTTTTTTTTTTTTTCTCGACATGGGGTCAGGTTTAGTCTCAGAAGTTGGATTCCTCACAGAGAAGGGGCCTGAAGGTGACCTCTTTGTTCTCCTCAAGAAGGATATCATATCGACAGAGAGGCCTGTGAAGGACAAAGTCAAATATTACTATAAATCTAGAGCTGATAGATCAAATTTTGGAAAAATATCGCACATTTTAAAAATCAGTGTTCGTTGCATACCTCTTCGTGCCTTCCAGATGTGTAAGACGGAGTCGTAGAACACGGAGTTTATATTTGGGCTTGAACACATTCCCGGTGGAGAATTTGAGAGACACTTTTTCCACTGACTCTAAGTCTTTATCAAACTGGGCCAATAACTTCGTCTCTGTGTACTTCTTGAACTCTACAGCTTTACTGATGTGAAACAACAACAACAACAACAAAAGCACGTTACTGAGAGAAAGCAGCAACAGACGAACAAAGATAAATCATGGTAGAATATTTGCTACAGAACTTATGATGAATAAAGTGGAGACTTACTGGTTGATGGTTGCCACTGCTTCTTTACCCTTACTATGAAGTTTAACAGTAATGTATCCCCAGCGCACATCCCTGTTCCATATCATCACATTCATCCTGTAGTTTGTCACTGAGAAAGGACATTAAAAATGTTTATTCAAAAGTAATACGTCCACCTTTTTTAAATTATTTAATGTCCCTCTTAGAACTGAACTCTAACTCAAATTATCCTTAACATTCAAATACTGTCACATGAAGTTGGAATTAATTTTGAATTTTGGTCTCATTTTACGCTCTTCATTCACATGTAACTGCAGCTGGTCATTTTCACAGTCATCCATCCTTTTCTTCATACAGTTCAAGAAGGTGCAGCTTTCCAAATAGAAGACAAATCTTGACAAACACTCCACAGTTCATCTAAATCTGGCAGGATGATGATAAATTCACTATAGCTCGATGCTCAGAATACAGAAGCACCTTGTTTAGACTGTATTTTTGTTTGTTTTTTAAATTCAATTTAAATTTAAAGTCTATCGTCACTTTATTTTTCTCTGATGGCAAGGTGCAGCTGAATTTCCAGTGTGGGGGAAAGATGGATGTAAAAATGAAGACTGTAGTACATGATGGAGTAAACCTAAAAAAGCAAAAAAAAAAACCTCTTCCTTTAAAATCTTAAAGGAGGGGTTCAAAGTCTGTCTATGTTTCTTTATATTCCTTCACTGCACCTCAGCATGGACACACAGTCCAGAGAGACACAGAGAGGAAATGTCACACCAAAAGGACTAGTAATTTTGAAGATGGTGTTTTTAGTGAATAATGTATTTAAATACAATTATTTATCTTAGTTTGCCTTGTGTATCTTTTTAAATTTCTTTTATAAATCCCCTGACCTGACCCTTTCTTAGAGAAGTCTTAAACATTTGCAACTTTAGCCAGTTCTAGGTCCCGTTTAACATTACTAACATATATGTCTATATGCCACATTGAAGTTGAAGTTTTTATGTTGTTATATTAAGATTGTGATTATTATTGTGATAATTCTGTTACTTACTGCAGAATGGAGAGACTGCATTTGTGGTGAAGTATGTTTTTGTTTGGCCAAGCTTCAGCAGGACGTCTCTCCAGTCTGTGACGTCATAACCTGGATTTGAGTGAAACAGCTGCGTCAGATCTACAACAACGACCACCACACTGAGTCCTTCCATTAACTGTATTGTCATTCTTTATTTAAAGGACCAGTGTGGAGGATTTAGTGGCATCTTTTAAAAAACTTGCGAAATGTCTGTCTATTCTGGGCTACAGCAGAAAAAAATGGCGGTTCAACATGGCTGTAGATAAAAAACGGCTCTATGTTCAGGTGATTGTATACTAATGAAAACATACCTGTGAGTATTGTATTCAGTTTCTGCCAATAGATTCTCCTACATGTTACACACTGGACCTTTAAATACTGACTAACTGACCATCAGCTTGAGACTGAAACAATTACTAAGAGATAAAGTAAAGTACCAACCAAAGACAGGACATCCAGCTGCACCAAACCGGTCACAGTTCAAGCAATTCCCATTCAGAAACTCTTGGTAGGAGGAGCAGGGGAAGGCCTTGCTGACACACGTCTGATTCACAGAGTCAAGGAAGAGCAACACTGATCTCTGGTGGTCGCATTTAAAATAGGCTCCTCCTGTGAAGGGGTAAGAAATAAAGGAGAGTGTAACCATACAGTATTGTTCCATTTTTGATAATACAAATCACCACATGAGATTATAAAATCAGTCTTTTCTTTCCGACAAAGATTAACAGGCACTGTGGTCTTTTTTCCCCATCATGTTAAAGACCTTACCGGAAAGGATGGTCTTTGGGCAGCCAGGCTGGTCAGTTCCACCATTAGCATAGAAATCTATGTGACCTAAAGGTTCCCTGAAGCCCAGGGCTGTGAACACAGTTGACACAGTTACACGTAGAAATCTTAACCAAATTAAAACAATTATAAATGACTCCATGAGTATATAATATTGTATTTTAGTTTAACTGACCATCTATGTCTGTGTGCAGAACATCCACAAACTGGGCGTCTGAGGGGTCCAGTCGATCCTCTGGAGGAGTGCCAGTGAACTGAGGCCCAGCAGGGTCCAGAGCTAGAGACATCACAGCAGTTCAGCAGTTGCAGCACATCAACATTAGCTGAAAAAGGCTCGGGTATTATAAAGACATCACTAAGCTTACTGCTTGACCTTTCTATGCCTTTTGTGTATCCAAATGATACTGTATCCCGATTACAGTCAAACATCTGACAAACCAGTGTTACTGTTTTCCAAACATCTTTTTTATTATTTTTAGTATTGTGATACCATTATGTCTGGTTTCATGTGACTGTTTCACAAGCAAGCTCTAGATCTGCTTTTGCTTTCTCCGTGTTTTTATATTTGCCACTCCTTTACAGCAGTGCTGACCTGGATATCTGTGGTTCTGTTCGTCACTGACACTGCAGGCACTGTGGAGAGGACTTTCTGCCTTCATCTTACAATCTCTCTGCAAGGATTTCAGGTGGAATCATCGAAACTGTGCAGATTTTCTTATAGTGATACCTGACTGTGATATGTTACAACTCCACAACTCAGCCGTAACCAAAATCCTTCATCTACTCTATCACCATCTGCCAAACCCTTTATCAGCAAGCACTTATCTGCGTTAGTAGTTACTTGTAATGTGCATGATTTAGGAATTACAGGTCGCTCGAGTGTCACAATTATCAAGAAATGTCCTTGAGTGCTAAGCTAAGTGCCCAAAACTATGATGTTTATTTCCTGATGCAGAAGTGGCCAAAGGTTGTGTAACTCAATAAACTGCGGGGGCAATATGTGCTCTTACTGATGTAGGTGTCAACATACAACTATAAGAATAAACAACATGCAATTCTACACAGATATCCATACTGTATGTTTACTGCTTTCTGTAAAGGTTAAAGGACCACCATGTAGGATTTAGTGGCATCTAACTGTGAGGTTTCAGATTGCAACCAACTGAATACCGCTTGCCTTCAAAGCATGACAAACTACAGTAGCTGCAAAACTTGCAAAATCCACAAAAAGCCCTGTCTAGAGCCTGTGTTTGGTTTGTCCATTCTGGGCTACTGTAGAAACATGGTGGTTCAACATAGTGGACTCCCTCTGTAGATAGAAATGGCTCATTCTAAGTAACGAAAATACAACGATTCTTATTTTCAGGTGATTGTACACTAATGAAAACATAAATTTGAATATTATTATTATTATTATTTTTTTAATTTTCTATTTATGCCAATAGATCCTTCTAAATATTAAAAACTGGACCTTTAAATTGACAAAAACAAGTTTAAATTATCTTTATTTCATTATTATGCTGTTTGGCAATGAACTATGACAATTTCCACACCCAGACAAACAATGGCTCTCCTCTAGCTGAAGGAATTTGAATTTTAGTTCTAAAAGAATAATTTCACATTTTATGAATCTAGACAGCAATATTCAGAATTATTTTATAAACTGGGACTTTTAGTCCAGATGTCAGACTTCTTCTACAAACATTAAGACATGAACATGATCTGAATTTGAATGTGCCAGCACATGCACAGTCTTACCTGTAATTCTTCCAAGTGACCCATTCAGTTTGGCACCTACAAAGCCTGATACATGAGCCCCGAGACTGACTCCGACCATGTGGATGGAGCTCAGTGAGGCACCATGTTCCTGAAAAGATCAGCCATTAGTCAGTAAAGACATTTGTGTCTAGACACAGCAGAGTTGGTCACAGAGAGCATCAGATACATCTCATACCTGCATCTTTAGAATAAAAGCAGTGAGGTTGTCAGCTGCCTTTTGTGTGTTCTCCACTGCCTTAAAATAATTCACATTAGCAGCTCCGTAGTTCCAGTCCACTACAATGAGATTCACATCTTTCCTGGCCAGCAGCAGCTCCGTGATTTTTTGCAACCAGTTTGGTGGAGATCCTGTGGGCCGATAGCCATGAATGACGAAGGTTGTTGGTCTGGAGAAGTTAAACTGGGGATGGGTGGACATGTTGGTGTGGGATATGAGTGTACCACAGGAGACAGTATCCCTGGTGTACAGCAACAGCCTAGTTTTGAGGCTGGTTCCAATTATTGCGTGACTGAGATTTAGATCTGTAAATTCATCACATCCCTGGGCTGTGAGGAAGGCAGAATTTGGGGGTAGGGGAGGATGACAAAAAAAGAATACATGAGACATGACCATTTTGATCTGAACAAGCATTGTTGAAGAGAGATTGCAAAACCTTAAGATATTTTTCATCCAAAGTTACTGCCATCATCAGTGACATTATGCCCATATATGACTCAGTGTGGGTGTATTTGATGCAATACTAATACTGAAACTGTTTTCAAACCCAGCTTCGCCCACCAGAGAGACACATCCTAAACAAGTTTGACTGGGAAAGCAGATCATGTAGTCACTGAGTGACACATTTTAATACACTTGGGCTACATTCACACTGAAAGTCTTAGTGCTCAACTTTTTTGTTTGGCTGTTAACATTATTTGTTAGATTTCAGTGTCAAGTCCCAGCCCTGAAGTGACCTGCACGATGACAACGGATTATATCTGATGTGGCTGTTCATGCTTATGAAAATAACAGCTTCACATATGAGCTAAAAAATCTAATTTGGGTCACTAGTCATTGGGCCTTAGCAGAGCCATTCATGACTGCAAGCGCAAGAATAATGCTTAAAAACAGTCTAACAACCCAACCAAGAAGGACTATGTTGCTTCATTTGGTAGCAACAATCTGATAATTCAGCAAGAAAATGATTATATATAAATCTTTTGTCAATGTCACCTACCAAACAACATGGTAATTGAGCCAAAACAACCAATAATCATTAAGACATTCAAAAAACAAACATTTCTACTATCAGTCTGCTAAGAAAATTATTTACATCATAATGATTTTTATCTGAACTAAAGTTCTGCGATCGAAAATGTATAGCTTTATATTTAGGAAAAACAATCAGCAGTTCTTCTCAGTAACTGTTACACAATAGATGTAAATTATGTGACCGTAGCATGACTGCATATATATCAGCTGAGAGCCTTGTGTAGGTTTACATAGTGGCATTGGTTTTTGAAAACCACGATGAAGGCTATTTGTGTAAACATCTTGCTTTTCCCAAGAAATGTCAGTTCCTCAAATATTGCTTGAATATCCTTTTTCCAGTGTACAGTTGCTACAAACTTTATGACTTACTGGCCCTTACTGTGTGTGTGCGTGTTTGCATACATACATTTTCATATCATTTTCATTTTAGGCTTTTACCTTTGCGTATTTGAACAGTTAACAGCAGGAGCAGTGTCAGATATTGCCACAGGAACATGTTTGTTTACACCAGCTCGAGCCAATAATCTGTAGACAGAGTTATTACAGTCAGACTAAAAAATATAAACACATCAATCATTATTTGTCTCATAGCAAATCGCACGTACACAAACACAACAGTACAGCAACAGAAGGAGAACACTGTCCCAACCCTTCAGATGTTTCTCTGACAAGGAGAGCGAAGAAAAGAGGTCAGTTACTTATCTACTTACCTTCCAATGTAATGAAATGCTCATCTAAATAATTAACTTTGTTGGTGCCATTTAGGTAACTTACAGACAATCTGTGTCTGGCTCCACCCACTGTTATTAATCTCAACCAATGACACTTTTTGTAAGTGAAACTGAAATATGCAGAAACAGGTCTTTAAGATTTTACAGTTAGACGTCAAATGTCTGCTAGTTGTTCAATGTCTTACTTATGTTTAACCTCACAAATCTGACAACATTGAGAGAATATAACATGTCTTCATTAATATCAGAGTCTTACCTTTGCTGTCGGATATTATTTCCTGGTCCGGTCTGTCAAAGGTCCAGTATACTACAGGTTATCCTGCGTTTGTAACTCCACATATTTGGGCAGTGTTCAGGAAGTGAGAGGAGGAACAGCAAAGCAATACTCCCGCCCTGCATGCTCTCACAAGGATAACCACACCCCTTGCCCCAGGTCATTGTGATCACAGGTGAAACATTCCTGTGAAGTTACTCCTGGTCTCTGAACCGGTTGTGCGGCTGTTTGTTGTGTTTCTATTGAACTTAAATCTGCAAAAACAACTCTCTTAACACAAACTGTCTCTGTTTTATTGAGTCCATTCTTATGTATGTGCAAGAAGAAGGAGTGAAAGTGAAACATAGTATGGGTATTTCCAGAAGGTTTACAGAAATTAATACTACAACCCAAAATTAGAAATTAGTCAGGCTCTACTTCCCTGGATTTAGGAAAAACTCCACTGACATTTGTGAGAAGTTGCACAACAGTCTTTAAAGTCAGCATTTCCCTACATTACACTGCAAACTGATCTGCATACAGTATGATGTTTATAGCCTGTTTGGAGAACATTTCAGAGATTTGGGAGAAGTTGTAGCAGTCTTTCCACCTCCCATTATTTCTATTTATGTTGAGTTTTTAGGTACTTTAAGAGAGGTCTCTGTATGAGCTTTTAATTCCCTACCTCTCCTGCACAAGCTTTTTTTTACTTTAAATTCATGTATATCTGAGTATATGAAGGTGGCGTCTGTGTATCTTCTGTGTATTTTTGTATACACGTTATATGTTTTATAGTAATTGTATTTTTTATGTGCAAATAGATACATATAAATATGAATTGAATTGAATTGAATTGAATTGAATTAAAATGGGAGTTGATGGTGTCATTTGTGGTCCTTTATTTTTCTCTCTATGACAACCAGCTGTCTCAAAACTGAAAGGGACTCAATGTGTAACGTTTCTTCTTGAAACTATTAAAAAGATAAAGATAACAGAGATAAACTTCAACCTATTTCTCTCAGGATATAGATAAAAAAAAATCCTACAACATATAACGATGACATTTAGCAAAAGCTTGACCTTATATTACCATAAGCATTATAAAAATATGTATGATAGTGTATCCGTAATATTACCTTTGAACATACAAATACATCCACAATTATAACAAGGCAAGTCTATAGCAATGCCAGTGTTTCTAAGGGACTGTACACAAAGTATTACACGGGCCATAAAGTGGGAGGATTGTGTATTGTTTCAGTAGTCGAGAGTAGTCTGGCTTTTATGTGCGAGCCATGGAAGGTCTTTAAATGTTTTCTTATTATTATTAGCCTTACCTTGTGAGATTTATTGTATAAAAATAGTATAAGTATGGTTAGGCAGCCAGTTCAGTCATTTGGTGGCTCTAAAAACCGTTTCTGTAGGAGCTCAAAATAATCACATATATCAATATTAGCACATTAACCCATTAGTAATTTATTGCATATAGTGTATATCTTTTATTATAGTTTTTATATTCTCTATTATCTATTCTGGGTTGTATTTTTCCAATATTTTTCCACTTTCGCACTTACACAAACTTGAATTTCTCCCACGGGGATCAATAATGGAACTTCTTATCTTATCTTAAAGCATTGAATAAAAATGTCAATAGGTGACATTAGAGATCAATAATCAATGTTTTATTTACAAATTTTCTGAATTGTCTTTTTTCTTTAAACTTAGGCCTATAATTTAGACTAAAATGTGGCCATAACAGATCATGAAATCATAGGCCTATGTGATGGTTTCCATATTGTAACATGTTATTTGTAAAATCAAGTTAAACTTATGTGTTAAATTTGATGTCAAAGCATTTTTTAGGGATGGCAGCTGCCACCACATGCCACCCACTCTAGATCAGACCCTTTAAGCTTTAGGCTACCACCTTTACTTTAATGTAAACAACCTGTACGCTAAAGAAGCAGTTGGTGTCAAAAACTAAATGTACCATAACAAGCAGGCAGCATTGATTTCAAAATTTACCCAAACCAGAAATTACATAATATCCAGCATAGTAACACTGTGGGCCACTTGTGACAGCTTTGTGAAACGTTGGAACATGTCGTCCTTCTGTGTTTGGTTCCAAAGGCTGCCAATGTAAAGGCTCTGGGCACATTCTTACTTCATATGTTATTTAGCTTCCCTCAGCATAAAATGTGACACTATTAGCAGCCTCTATTCTCATGAGAAATGTTTCAAAGACATGAGCATTTTTCACAATCACTGCAATCTGGACTGTTACACAGTGTTAGAGTTTACTAATAGTGTTACACCACCCTATTGCTACACTCTACATGAAGAAAGAGAGATGACAAGTGCAATCTACATTTCTGAATACGTTTACCAGGCTGGCTTGAACTTTGCTCACTACATTCTTCCGTCATCAGGGTCAGGCAGGCCGATGGGATGTATACTTAAAAACACACGCAGGCTGAGAAGTCCCCCCTGTTCGCTAGTTAGTCAGGCTGAGAGGAGCGGCAGGCGGGCGCAGCGGGGCAGTTAGTAGAGAAGGAAGCAGAACATCCAGAATGGCTGGAAGGAGACGAGGTAGAGGCAGCAACGTCCAGCAACAACAGGCCTCACAGAGCCAAAGAGGAGGCCCTCGCAGGGTAAGTCCTGCTCTGTCAATATGAAACGTGGACACTGTCTTTATTCTTACACTTACACAAATAACATGTGAGAATTCAGAGTCCCATAAATGAGATTCTGGCTGTCTTGTGTTTTTTGGACAGTATGTAGTGAAGATAATATACAAGTGGTACAAGTGGTATTAGTCAGACTTATATATTTAGTTTTCATGTGTCAGGCTTTGAATATTACAGAAGTAAACCTTTCCTCTGTGGTTATATGACTTGTGCCTGGGAGTGGAGAGTTTACTGATTAGCTGGGTGGGACAAGGAATACATGATTATTCTCAAGTGATACACTTGTTTGATATCATAGATTGAGTCATTATTTAACATGAAGTCATTCTGTTGTAATCAGTTTTTATTGCTGTAAATGTATCAGATAATTTAATAATAGGATTTAAGTTTATATGGTGGAAATTCATATCTAATATTTGTGTCGCGAATGTGGAAACATACGCAGGCCTGCATGTATGCTGACTTCATGGCTAACTATAGCTATAACGATAACTATAGGACTAAACTGTATACGTAGCATGGAAGCAGGCCAATAGTATTCACATTCGCAGAGTACTGATCATTTCAAAATAAAATTCAATCAGGTAAACTGAAAAATTGTACACAGCACACCAGACATTTGATCAGTATCAGAGTTCAAAGTTTAATTTACAACACAGCAGATAAAGCTGTGTATATGCATCTACACACAACACAAAGTCCATGACATAATGAGACTCATTACCTCTGAGTGCTGAGATTATTTGCATCTGTCTTGAATATATCACCAAAGCTTATCGGGCTTTGATAATATCTTTTTTTTAACCATTTCAGATCTATGGCGGAGTTCCAACCAACAAATTTACAACCCCTACAACCTATAACAGCCCTGTTAATATTGCAGTGTTTGAATTCTCAGCTCTGCAATACTGTTGCTGCATATCATTGTCCTACTGCTCTTTTTGTTTTCCTTCCTGAACAGGATAAACAGTCAGATAAGATGGATTAACTAAGTTGATCAAACTGTTTGCTCTCTCTGTGTTGTCTCTTTATTCAGGCTCTGAGGGAGCCGGCTGCCTTTGCCAAGTCTACAGGTTATGAATCAGAGATCCCCCATGAAAAGCTGACCATTGCCAAAGCACGGAGGGGCACACCAGGTCACATTTTCTCAATAGTGTTTTGTTTCCATTGCTAATTGTCATGCAACTGAGAATGTCAGATCTTGTCAGTCCCTGCTTGTAGCAGCAAGGAATAAGGGAAGACTACATACGTTGGTATCAGCTGATATCAGCTATAAATCAGAACCATATTGTTTTACTGCTGGTTATTTGGCTAATTAGGGTTGGTGTTATTTATGATGTCTTTCTCCAGGAATGTGTCACGCCATTCTATTAAAGAAACAGACAGTATAAAGGTCTTTAAAAGCTGATTAGATGTTGCCCTCAGCTTCACAATATAGTAAATCTCAAATCAAAGAAATTGATATTTTGTAAGGTAATGTTGGTATTTGAAGAAATACTTCTTATCTTGCAGCTCATCGTCCGGTACGAGTCTACGCTGATGGGATCTTTGATCTTTTCCATTCGGGGCACGCTCGAGCTTTGATGCAAGCCAAAAATGTGTTCCCTAACACATACCTGATAGTAGGAGGTAAAGAATGGATCCCTGTATCAAAGAGAAATGACCTTCAGTAAAAACACTGGAAAAGTGTGTAAATGAAATGGGGCTTTATTAGTTGAGCGTGAAGCCCAATCTCAGGCGGATAAATCTTTCAGTTTAGTAAGGCTTAGACATACAACGGTTCTTCTCTCCCTCTGTGTCCCCAGTCTGCAGCGACGAACTCACCCACAAGTTTAAGGGCTACACGGTGATGACAGAGGACGAACGCTATGACGCACTGACGCACTGCCGTTACGTCGACGAGGTGGTGCGGGATGCTCCCTGGACCCTTACCACAGAGTTCCTTAAGAAACATAAGGTCAAAGGTCACGCAGGCACTGGACACACAGCTTCTTACAATGTCACACAGTGACAACAGCAAAGATATCTGGTGTTCAACCAGTCTGAACACTGTAATGTTACACTCACAGATTGACTTTGTGGCCCATGATGATATCCCTTACACCTCTGCTGGATCAGAGGATGTTTATAAACACATCAAGGAAGCAGGTGAGGATATGAATGATCATATAAGTTCTCATCATAATGAATTCTATGTATTTAATCACTTGAGTTAATCATTTATGTTTTAATGTCAGGTATGTTTGTGGCCACTCAGAGGACGGAGGGCATCTCCACATCTGATCTGATCACTCGTATCGTCCGAGACTATGACATCTATGTTCGACGCAACCTGCAGAGAGGCTACACAGCCCGAGAACTGAACGTTGGATTCATTAATGTTAGTGAAACTATAGTATATATTTAAAAAACAGAATATTTGATGTTTTTAAAACAAACAATACAGAAATAAAAGGACAAATGTGCTGATGGTCACTTGCTTTGTCTTTTTCTGACAGGAGAAGAAATACCGGCTCCAGAACCAGGTGGACAAGATGAAAGAGACAGTCCGAACGGTGGAGGAGAAGTCCAAACACTTTGTCTACAGAGTGGAAGAGAAGAGCCAAGACCTCATCCACAAGTGGGAGGAAAAGTCACGGGAATTTATTGGCAACTTCTTGGAGCTTTTTGGACCTGATGGAGCCTGGGCACGTTTACTTTAACATTAATGCAAAAACACACTAACTGAAGGAAAAAAAACCATAAGAGCTTATAGAACCTTCTATTATAGGTTGAGTTTGTTGTTTGGTTGTGTTTTTATGTTATTTTGAGGTAATTTGGTTTCCAAGCAACCAGGGGAGACTCCATTAAGTCACTGAACCTGGGCAAAAAATAGTCTCACACATAACCGCCTTCTCATTTTTACACTTTTTACCCTTGATGGATTAAAGAAACCAGATATAACGTGTTAATTTGGGAGCTTTAGAGGCAATGGTCGGAGGATTTTGTTAACTCTGGCTTCAGATTGTACTGACAGATATGAAAATGGTATCAATAGAAAGTGGAAGGAAACCAAATTTCTATGCTTCAGTGGTAAACATCAGGTTTTATCATCTCTTTATTAGAATCAGAGAGCAAGTGTTTCAGTTTAGACTCACTTAGTTGCACATTTTTATCAAATGAGAAGAGCTGTTTCTTCTGTAGAGGAGGCAGAGACACTTCAACTGTACATCCACCAACAGTAGCCTCAGTGGAGCAATACAATCTCAGGACGTGGCAAGACACAACGCTTGCTTGCTAGAAAGTGTTTTAAAAAGTGTTTTATTTATTTTGCACTCATATAAAAGCATAAAAAAAGCCAAGAAGCTGCATTATGCTTACCAGTTGCAGTTCATGGTATAGCCACTGTGTGGGGCAAATTGGGGAAGAAGGAAACAGGGTTAGTGGTATCTATGAGGGTATCTCATAGTGGATACTTATCCATAAATATACTTAAAAATCATAGGAAAAAGAGGCTCCTTATAAGATATAAGATCATGCCTCATAATTAGCATGTTTAGATATTTTCTTCATTATCAAGTCTTTCTAAATCCGTAGATTTGGAACTTTAAAAACAACAATTATTATGATCTTTAACAAACTAAACAACACAATTTTGAGTCATTCTGTGGGCAATGATAAAAGGCACTCTGGGTGATGTGGGAAATAACTGATGAACAGAACACACACAGAACAATTCATCACAAAATAATCCACTGAACGTTTGCAAAGCTCAACATTACAACACAGTAACACTCTCCTCTGTCTCTGTCCTTGTCCAGCATGCGATCCAGGAGCGCAGTGGCCGTATGCTCCAGGCCCTGTCACCTTACTCTTCACCCCGTGGCTCCCCCAGCAGCAGTCCCACCAGAAGACGCTCGGTTTCTCCTGACTCCTCCCCTGCCTCCGCCTCTGCCTCCCCATCCCCGTCCCCCTCCTCTCTCTCCCCTCCATCCTCCCCCTCCTCACCCAAAAAAGGGACACGCTCCTCTCTCAAATCCTCCTCCACATACAGTAGTCAATGAGCTCATCATGTTTTCTTTATTGGTCTTCTTACAGGGTATCTTGTAAATTCTTACAGTCATTAATAATAAATAAAAAGGGAGTAGGCTACTTTATTACTAGTTTATTCAAGTGCAAGTGCAATATCTCATAATGTGCATAAGGTTTATCTGCTGAAAAGAAAACAAAAAGATTATTAAAATTTTGCTTAGATGTGATTTGTCTCTTGCCATTTGTTACCCTTCTATATGTCTAGAAGCTAAATACATACATAGTTATCCCCATCCTCAAAGTGCCTTCATAGGAATTGATAACTATTTAAGTTATAAAGGTTCTTTATATCCATACCAAGTGGCCAAAACAATCTATTAACAGGTTTAAGCTGCTCTAATCGATATTCTTTTTAATATTAAAATGGATCAAATGACTGTATATGTGATGTGAAAGGTGTCACGTTTTAGTTTTACAACCTTTTTCTTAAAAAAAAAAAAATCAGATAAACCACCTGTCTGTCACCTGTCCAGCACAGAAGACAGACAAAGACAGATGATGAAAGAACATCTAGCAGCTAAAGACCCAGAAGTTGGTGGTTGCACTGGCTGAATCCTTGCTGCAGTGGCTATGGGTCCAAGTCTGATCTGTGGTCCTTTTGCTGCATGTTGTCCTCCCACTGTCCTATTAAATAAAAAAACAATATATATATGTATGTATATATAAAAAGAGTTCACAGAGATCAAAACAGAGCTACATTGAGTGTAGCTTACACTAATTAGGTGGCTAGAAACATTTAGTTTATAATATATATGTAATATCTTTCTGAAATGTGTCTGGCATCTTAAAACAAACACACTGTTTAACAAGATTCCACATGAATGCAAATGTTATTCGTTTTGCCATAACTTTAAGGTGATATTATGTCAGATGCTATGAGTTTTTACCTTGTTGTGGAGTTCCTCTGCCCCCAAGTGGAAAAAACAATAATATAATTAGTGTAGCTTTAAACTTAACTGTTCGGCATTGGATACTTTAAATCCAGAGATAACAAAGGTATAAACAATCTTTACTCAAGTAGAAGTACAGCTGTTTGTGTAAAAAAAAGACTCTCGTAAAAGTACTGATTCAACTTCTTTACTCAAATAAAAGGGAAAAGTACAGGCTCTGAAATGTACTCAAAGTATAAAAAAGTAAAAAGTACTCTCTCTGTTTTCTATCAACTGTTTCTGTGCACTTTAGATGGGGTCGAGTCTCCCTCTGGTCCCCTGGTCTTGTTAGGCTATGTTGTAATGTCTTTTACGTCATGTTAGGTCTGTCATGTGAGATCTGCACCTTTGTTGATGTTGGGAAGATGTGCAATAATGCAAAAACAAGCCTCTTTTGAAAAGTAAGGAGTAGTAAAAACAGATATTTGTGTAAAAGTGTAAAAAAAAAGTTGTCAGATAAATAAATACTCAAGTATAGGACAGACACCTGAAAAAGACAACCCAAGTACTGTAACAAAATATTTGTACTTTAGTCACAATTTAAAACGATTTGTAAGGGTTATGAATGAACAGCCTGTGATTTAAAGAGTTGACACAGCCAAACAAAGAGGGTGAGATGCCAGATGTCTGACTTGAGTATGATAACCTAGTTGATGTAGCAGCAGGGCCATTGATCTGTCACTGTGTTATCGTCTGACCGCTCTGTAGTCAACTCACAGCAGACTGCGATAAGTACAATATATCAATCACTTAACATTATATTCAAAAACACGCGGGACCTTGCAAACATATCTGCGCATGTGCCCCCCCCGGAGTGTTCCCCGTCAACTGTCCCGGTCTCGTGTCGTCTTTGGCTCGGTCGTATAAAAAAAGAAAAAAAAAAAAAAAAAAACATGGCTATGACGTCACCGCCAGCAAACGTCCTACACGGATTAAAGATGGCGCCCTCTCATGCGCTGAGGTGCTGTAAACGGGCTCTGAACTGGGTACCTGTCCTGTTTATAAACCTGGTTGTTGGTTGGTCTTACTACGCGTACGTGGTGGAGCTCTGTGTCTGTAAGTAAACTCACTTTTGTTGAGTATTAACCGGTTTTGTGGGCGGATATCGGCGTGTGTTGACAGTGTCAGGGGGGGGGGGTTGCCAACTTTGACTCAGGCTAGTTGAAGTGAGATTTAACATCATCCCCGAAGCTGCAGATACATGCGTTTAAACCTCGGGGACAATGTTACAGCTGGTCCTCCAACCACTGACACACAGGCAGTCCTGCATGACAGCAATGTTATAAGGTTTATATAAGTAGTTTAGTTCATTATAGTTAGTTTGGGGGAGGAAAGAGAGTGTCTGGGTAGCTTGTGCAATCAATAATTAATAATGAATGACTTTATAATGACTGTTGTATTGCAGCGGGTAACATCAGATATTACATTAGATATTATAGTCAGTTAACTGGGAAAAATACAAAAAGATAACAGTAAAACTTTCACTGAGGTTTTTTTTCTTCTAAACATGCCGTGTGTTTTTTAAATTAATGGACATTAACTTTCTAATTTAAAATCCCCTTTTAATCATTCACCTTGTTTTCACTGTTTTAAACATTTAGTTAAATGATGAATGTTAATGGACTGTTTCCTAATGTCAGCTCCTATGATCCCATTATAGCCTTAATTCTGACATATTAAATTTACTTTTAGTGTAACTATTGACCAGAAGTTGACATTTTACAAATGGCAATGATTTTTTATTATTTTCTTAAGTAGTTTGAGTGACAATGGACAGTCCTTGGGAGGCAGCAGTTAAATCATAATGTTACAGTGGGAGATGGCTCTCTGATGCTTCAAGTTATTCACTGAAGATGTAATGAGGGCTGCAGAGGACACATTAAAACTACCAATGTGCAGGCAACACCTAAACATTTGTAATAAAAAATACACGTTTGCTGTGGTCATTAAGCTGTAATTGAATTAATTTGACACAACACAAAATGGTGCTCTTCCTAATTAATTAGGATCAAATAGCAACATTTTAAAATCCATAAAAAATGATTTATTCAGACAAAGAAGTTAATCATTCAGCCGATGATATGACTTCCTACTTTTATCTCATAATCCAACGTGATCATCCGAACTCAAACGAGCAGGTCTGAAAGCAGTTCAGCTTACATGAGTATTGATGGTCTTCATGTATCTTTAATTTAGATAGATATTGATCAGTTATGAGTACCATGGCATGCACTCTCCACACTCAGCTCCACACTTCAGTAGTTTGTTTGAGCCTGGAGCTGATGATACCACTCTCAGCATGTAGTCGTACTGTAGTTATGTCTGTAACTCAGCGGCTGTGGACAGGACAGGGACATCCCTGCTGCTTAAACAAAGCTCTCTCTTATGGGTGGGTCACTGCTGGCCGTGCCAGGCTGCTGCCACATGGTGCGAGAAAGGGGTTGTGTGTCTGTGTGTGTGTGTGGGGGGGGGGGGATGTGTAGTCATGCATTCTTAGGACTTTAATAACTGCCCACTAATATATTTTCTTCTTTGCTTAATGTAGATACAATCCCAAATAATGCAGAACGAAGTAAGTGTTATCCACACGCACATTTTCTCCAGTCACATTCAGAGATGCCAATGTAACTGCAAACCAAACTCTTTCTCTCAACAGTCAGCTATTTGGTCATCTTTCATATTTTCCTCGCCATGTTTATATGGTCCTACTGGAAAACTATTGGGTCCAGACCAGCCAGCCCCTCAAAAGAGGTAAGCCAAGAGTGTGTGTTAGTCAGACTCATCATTCAAGCCTTAAAAGTCTTCAAATGAACACTTCCTATTTTCATGTTTAGAATGAAATGTCACAAAAAAACCCTTGCATGTCTGTCCAATACAAGTTTACAACATATCTTAACATTGTGGGACTTTTATTGACCAGTCTTTTCTCCTCCTGTCAGTTTTGTCTGCCCAGAGCAGAGAAGGACCTGTTTGAGCGAGAGGAGCGAGCAGAAGCACAACAAGAGATTCTGAAGAAAGTGGCGAGGAATTTACCTGTGTATACACGCACGGCAGGAGGAGGTGAGGCTTTCACCACAGCGGAAAAACTAACTGTGGTGGGATTACTACTTTATCGCACGGTAATACACCGGGGACTGTTGCACACACACAGTGCCACTTTCCTCATCGTTCAAAGGATTCAGCACATCAAACAAGCAACATAAATGAAATTGCGTAAATGTGTTGCTACATCGCCTCTTCCCTTTTTGGATAAAAGTAAAACACTGTTAACATCTTAAAAAAAAAAAAAAAAAAAAGAACGCACTGTATGATATGAGCCGATAAGCTCGTCTGTCTTTTGTTTACTGAGCTGCATCCGGAGGGTTAATTGGCCTCAGGTGCACCTTGTTATCTCTACAGGCTGCACCTGGCTCTGCTCCTCGTCAACAGTCCTGATGGCACACGCTGGGTTTCACAGGGACGTTGGGAAAGATGCAGACGTAGCTGATCAGTTTATTATTTATTAATTTATTTGTTATTTTCAAAGTGCTAAAAATGCGGACTACACCTCAAATAATTTTTTTGTTGCAATATCGGCTTCCTCAGCGTACACCGTGATGATGCAGGCTTTCATATAAGAGCAGTCTGTATGGGGGTGTGTGGGTGGGGAAGGGCAGTAGGTACACAGTAATACTTTAATAATTCTGCTTTCTCTTAATAGCCATCCGATACTGCGACCACTGCCAGATAATCAAACCTGACCGCTGCCATCACTGCTCAACCTGCGAGATGTGAGTGTACACACTGTAAAATTTAAGAAAAACCTTTACTGCAACTTCTGCTAACAGAAAGTGAACAAGAAAATGTTGCTGTTGAGAAATAAGACAATGTTTGTTTTTGGTTGCAAGTGGTGGTTTTTAAATCACATCCTAAACAATGAGCAATATGTGTATTTTCTTATGCTTTTTCATCCGCTCTGGGACACTAGATCAGCAAAATGTCTAAATGTTAAAATGGTACTAACAGGATGTTTTCGTATTCTTCAAGGTGTGTGCTTAAAATGGACCACCACTGCCCCTGGTAGGCTTTTCTCATTTAACTGTGCATTTAAGCTGCTTTCTAGTTCATCATGATACAAGTTTTTATCTGTTTTCTTATAAAGAAAATGTAGAGAATTAAACACATTTCACTGTCTGTGTCATGTTTTCTTTCAGGGTGAATAACTGTGTTGGATTCTCAAACTACAAGTACTTTGTCTT